ATTTTTACGAATTTTGTCAAAATTCTAATTTCAAAAGCTCATAAAAAATATTGTGGATATAAGCGCATTTTTTTTTTAAAGTTCCACTGACATCAACTTAAGAGGAGGAACCTTGTGTTACATTTTTAAGTTGTTTGACAGAGCTAAACATTTTTTATCTACATTAATTTATACACAAAAAATAATAGTCGAAAATTTCATTTGCCCATAAATAGTTCAACACAAGTCAAAATATTTTGAACATTTTATGGCGTATAGAAAATGCTAACACAAACATTTAGGGAAAATGTCATGTATCTATAGTCATTTTTTTTAGAGGTACACTAAAAACCAAAATCGATTTTTTCAAAAATTGGTTTTTCATAAAAATTCCTGTATTTCCTGTCGCTTTTGAAAAATATTGGGAATTTTAAATTTTGACTTCTCGAATGCACCAACTAGATTCATTTTACTACCAGAAAAGTTGCTGTTGTATAAAATTGAAGCACTTTTACTGCTACAAACAGTGATGACAGACACAGATATAAAAAATAAATAAAAAAAACACACATCGTTGTAAAATCAATACAATCATCGCTCAAATCTAAAATGTTCAATCTTTATAGCTAAATGGATAAGCCTCGAAAATGTAATTCATGGTTTCTCATGAATTGTTTTTACTAAAACCTAAAAATCTTAAAAATATATTATCATAACAATTTTTTTACAGACATCTGAAAATCAAATGTTGACGAAATTAAATATTTAAATGATAGTAACGGTTTTAGTTAATTTGTTGTTGTTAATACATATTATTCTTGGGGACTTACATTTTTGCTTGTATATTGTTATATTTTATAATACACAATATCATTTTCTAAATAAAAAGATAAATTTAAACTATTGAATATGCATTCATACCATTAACTTATTCTCAACCTTTCTTCGGTAAGCTGGTATTGACTAAATCCTAAATAACAAAAATATATTTTATAAACATATACATATAAAATACTATTGCAATAATTAATAACATAATAAATGCGATGTTTTAGGAAAAGATTAATTTAACATACCGTATATAACTAATCGTAGATTCGTTGATTAATAGAATTGCAAATTTAATTGAATAGCAAAATATATTTATTACTTAGGGATAAGCAGAAGCGTATTTAGAAATGTCTTATGAAAGGGGGGGGGGTACAATCAAAAATTCAAATTATACGTAGTCATAATTTATAACTTAAATTTTTCATCAAATAAACAAGTAATAACCATTTAATATTTACATAGTATTTTTTATCAAATAAGACGATTAGGAAGTATTATAATTAATTAAATAGTATAATAATATTAATATAATATTTGTGTAAGAATTTAAATATACGTTCTGATTTTAGTCAAGTGATGTAGAATTACTCATTATACTTAATGTGCAAAATCGCTTGCATTATTTTTGTTACTAAATTATAATTAAAAACGTAGAGTCCTTGAAAGCATTATTTTCATTTTATTTTGCTTGAACTGCATAAATTATCATACAGGATTATAAAGCTTTAAAAAAATCATAAATTGTAAATTTTTAGTAAGAAATTGTATCATACTTACTGATACTTGATAGTAATAACAGTAGTGACTAATAATTATATAAATAATTACTTAAATTCTAACAAAATATTTTAAGTATAATTTTTAATTTTATAAATTGTAATGTCATGAAATTATTTCTTTTCAGTGACTTCTACATTTTGAGCTGCTTGGAAATTTGCCGATCGCTATTGGCCGTATGGCTTCCCTCAAAATAGATATCCGGCTATCCGTCTGTCTGGTTTCTAAGTGTCTCATGATGGAATTTTCAGTGCACAATTGTTACTGTCAACAACTTTATTGTGATTAATTTAATTGAAGTATACGATCCGAGTAAATGATTACAGTTTTACGCACCACTGTATAATGTGAATATTTTGGTTTACCAGATCACTGGTGAACTCATTTCACAAGTGTACCTAAAAATCCAAATTGCCAATTTATGTAGAACTAATTTATGCAAATGTTTTAAAAGCTTAGTGATATTACTTATTTCCATCGTGTAGGTATTCAAATATCTATGTTTAAGTTTGAAACTTTAGACAGGAGGTGGATTATATTATAATACGAACAGGTAACTCGTGAGACACTCACTGTGTTTCGAGGATAAAATGTATAAATGTTTTCATGAGTTGAATTAAAGTAGTATAATATTATTATCATAATATGGTTACCGTGATCATACACGTTTACATATTTTATATGGCAGACTTAGCTTGTAATTAGATAATATATTGTATTTAGCTACACTTTTTCAAAGTAACTTGTATATGAATTTTGATACTTCTTTGGCAGTGAGTTGTAATAAATGGATACAGTAGTTACTAATACAATTTTATTTTTTTAGTGTTTAGCTACCTATCCAAGTGAAGTACAAGTTGAATTAAATCGTATTTGTCCCATTTAATACACAATAATTTGGGTGAATTGACAAAACTATAAAACTTATGGTGAACAATCAACAGGAACACATTAATATGAATATTGTTATCTAGACATTCTAATTATTATTAGTGTTTCACTCATAAAACACTTTCAAAAGTAGAAAATAACTTTTTTATGTTCTCATCTTTAGAACCGACATAAACTTTAACTATATAAATATGAAAATAAAGCTGATTCTGACTTTATACAATTTTATAATAAAAAAAATCTTTGGCTTGTTTTAATAAACAACCTATCTATTCTGCAATAATCAAAAACTGTAAAGTATCTACAATAGAGATTTTAAAGTAGTAGATTTTGCACCAGTCAATCAACAATGTATAGACAATGTCACGTTTATAGTTTATCAGATAATAATTTCGAAAAATATGTCTTCTTAAAATAAAATTATAATATTATAATATAACTAATTCATATATATTAATACTTTAGACTTAATATATTTAGAATCATTATTTTATAGCAACTTGAATTTGGTTACAATTTCTTGAGTACAACGTAACTTGAACAACCCCGATTGCAGTTAGTCTATGTCGTGTCAATCTAGAAATGGTTTTTTTGCTATTTTATCTCGTTTTCCACAATTTATTGTCTATGCGAATATACACTTAAAAACTTTGCGAAGAATGCTACAAAATTCCTATATAACCCGACACATGAATAAATTATTCAAGTGAAACCATCGGATTTCCTTCTTAATTTCATGTATATTCTTAGATACGCCATTATTCATTGCGTTTCGAGGTTGTAAAAAATATACTCACATTTCATAATAACAATTTGGTTTAGTTAAAAATTAAGTGCAGGTAGGTACCTACATAAACAAAAGCACGATTTATAACGAATGTCAATTTTTCAATTTTTTAATTAACAAACAATAAACAAAGGTGAAAAATTTTTGTATAAGTAAAAAGTAAAAATTATACCAACATATTTTACGGTGGTAATACAGATTATAACGTAAATTCTAACATAAAACCAAACCAATAAATAATACAAAGACTTAAATATAAACAATTTGTTGACACCAATGACCTAATAGTATTGGAGGCGTATATTTTTTTAAACAAAAAATACATGCAATAATATTCACAATTATTATGAATTACATCTTTATGACGAATATCACCATACAAATTTCCACGGTTTTAATACTTAGACCTAAAATTGTAGTATATTATAATTAGAGATAAGATTTTATGACTTTTTCCCTTTAATCTTATGTAACTATATCTAAGTCAAAAATTTGTTTCATGTTTCATTGATTGAGAAAAATATTATGATATATTTTGTAAATTGTATTACATTTTAATATTGAATTTATGTATGGTAACAGAAATCTGATTCCTAAGTAATAATAAAAAAAAAGTTATAGTAATATTTAAAATAAATGTTGAATCATTTTTACTGTCTTTTTTTGTCATTAAATTATTTTGGTCATTTTTAGCACTTTCTTATTTCATAAACATCCAATCTCTAATTATAAAATATGATCACTGAAAATAAATCTTGTGATTTAACAAACATTTTTTCTCCAATAATGAGATACATAATTCCTCCACTGTTTATTAAAAAGAAAATATATTATGTCTTGTTCATTTTCCGCTAATAAGGATTAAAGAATCCTTTTTTTGTAATATTATAATATTTAATACTAATTATAATACCGTACACAAGTCACTGCAATCTGTATGCCTGTTTTTATAATATCGGTTATTTTTATTTAAATCCATTTTAATATTCGAATGAAAATAGATATAATTTTTGTCCAGTAAAATGTTTGGGGGCAAAGTAGAAGCTAATGTTTTTTTTGTAGAGGAAAATGGACAGTGGTGAAAAACAGTATCTTCTATACCCAACTATTCAGCCGTTATTTTTATTTTTACCCCGAACCAACATTGTTCATATCTTATAATAAATAATTACCTATCAAGAATCTAATTTGGAAAATCAATAATCTCGAAACGATTTAATTGTTCTCGGTAATTTGAGCGATATAGTGTTATCATAGGTAGGTGTGAGAGTGTATAAACTATAATAATAATGTAATAATGACCTGATCCAAACTGTACCTACACACATTGATCAGTGTAACACATATAATTTTATAAAATAATTTTATAACACATCGTAGATGATTAACAATTGTATGTAGAACATTCGTATCTCTAACAAACATAACCTTTGAACTTGATAACGGCCTACCTTATTTACTTGAAATATTTGACGCATGTACCTATTTAATGTAATACCGTCCGCAGAAAACTGTGCTCGCTGTCAGTGTTTAATTACAAATCTCATGCCACGTTTATTGTCGTAATTTTTGTTTTTTTATCCCTGCGTTCGCGGAAAATTGTTTTCTTTTATCGGGGGCGGTCTCGATCGTCTGTGATTTATAACGCGTGAAAAATCATATCGATTGATTTCGTTTTCAGAATGTAATCGTTTTAAATATATATATAACCAAAAACCAGACCAATACGGCAAAAATGAAATCTGAACACGTCTATGGTCTGATCGTCTTGACTCTATTCACCACATTGGACATAGCTTCAACATGTGAGTACCATAATCATTTTTATAGTTATCGATGAGAAAAATATGTTAAAACACTATGGAAATCGATACAAATTAATAATGTTAATTTTTTTTTTGAAAATTATAAGGTAAATTTATCGTAGTTTTTGTACCAATAAAAGCATATATTAAATGTATAAAAAATTTTACGATTCATTAATTTTATGATAATGGGTACCCTGATAATTCATTATGAATATTTTCCTCTGTGTTAATCATTATTTTCTATTATTAATGAATTTAAATTGACGCTATTTGTTGCAATAAAATATTTAATACTAAAAAAACGCATAAATTAAATTATGTCTTAAGTAAAAATAATCAAATAATTATAATTATTAGTACCTAAAGATATATTAATATAATTATTAGATGTTAATATAAAATTCGACTTTTAAACGAATTTTTTAAAAATCGACAAGTGGATGAGTCTAGGGATTAAGATTTTAATTGAATTCTGATTGTTTAGAAAATGATTTTTATGCTCAATCAAGATTTAATTAAGTTTGCTAATGGGGGTGAATATTAATTGCTCGATAATGAAATCAAGTTAATTGTAAAACAATATTATAATGGCTGCTGAGCCATAAACATATATATAAGCCGAGATATATTAATCTCATAAATTATACCTATCTTGGTTTATTTTTTGTTCAATTTGACATTTAAAAACAATCTTGATAAATTAGTTGCTTTTAACAAAACATACAACAGTTTACAGGTATTTATCTTGAAATGTATTGATTGCTCATGTTGAGCAATCAATTATTATTTATTTTGCAACAAACTTTGGGCAAATTAAATAAAAAATGATTATAAACTAAAGAAACATTATTTTTATGTGGGTACACAAAAAAAGTACTTTGTTAATTAGCTATATTTAAATTTTATATGAGCGGAATGAAGTGGCAAAGAGGAAACCCGCAACATTTTGGTCCACTACTCTGCTCATATAAACTTAAAATAGGTAGGATTTTTTAACTAATTAGGTAACAACTGTTTAAAAATTCGATGTTTGTTTTTAAAAATTATTTTTTTACTATGTGATCACATGTATGAATTATGTACAATTAAAAATAATAACGATAAGTAAAGTGAAAAATATTTTTTTTCTGCAAAATCTCTGTTTTTAGTTGAATTCGAGTTATATGAAAAAAAAACCGTTCACACTATTAGGTACAATACGAGAGTAAAATATACATTATGTAATGAATGAAACGTTTTGAAATTATTACACAAATTAATGATTTATGCACGTATATAGGTAAGCCACAATGACTAATTAAATTGACTAGGTTATATAATATTAATTAGTTACTGAAATCAATATGCAAAAATAGATATACAAGTTATAAGAATTTAGGTTCTACTGGCATATTTGCCACGACTATTTCTCTTCTAATAAAAGTATTATTTAGATTATTTAACGTTATAAATTCAATATCATAATTCTTCATCCAACATATATTACTCGATTAATAACTTATGTCCACCTTATTCGGGGACACCTGCAGAGTAGATTCACTCAAAATGTGCAAAACACTGTTGGTGTTAATATATGCAGTAGAACTTTACAGTGACTCTATGTTTGTTTGAAATCCTTACTCCTCATTAATAATTATAATAATACTTAAGGCATATTTTAATTTATTACTAAAAATTGTTCAAAATCTATTAACAAAAGTATCATTGTAAATGCATTTTTGAATTATTAATAACTATTTAATAAAATAATTGTTAAGTTATAGTTCTTGTTATCGGTTAGGTATTATAATATAGGCTAATACATTTAAGATTGTATCTAAACTTCAAAAAAACAATCACATAACTTGTATTTCGCGTAATCAGTTTCAAAGTTAATGAAAATATTTTCTTGCATTTGCTGTTTGTCAAATTATATATTTCCAATAGGTAGGTAGTTTCATAAGTACTTAAGCTTTTATCAGGCAAACGCAATTTTTGTTTAAATTGAAATGCACTTAAATCACTCAAAATCACATCATAAGTGAAAAAATATGGCAGAAAAATTAATTTGTAAAATGAAAATCAACCATGTAAAATTTACACAGGTTATTTGACCTAGATATGCAGCTAGCAAAAAGTTATGATCAAAACATCTATAAATGAACGCATTACACATAGAAATAATTATTGTAAATTACTTCAGAATAAAATGCATAGATAAATATATTATAGTCAATACTAATATTAGTATTACCTAAACAATAATAATTAAAATACTACAAACGTAAAGACACATTGCAATGCCCATCGACATTTAGGCTATTATCAATTAGGTACTTATCGTAAATGTTAAAGTTGAAGGGACCAACATTTTATTATTTTGAAATTCCGTACTATAAATATGTGTTTCTAAGGTAGTCTAATAGAGGCATAATATACCACCTGTAAAATAAATTGTACATTTTATTAAGTACATATCTTATCATACTTTTTTCACAATAAAATAAATAGGCTGTTTTTTAAATAATTTTTTTCCATTTTTTTTATTATTATTTTTTTGTCTTCTATTCAATGTGTACAGTTATTAAATTGTGCTCTCCACAAGTCGGATTAAGTCAATAAAATAAGTTGTTATGATTTTCACTGTAATGTCGAACTCACCTGTATTTATGTTAAGAATATTGGTTAGGCACTTATAACGTTGCTTTTATGATTTTAAACTGACAATATTCACAGTCATATTTAGTCATATTTAAAAAAAAAATTTTCAAGTTCGTGGAAATTGTATTTATAAAAAGACATCATTTTATATGTTTACTAAATATATTCATATAATAGGTATTACTAACAAATAATTGGATGTTCGTGTATTGTTGATCTTCGGGCTAAATTCTATACCGTCACACGTCAGTATGCATAACAATATTCCAATTTAATATTTTTGAGTGAAACCGTACAAATAAAAACATCAAAATGTACAGACAACGCATCCATATAAAGTGAAATCCATACAATCGTTTTTTAGAAAGCGATTATTAATCGTATTTATATAATATGAAGAATAATACTATTATTGTGTGCTCTATATTTACACAAAGTGCCATTTTTATCACGATGTTAAATCCCGACCGAGGTCATGCCGACATTCAAGTGCCAGACATTGTGATCACGGTCCCGAATTTTAGATTCCGAATGGGTTGACGAGTGCATTGCTTTTTTTACAATGACGTGTGATTTTATTTTATTTTTTCTTTCTTGTCACACAGAGGACGATAAAAAGCTCTACGCATTTTGTTCAGCGTCCCTCTAGATTGTAAATCAAACACAGAGAACTTAGGACTATTCGATTTTTGAATTTCTGATATTATTTTATAACAATGGCGAAAAACAAGCCCACCTAAACATTATAATATCGACCCGGTACATTTTTAGTCTGAATTTAAGCATGTGGTGAAAAATATATTGGGGGGGACTCAATAAATACATTTTTGTTTTCTAAATAAAATTAAATGTCGTCCGTAATACCTGCTGCTACTATTGCTAAATGTTTAATTTCAATTAATAATAAGAAAATCCGTTTTATTTATAGATTATAGAACAAAACTCATTATTCTTTTTTCAACGTGTTTGCATATTACATATTTTAATACTTACCTATAATACAAAATAAGTACCTGCCTATTGTTTGTCTGATGAACATTTAGTTTAAAAAATGAAGTTCCATATTATACAAAACATTTTTAATATGTGAAAAATAACATAATTTTACTGTTCATATTTTTGCCGTTGAATAATAATGATAAAACTGTGAGGGCCCTTGGATCGCAGCCCAATCAGCGCCTCCATAAATCTGGCCCTGTATATTCTACAACTAGACAGTTTTTTTACAATGGATTTTATACTGTATCGAATTTTTTATGGTACTATGGTTAACCCTATAAAAGTGTATTACAAAATGTGCTAAATTTATTTTTTGACGCTATGAACCATTGCTTGTTTGCGTCTTAGTTATATTACAAATCGTGAGCTTACTTTAAATCGACTTAGTTTATTAGTATTTGAAATATTGCACCACAGCTCAAAGAGTTCCTATTACTTAACTCTCGGTCCATTCTTATCATAAATCCTGTTTTCTTGATTCGCAAGCGAGTGATGTCATTGTGTAGCGTATATTTGTCCATTACTACTATGCTATCCTACCGCAAAGTATACTTTGAACAAAACATTTATTTGTATTCCGGAAACAAAAAACAAAAGAAACAGTTTCTTTTTTATTAGCTCATCTTATCTGGCTTCCTGTTTTAATTAATATTTTATTGTCCTAACTTTTGCCATAATTTATTATATTGTATCGAATTGTTCCATTTCTTATAATTTTTCCATTATTAGTTTCTCACATAAATCAATTATTGCAGTGAAGCTCTAATAAGACCTCATAACTCATAACTCGCATGATAAATAAATAAAAAAACAGACGGTTTACATCGAATGTTTGATTTTAAAACAAGGAAGTATTTAATATTGAAGAATTTATTTTTATGATTATTATTTAAAACAATATACCACCTATATACGTCATGTAAAATGTAGTATAATTTTAAGACTAGTCATACATAATTCGTTTACTTTATTTAAATTGTTTATCTTGATTGTTTTCTCGACGTTGAAGATATAGTTAGAAAATTAAGAATTTTAAGATAATATGCAATATTTTTGAGTAATAAATGATAGTTTATTTTAGTTATTATTAGAGACATGATATTGGTGATCATAAAAAGTGCCAACAATTTTAAAAAACAAACTATGATTTAATGATATAAAACTACAAAAAGTTACTTAACATTTTTTTTGAATCAATAAAATAATACGTCAATTCATATGCCAATGTCAATTGAATCTTACTTATCAAATTTATAGGATACAATTTATAAATTTAGTATTTATTTTTCGATATTATGAATGTTATGTATAAGGGTCTCAAAGTATGTGTATAGTATGATACGCAAACACTGTATAATTGTACTTAATAAAAACAAAAACTTTCCACCGATAATAATACAAATATTTTTTTTAAATGTCAATATTTTATTTTAAATTTTAAACTAAAAAAATAATATTGGTACATATTATTAAGAAAACAATTTCAAACCCCAAAATTTACTAAAAGGTAATTTGTTGTTTATTTATAGGGTTGCCATTAGTTAAAGATATAAATAAAGAATAAAGAAAATGGGTTTAGACTAGTCCGACCACCGTGTGTTGAGATGGGATTACTTGAAGTAAAATAAAATAATATTTAATTTAATGTTTGTTATTTAAATGTACACCAAAAGCCAATGTCCTTATGTTTGTATATTTTATAGTTGTATTGATTAAAAAACTACTTGAACGATTTTGACCAAAGTTTCAGTGATGGATCTTAGAGATATCAGGAAAACATAAAAAGTAGTTTGAACCACGTTTAGAAATATACCAAGTGGTTTATCCAATACGCCCCAGGCGGATTTCCCATTTTGGTAAAATTAGTTCACAAAGTGAGGTACGCACTTACGCTGATTATTGGCACATGAAGTGTTGTACACTAAAACAGTACAACTGAGTATACACCTGAGATTGCCCAGAAATGTTTATTCATTTTTTCTTGGGTGAAGTAGGGCTATACTAACGCTTGAATACTAGTATAATACATAAAACCATTATAGCTTATTAATATTTAATTCATTTTTGTATTTATTACGTTGAAATACAATTATGTCAACTAAACAACAAACACTCAAACAACAATTATACGTAAACTTAAGCGTTAACCAGTATTTTCAATAAAAGGAACGTGACAAAATGATTAACTCATATTATTATTATCTGATCAAAGTCCAATTTATATGCACAGTTACCATGTCTAATCACTTGAATACCTACCTATTTACACAATAATTGTAATCATGACTATTTATACAATAAATAATTTAAATAGAATCTTCAATGGAATTGATTGTATTAATTACAATAATACTTACGTTCTTATTAAGTTATTCGTATTTATAGATAGTATAATACGCAATTTATATTCAATAAAATACCTATTTTATTAATATATTACACATCTTAACAAGTGCAATATTATTTGTTATTTATATTTTATAGGCTTCTTGACTCTTGAGCACTACTTCAATAAATCGAAATAGGTACCTAATACACAGATAATAAACATATTATTACAAGCTATTTAATGCATCGAACTAAATAATTTCATAAGGTAGGTATAAACATATTTTCTGAGTCATTCAGATTACAAGATTTGTAAGTTGTAATAATATGCTGTTCCGCTGAATCTCCAACACTCATTTCTTCTCGAATGGGATAATATTTCCTTCAATAGTGACACATTTTTCACACATTATGTCTTTGTGATAGTCTTGTATTCAAAGTGGTACCATGATTGTATTGGTTTTAAATTGATGGTGCCTTTTTTGACCTATGATATGTATACTATTTTTTAAAAATAAATTTGGTACAAGATCACAACGAATAGCAGCTCTAAATTTTAGCTTTTAATTATTGTACTGGTTGAGAATTGAGTCTACTAGGTATACTTAATAGTTTAGTACATTAATACAGTCAGGAAAAACAAAAATAAGACACTTGTTATTTTTTGTTAAGCCTTTCAAATTTGACGCGATACTGCAAGGTCTATAGCATTATTGTATAGTAAAAAGTTATAATAATTTATACATTTATTATTATATACATATTTTATTATTTGAGATTTTTAATTTTAATGATAATTCATTTTTTTCAGATACCACATCTAAACACAACAGTTGTTCAAGATCTGCCTGTTACAGTACGAAAACCTCACTGATTATTATAATATCTAAGTTTATTTTTAACACATTATCCATTATTTTTTACTGTAGATGAAGGAAAGTTCAATTTCTTACCCGGTACCATTTATGTGTACAAACATTCCATTAGTACACAGACGACGTTTGATAAATCCAAGAACACAGCATCGATCGCAGAATTTAATTTCAAAGTTCACATTCACATTCAAGAATGTGACGGGTTTATGTTTGTGAGTACCATTAAAGTTCTATTCATCACTAAATTTGATTCTCTGAAATAATAAGTTGGTTTTTTTTAGATTACTGATACTAGCATTCATAAGGGAGTGAAGACTAGGAACTCTAACACTGTAGACGAAGAAAACTATTTAAGATCAGATGACGATGTCCTTTATGAAGATTTGGAAAGAAATATGTTGAGGTTTGTTATGTCCTGAACAGAAAAAAATAAAAAACAAATTGAATTAATTTTATATTAACAAAAAACCGTTATTTTGGCTCAGAAATTGGTTTCCTCATACAAATTTGATTATTTGACATAATAAATTATTATTTATCAAAAATAAATGTCAATGAAATGTTAAAATCTTCATGTTAGCTTTACTATAAAGTGATTTCAAAATAACTACGGGCATGATTCACACAACAGGAGAATTTCGTTTTACAATATATATGATTTTTAATTGGAAAATAGGACTCATATTAATTACAACACAGCATTCACAACGGTGTCACCGTGTCAATGCGTTGGTGTTCGAGTAATTGGGCTTCTGAGGAGGAGGGGGTAGGAATTCGTATTGAATTCTTATTATTTTTCAATAAATTCCTTCTTTTATGGTTACTAATTAGTAATTAGTATGTAGGAGTGTATTTCATTAAATTTTAAATTAAAAACTAAACGAGACGATCGAAACCAATTATACTTGACAATAAACGTACACAAATACAAAATATACTTTGAATGAATAAAACAAATTGTTCTATAGATTTTCATTCCAAGATGGTCATATTAGCACGGTCTGTCCCAATGAAAACGAACCGGTATGGGCTTTAAACATCAAAAAAGCTGTTCTATCCACGTTCCAGAATCGTATGGAGAGATTCGATATTCATCACATTGTCGCAGAGGTTGATTGAATTTAATTTTTAAAAAAAAAACAAAGATTTTATCTAGTATCATCTATCACATTTTTTGTTTGATTTCTACATCTTATTTTCTTCTAGAGAGACATCAACGGATTTTGTCCTACGGCATACACGTTTTTGAAGTCGAATGGTACGCAAATAGTAGTAGACAAAGTAAAGGATATTTCAGAATGTACAGAGCGATACCACATGCATTCTATAATTCCAACTTCACCGTACGTTTTCCAAAGTGTGAGTCAACAGATTTTTTCGCTGTATTACAATTGTTTTTAAAATTCTCGCTTTTAATACTTTGTATGGGAAATCGACTTAGTTTGACGTTTTTCAACTAATTGAAACATTACATACAAACGCATAGTCGAATAACGATCATTTGAATAAAATAATAAGTACTTTTAAGCTGTCATAACTTTTATGCTAATATAATTGAACAGAAAAACGCATGAATTACATTTTATTACGACGAGTTAGGGAAAAATCGACAATAATGTTTAATGTGCACTTTGTTGAGTAGACCATACAAGGGTTTGCTTATTAAATTAATTAAAAAAAAAAAAAAACAAAAAAATGTCTACATTATTAGAACAACGATAATTATAAAAATGAAGGGAAGGCCATGTGCACATTTAATCATAATTATTTCCACTAAATCCAATAACAAAAAAGCATAGCAATTACAATAAAAGAAAATGCATTGATTTTAAATAACTTAAATGTTTTTTTTTTTATAATAGTTATACTTTGTCTTTGTGAATAACATTCTCAAGACCTCGAATGATTTTCTTATTTTGTATTTGGATTCGATGATTATATCATTACATTACTTTATCAAAAGCATTTAATAATTTATGAACTCCTTAATTGGTTTAATAAATGCAACTAAAATAAAATACTCTGTCAAATAATTAAGAAATTTTCCATTTATTCTTTACAAAGTGTGAGAAATAAAATTTGGAAAAATAAGTCAAAGGAAGAAGTTATTTAATAAAAATTAGAGTCACATCATTGAACAAGAGTTTAAATTTGAAATATTAAATAGATTGCATTAGTCTAAAGTAGGTTGGTTAATATTATTAAGATCTGACACTCATTCTTGAACATCAAAATTTAGTTTTGAAGAATTCATTTAATTAAAACTGATAACGATTAATTATAATTACCTATTAACTATGCAAATTAAAGATAATATTTTTTAACTAGGTCTTACGATTGTTTGAAAAGTATACAAATTTTAAAACTTTATAACTGTTTTATTTCATAAAAAAAAAAATTTAATTCTTTCAACTAATTTTCTGTTGCCGAAAATAAACCTAAAATATAATATATCAAGCCCTAGAATCTATATAATGTTTTCAACTATTATATTTACGGGCCAATATCTTAACAGTCCTATTGAGCATGTTCTGATCGATTTATTTAATATGACTTTGTTTTTACCCAACATCCAATAATAGTATATAGTCTCTTTTAATTACTTTAAAAATGTATTTGCACTTTAATATTTCCTACAATCTTGTAAAACTGCTTAAATCAAGTCTATCAATAATGCTTTAGTTGCTATTCTAATATTTGTTTGATGCAAACTTCAGATAATTTAAGCTGTAAAACTAAATCAATATGGAGCTGTTATAAAATAAATCAATAAGTTACACTTATATATGCACCGGAAGGTACGCAGACTTAAATATAATGGTATTACTGTAATAGTCACAAGTATAAACTAACGATATGATTTAGGATTCAAAGTTCTCTAATAGTTTACTCTACGATGTAGAAATTAATTTTGAATTATAAATCACATATAATATAATATTCAATATTTAAATATACTTTTCATCTACCAATATATTTATTATTTATATTTTGGATTTTTAGTATTCTTTCGAATAAATTTCTTGTAATTCTAAACTTTTAAGCTATGATATAAAGTTAAATCTTCTAAACTAATCTATAATATAAATTGTTAGTAAATAGTTGTTTAATAGAAAAAAATACAGATTATTAAATTATTATTTAGTCATAAGGAATAAATTGTACATACAACTGGGACCCGGATGTTAATACCTTAAAAATAAATCTATGCATGCCATTAAAACATAAAATATGCTTGAAAATTATTTATATAGTTATAAGAATAAAACGCAAAAAAATACAAAATAAAAAAGTTTCATAAATTCGTATGTCATTGAAACAAAATTAAGCTAGAAAAGCATGGAAAAGCGTCCAAAAATAAATACAAAAGTCATCAACATCTAAGCCTTAGCTAAAATGTAATAGTAAATAATAATGACTTTTGTATTAACAATATGTAATATGAATTTTTATTAATATGCTTAACACAGAGGATATTGTTTTCATACACCTTAGTTATCTCGCTTTTTATAATTGCACGAACAGTAAACGAAACTAACCCAGTTTCTAATATGTGGTTATGTAGGTGAATTAATTTAATAATTTTGTTTATAAGTAATAATTGAAAAGCTTTAAATATTGATCAAACGTGAGGCAAATATAACCATCTTAATGATGTAATAACTAATTAGTAAGGTTATACAACTATGCATTACAAGCCAACAACAGACTTTTTCACTCTTTGATGTTTTTATACTACCTACCATACTTTAAACATTTTATGAATTTGTTTTGAAAATAATATGATTACTTTATACTCAACCTTTTTAAAATATCAATGTCATACAAATGATATTTTACAATGTTATAGAGAGTGTGTAGCTACGTTTATATGATTTGTATACACTCTTTTTGGGTTATTACCAGTTCTATTGTTTTAATTCATGTATTTGATTAGTTAATCATAATACTATTTATGTATAGTAATTATTTATAATTTGTCCAGAAATACCACAAATGGTCTCCGATGAAATCTTTATTCGTTTGTTTTTACCACATCGATCATCATATTATTGTAAAGATCGATTGTCAAGAAAAACACTCATTTCAACCGTTTGCTAGTAATGAAACAAACAGTGCAAGAACAAAAATATTTCAAACGATGTTATTGATCAAAGAAGAAAATGCTATGTACATCTCTCATCCGAATAGTAAGATACTTTTCAAATTTTATCCTGTAAATTGTCTAATTTTTGTTTGTACGCCTATAATGGTTAATATGGTATACGGCTTACATATTGCATTTATTGTAAATCCAAAAATTACTTGAATAATACAAAAATTATAAATAGAAACATCATCGTGCACTTTAATCAAGTACCTAGTAAAGTTGATAAAAATATGATATTTGAGTAAAATATTTTTGTATAAATTACACACGATTTTTATTATTACACCCTACACCTATTGATAGGTAAACATATATTTTATACAAAATAACATATTTTTTTTCAAGATAATCGATGAATATTACATTTAAATCAAGTCTACAAAATTAATCTTAATTTGCATTCAAATGTTTTTGTTTGATTAGCTTATGAAATTACGTCCAGACAACCTTTGTTGTACAATCACAAGCTCATTAGTAATCCGGATTCATCGGATGTTACGGAGACCATTGAACTGATTAAAAACTTATGTGAAATGAGCGAGGTACGCAAAAAGTAAAATCTAATTTGGTGTACAAATATTTTATCTTCTACCTTTTCTCTTAGGGACAATTCAACCCTGATTCCCCAAGCGAATTTTACAAGGTTATTCAAGCAGCTAGAAAATTAACGTATGACGCGTTAAAAGACCTTTATTTTATTTCACAAAATGATTTGTGTTCATCAGCGACGTAAGTATTTTTTTTTTCAAAATTATATTAGACCTTTTGTTCGTTAATATAATAGGTACCTATACATTATATGTATATTGTATATATATCATATATATCAGCATCAATGTATATATTACGTTATTTTATAAACAGGTAATTATTATAACTCATAATTTACCTTTCCATAAAATTCATAATTATGCTTGTTAAAATATGAATTACCTGGTTCACTGATTGATATATGTATGGTAGTATAGAATAACAATTTGGTTTCCGCTAATTATGTGTAGAATTTATAGCCATCTTAGATAATTACAATAAATATAATTAAATTTGTTGAAGTTGTAATTTTATTAATAAATACTAATTTGAGAAATATGATAATATACATTAGTAAACCTAATATAATAACTTTTTTTAAAATTTGTTATGAAGTAATAACCTAATTATAAAAGTTATCTTTTATGTGAATATTAATGAACAATGCCTTGAGAATAAGTTGACATATCAAAATTATAAATCAGAATGAGATTTTTCAAAGCGAATATTTATATTTTATTTTAATAAGTACATTTTTTGTTGTAACTTTCTAGACATTCGATACTATCATATTATGTGCTTGTCATAATTTTACTTGCATTAACTAAATTGTTATTGTTTATTTATAAAATATCTAGTTAGTATATACTCGTAGAATAACTAGCTGAAGTATATATATTTGTATTAATTTCTATGCATTGACTGAAAGTACCAGTAACTCTATAAACGAATTTTTATTTTTAAATAACGGAAGCGCGTACATTAACGCTGACACATAATATAATATATATGTATGTACATATTTTTTTACATATATATATGTTTTTTTAAATTTAAATAATTATTAGATGTATCTTTAAATTGAATGCAATTCCTAGTACTCAAAACTCTAGGGAGATGAAAAAAAAATCGAAAGTTGCGGAGTTTTACTTTTTAAAGTGGTTGAATCATTAATATACTGTATACTGGGTTGAACGTGAGGATGATTTCAAGAGGAAAAAAAAATTGTTTGAATTATTGGAGTAAATTCAAAAAAAGTTGCACTATTGTTTCTATTCAAATTTATTTGTCATTTCACAAACTTTATACAACAAAATAAACATCACTATTGAAAATGTTTGTTTGTCTCTATAATAATAGAGTTAAAAATTTTGTTTTATTTCAAGCAAACATCTACAAAGCGCATTACCATATGTTCGCACCACGTCTGCGGTAATACTTATGAAAGACATATTATGGAATGGAACCATCAGTGAATCCATTTCTACCGACTGGTTAATGGCAATGGCAATGTTTGACAGGTAATTGAGTTTATTTCGTTACATGTATGCATATAGAAGGTATGCATTAACAAATTATTTAAAAAAACACACTGTCATTAAAAATATGCTTTATCGTTGTGGAAAACTTTTAAAACTCATTATTTATTTAAATTGTGACCTATAAAATATTATGCCAACAATTATTAATTATATTATACTGCAGGCCGGATGATCAAGTAATTTCTGAAATTTCTCATTTGCTACACAAAGAAAACGCTTCGTCGGATATACTATTAAGTATTACTTCTTTGATTCACACATACTGCAAATTAAATCCAAACTGTAATGAAAATGTTGAGTTAATACAAGCCATCATATACATTGAACAGAAAATCAAAGAGAATATTTTGATAAAAGAAAACCGAGACGAGGTAACTAAAATTAATCTTCGAAAATAACGCAGTAAAAACTTAACCATCATAAATATACCCGTTTCTATTTTTCAGACGTTAATTTGGTTAAAATCTCTGGGTAACACGGGGCAGACTTCGCCTACTACCCTACATACATTAAATGCAATCATTGTGAATACAGATTTAACGGTGGACATTCGAGTGTCGGGAGTTCAGGCTTACAGGTTTGTTAAAAAATGAAATACATTTTTAAACCACATACCTACAGGTCAGACACTAAATTATCAGGAATTACATTTTTTAGACGATTCCCCTGTAACATAACGAGATCGGCTATGTTGGACATCTTCGTCAACCAATCTCTGGATTCAGAAGTTCGGATTGCCGCGTACTTGCAAGTAATGCGGTGTCCCATTTACAGTATGGTGAGGCATATAGTAACAGTTTTAGACACTGAAGAAGTCAATCAAGGTAATGATATATTGAGATAATATAGACACTTGACATAACAATTAGGATAAAGAAATATGATATAATTAATAATAACTTAATTTTATTTTACGGAAAAAATACTAAAATCGCATTATTTTCATGTATCATGCATGTTTTATGTAATACAAAATATTCATAACTATATTATAAATACAATTATTTACAGCAATAAAAAAAAAAGCTAAAAATATATAAACACAAACTTATACACATATTATATATTTGTATATTGTGTATTCATATTGCATAATATGCAGATTTTAAATCCTTGTTTGCATTTTTCTTGTACCTAGTCGGCTCGTTTGTTTGGACACACTTACAAAACCTAAAAAAGACTTCTGTACCATTTTATTTGGAGCTGCAAACCATGTTAGCTGGTGACATAAACAAGAAATTTAATACTGACATACGAAAGTTTTCCAGAAATTATGAAACTTCATTTTTTTTAAACGAATACGGCGTCGGTAAGATTTTTGGAGATTGAATTCTTTTTTTATTATAATTATAATTATTTATTTATGTAATTGCTGTAAATGTCATTTTTCTAGGCGGATCTTTCGACAGTAATGTGATATTTTCTCCAAAGTCTTATATACCTCGATCGTTTACATCAAACATAACGTTAACATTGTTTGGAGAATACATTAATATACTTGAAGTTAGTCATTAGTTAATAATTAAAAACAAATTAATTAAAATCTATAGATATATAATCGAACAATACGTCCAATTTATAGTTAATATTAAACTCAAAATTTAAATTTTAAATTAAGTCAATACCCTTTTTCTTGTTACCAGTTCATCTAGAGTTCGTTTAATTAGTTCTGATTTTGTACGAGTAAAAACAGAAGCAAATTTGAATATATTGTAAATGAACTTAATAGTAATAAAAAATAATTTTTTCTTACGCGTATTGGTCGATATATCTATCTTATCACACAAAACCATTAATTGAATTAAAAAAAAAATAATAAAAATAATATATTGACTTAACACACGATAGGTAGAGGTATATGCCGAAGGCTTTGAAAACTACATAGAAGCATTATTTAAGCCTGGAGGTGTATTTAGCTCTGAACGTGTAAAAAAGGGATTGGATGTTTTGCGTTTCGTGCGAAGCTTAATCCCGGAGACACTCAAGGATAGGATTAACGAATTACCAAATGTCGTTACTGACAATGTGCCTCCACCAAAGGTCGGTGATAATTTGATTTGAAAAATTCTATACAATATTGATTCTTAATGAAATTTGTACACAATTTTTTTTCGGAGAAAATCCTTAAAAGTGATTAATCTGTGTGGATTCCTATTTTGTTTCTCCTACAGATATCCTTGGCGATTAAAGTATTCGGAAACGAAGTAAAATTTTTGCGTCTCAATGGCGTGGACGAAATCAACAAAGCGATCCGTTCTTTTGATGTGTACAACATTATGAAAAGCTTCATGAACGGACGAGTAAATATTTTCGTGTTATTTTAATATTTTGGCATTAGTCAAGTGAAAGGATACTTTACACTTTTTTTTATAGGAATTCCAATATGACCAATCCGCCATGTTTATGGACTTAAAATACGTAGTACCTACTGGAATTGGCATGCCTTTGATATTAGACGCCGTCGGTACTTCCGTAGTAAACTTTAACATGTCAAGTTACATAAACGGAGATGCTTTCAAAAACTTTGGAGAGTTCAAATTGTTGACCAAATTGTATCCGAGGTAAATTAAAATTTAGGAACGGTAATGATAGTATTATTGTCTTGGTTTTATTTTTTAAGTTTATTTTAAAACAAATCGCATTTGGTATACTGTTGTCTGTTATTCATTCTTATTTTCGTTTATATTTGGAGCATTGTAACGTATCTCCATAATATATGCATTAATGCATTACACAAACAATCTCCATATATTATCAATTAATAATTTATAAGCTGTGTTACCTACCCACATCTACAGATTTCAACATATTTAGTGGTAAATATAAGTAGTATAAATTAAATATAATGTCTCATCATAATATATCACTGACAGAGATGTAGCGTAGGTACACACCGTTTATAATTTGTTGTATGACTTTTTAATAAATGTTGGTGTAATTTTGTAAGTATCACTATATAGGCTATAATGCAAAGTGCTTTATATTTTATTTTCAAAGAATCCATTATCATCGTATACAACGCATGGAGGTTTCCAAAACAATAATTATTCTGTTTAAGAATTTTAAATTAAAATTTTTGTTTGTAAATCAATAGTTGGTTTAGTTTTTCACTGCGCACTTTGGGGTCGTAGTTTTTAAAATACTCACGGAAAATTAGTCTGAAACGAGAGAGATTTATATTTAAATACATTTTTACCATGTTTTACTTTTTGACTAAGTTATATAATATTCATTGTTCATGTTTCAGTAGATACCATTATGTAATATTATAGCTTTATATTGGTTTCTATTTTATATTACTATTGTCTTGAAAGGAACACAATTTAATATATTTCGTTTATTAACTTTGACTCAAATACTTATTTATGTGAAATATTATGTGCAGTCTAGCTTTAAATTTGGAGGGCTCGATGACTATGGATCTTCATTACGAGACCACTCAGGCCAAAGTTAAATCAAAGCTGTACACTTCAACTGCATTCGAAGGAACCACCGAGGTTAAGGGATATAAATTCGTGAATTTGGTATTTGATTTGCCAAAGATCAGATCCGATATTATTAGCATTGAGTACGTATGAATGTTTCGACGATAAAATATTTACTTACAATATAATAATAATAATAATAATAATAAATCTAATAATATTTATTTAACAAGTTACGTTTTAGGCATATACTCTCTTTATCAATACGAATTTATTTCATACTTATTTTTTAATATTTTTATTTCAAATAAGAAAACGTTTTATTTACTACTTGTTCAACAACTTTCATTATGAATTCGTAAATAATATTATATTCATTCAGATTTTCGTTACATACAAATTAAATACTTATTGTTGTGATTTAAACCTTTTGTGTACTTTTATGAGTATATGACTTAATATAAGTTAAAATAATATTTTAAACTGTGGACATCGACATTTTTTACCTAATCTTCATAAAGTTTTATTTATTAATGTTTTTTTTTTCATATTTTACAGATCTGAGTTGTTTTTAGAAGACCATAAATTAGAGGTCGATATCAATCCGAATCGAAATTCCGTGACACCCTCTAACTTGTCCTACAGTTTGCCTGTTCTCGAAGAGATGATGGGACTCAAATTGTACACTAATTATCGGTTACCAAACATAACTGAAATAATCAAATCGCCTATGGTGATATTTAACGGACCTTTGAGGTTGAACATTTTTTTACTTAAATCTGATATAAAAGTCAATAAATATGTAATGGAATACAAATGGCTCACAGGCAAAGTAAGTGAACGCGTTTGTACCTTTATTTATTATTATAATATCATGCACGTTATATTACACTTAAGATTAAAACTATAACACGTAATTGCTGATGTTTTGATTTAGAAAAACTCATCTATTAGCTTTATATACGAAACACCTAGATCACACGTTAAACACTATATGAAAGCACTTCTGGAAATGGACACTCAGACGCAAAATTTCACTTTATTAGTACATGGAAAAACCATTCAACTACACGCTTTGGGTATGGATTCTGTTGTTTTGCTTCTCGTTTTTTTTTTTTTCAAAAGATGACTTATTTTCAAACAATGTTTTTAGGTTTGTACAGGAATTCTCCGTTGCACAAGTTGATGACGTTCACACTAGACATTAACGACGTGAGACACCTCGATCTATTGATGGAACTTAAAATCGAAAATGAAAAATACGGTCGTTTGTATTTACCAAAATTATACCTTGACATAAACGCAAGGAGAATTGCTGAACTCGAGGGTGATTTTAATTACTTTTAACATTTTTATTCAATTTTTTAAACTAATGTTATATCATATTATTATCCATAGTATTCAAAATAAAATATAATATTATAAATATGTAAATAATAAAAATATGATAGCATTTTTTTTCTTCAAATCTTAGGTCAATACAAATGGGTGGAAAAAAAGGGGATATCTCAGTGTGATATCAACCTGACATTTAAAACTACCAAGTTCGATTCTACAATTGTCGGCTACATCAAAATAAATGATGCGTCAACAGCATTAAATTTGATATTTGAATACACATTCGATAAGGCTGTAACTCTGGATACGATAAAATTGGAAGTAAAAATCAGTGATCGATCAACCAAAGCATTATCGTCGTTACAAGGAACTATGCAATTAGAATCATCAGCTTATCCACACATCAACCATGTAACTTCGGCCATATACCAGGTATTACAGTCTGGTTTATAAGCAAATATAATGTCTCAAAATAAAAACTCAATGTCGCAATGTTATGTGAAATGAATTCTTATAATAACGTATATAAGAACTAGTGTACTTACTCTTAGTAACGTTTTTGATTGAAGTTGATATATTTCATTTGTGTACCTCTGTTATTTAAATATTTAATATAGAACGTATAATATAGGTATTATATATTGGCACAGATTTGCAATTTACAGTGCTTGATTTACAAAACACCATTGAAGTATGAGCTGGAATAAATTCTTGGAATGTCGAACATTTCCTAAACAAAATTCACATCAGTCAAACATAAATATTTGCTCATAATAGTACCAGGGATTGCAACTCAGCAACATTGAACATTATATTAGTTTGTTGCAAATTACGACGAAATATGTACATTTTACAAACGTGTTTAATATTATATTTATCAATAAAAAAGTAGGCAAACAAATTCAACTCCAATTTTTAAAACTCTATTTTACGCAGTCGTAATAAACGTAAATATAATATTGGTATATCACAAATTGCTGAGTATTTTCCAAAGTTAATTTAAAAATCGAAGTCCAATGTGACCTAAATTAAGTTTACCTTTTTCAAATCAAAATAAAATATCAAAATCCAACTATTCTAAGAGCCATGATCGTTTTTTCTGTAATTCGTTTTGATCGTTGAAATGGTTTGATTATACTTTACCTTACGACCGTGGCCGCCTCACCACCTAACTATAGGAGTTGTTTGTTATTGTCTGAAATGTTGTCATTTAATAAATAGGCACCTACACTCTTAAAAAAGGTATCTAATTTTTAAAAGATGTCGCTATGTTTATATTATGTTGGCAGTAAACTGTTACGTTTAAAATTTTACTTTGGGAAATAATTGAGTAGAGTTTAAAAAGGGCTATATATGGGCTATACATGTGTAGATCTTACTTTCTCCTATCAGATTCACAATAAAAGATTTAATTCTAAGACCATAGATGAAAAAAGTACCATGAATACACTGTCTGTTATACTTACATTTTAAATACATTTTATAATTTTTCAAGTGTATGATACATTTTTAGCAATTTTAAGGTTCTATATAGATTTAATATAGATGACAAATATACATAGATAATATTATTATTTTATACAGATATTTCTTGTAAATTAATTTTAAGGGTTAATTGGATTTCATTATTAAACAAATCCAATTTAACTAAATTAGTTAACCTGAGACAATAAATATATCTTTCTCATTTCAGAAAGCACAAGGTCACACAGAATGTCGCATCGATTTCATTAACTACCCTAACCTGAAGGACAACACTAAAAAATTACACGTCGAATTTGGATTCACTCAAATCAAATATTATTCTGGCAACAAAATAAATATAAACTTATTCGTCACTAAAATAGCTGAAAACATTTTGTTCAAAATCATAGGAAATCATCAGGACACTCAAACCACGTCTAACACCGCAGTTCTTGTACAGTATGCGCAAGGTACATACATGAGTTTTATTTAATTCTCATCAATCAACCGTTATCAACAGGTTATAGTTATCATACGCGAATTATTTTTTTACTTCATGTTCACAGATAAAAATATCACGGCCAAGCTCGACATTCTTATGCCTCCGAGTATACTACTGAACGTAGATACTAGATTCAAGTTGACAATACCTTCTGGAAAATTTCCGTTGGACATACACGTTGTGGTCAAGGAAAAAGTCATGAACGAATATGACGTAAGTGTGAAATTAATATTTCATTGACAGATATTAATTTACCCACATACAATTATTTACCATCGTAGTAGGTAGTAGCAACGATTGCCGGGTTAGACTAAAATATTTTAAATTAGGTTTTTTTAACATCAGTATTTTAGAGTGATTATTCAATCCTAATTTTAGAATATTATTATCTATCTTAAAGATAGACTAATCTGATGAGATTAGATAAATTAACATACGAACATCCGTCAACTATAAGTAAGACTATAACAGTATTAATAATTATATTAAACGTTAATAAATATTAATAAGTTTGTAACTATTTTAACAGTGTATTATGATAATAATCGTCTCTGAGTCAATGCAATTGTCATAATATTATATTAATTGGTTACAACATTTGACCTTATTGTTCTAAAATATACAAACCCATACATTATTTATTACTTCCAAATTTTATTAAAAACAATATAATGCTCTATTTCAATAAAATTGTATTACGTATGATTTATCATATTATAATACAAAGTAGGGAAAACGCTAAATCTCAACAAATTAAGTACATATACTATTATACACAATCGGTCGGTTGTTATCATTTCATCTACATAATATTATTGTGTTTATAAAATTGTTGACTGTCCGATAAAAAAAAAAATACATTCTTTAAAACACAGTTTGTACCTTGCTAATTATTAGTAATTTGTTTAGATCGATTTCGCGGGAACTTGGATTGGAGGACAAAACGTAACTGCAAGAGGACTGTACCAGGACCACTCTTCGTATTATCTGACAAGCCATACACTCAAACTTTTAATAAAATCTCACTTATTCAACGACATAGTATTCATGGGGAAAATTTACGTGTCAGACGAGGAATACAGGATTGAATCGTGGGTCGGTAAACCAACGCTAGTCGGGTCCGGAAGCCGTCTATTTAAGTGGTTGCTACACCCGCATGTCACTGACTAACGAACTTATAACAGCAAAATTTCGTTCAGTAGAATCGTTTTGTATTGTTATAGCTTTAACATTAGAGTGAATTAACCAATGAATTAAAATCAAATTTGAAAGTAAGAACATTATCAGCATCCCTCGTCGGGTTGTTTAAGATATTTTAATTTTCAAGCGAGTTTGAGCATTGTCATACTTTAATATGATATACACTCATAAATCGCCTAAAAACTAAAATATCACAAAAGACCAAAGAAAAATAACAGATTATGTTCTTACCGTCATGTTTGATTTGTTCGATTAGGTGATTAGGTCGATTCTCTTGAATATTAAGGCTAACTACTCAAAATCAGTTACACTCGGCGCAAATTGTCTGTGTTGTTAGTTTGTAACACTTTCGGGCGTAGCGTCCTCTTATATAATTTTTAACATACAGATTAAATCGAAAAAACCCTTTAAAATAACAAATCAATTTTATAGTATTCCTGTGTTCTGTATGTATAGGTGGACCACAACAACACTAAGCATGCTATACTCTTGAGGCATTTGGCTCGTTCCAATATACTACAGTACGAATCATACGGTGAATTGAAATTGAACACTAGCACGTATTCGTTGTCCAATCTGATAGACCTGAAAAATCACGAGATAACGCTGGACATACATTTGGACCAGTAAGATAATACGACGATGATTAATAAGAATATAAATTATCTATATTTTTATACCTCTGGCCGATCGATATTAGTCTGTAGGTGGAGTTTTTGTCTAATTTTAATATTGTGGGGGGAAGGGGAGGTTAATTTAAAAAAAATAAACCTTTTATATAAATATGGCAAGACGAATCTCCATCTTTCTAACATACGCAATACGCATACCATACCAAATTTTACAATCAGAATAACCCATATTGTTCTGTTATTTTTAATATCTATATAGGTAAGTATTAAAATGTACAAATTTAACTTATTATTAGTATGAACTATGTATTTAAAACACTCATATACAATTTTATTTATTAATGAGGTATTATTATATTGATAATCAGAAACTTTTCAGTTACAGGTTCAAAACTTACAAAAAAATTATTGAAAAGTAAAAATGATATTTTTATAAATCTAAAATCTAAAAGGTAGCGAGGGTTGTGGGTGAGGGTTAGGTTATTTTGCCATCATTTAAAAAAGCGCTGATCTAAATCAGTTTGCTTATTGTTTCTTAACATTATAAAATATTTTAATGGATATTTCGGGATGGGACGAGTTGTGTCGATGTGAAGACTATTGACTCCGTAAATAGAATCCAATTTGTATTTATAATATTTTAAAATGAGAACAGATGGTTCTAATTTTACAAGCAATGACGTAATAATAAGCTTCGAATTTGAACATTTAATTTTTTTTTGGCCTTTCTCCTGTTCCCTAACACCACGTATTTATGAGTTAGTCATCGAACGATATGTGTTGACAATTTGATATAGGTACAGAGATATATCGATTTACGGTAAAGGATTTGCCAATGAATGGAACTCCCACACAATTTTTGAAATAAAATGGGATGCCAACCGAGATCCAGATCAAAAGTTTTCAGTCACATTCAAAACGAACACGAGTGATATTGTCGACGGTGAACAATTTCTAGGTTTGCTGGTGATAGAATATCCTGGTCGAACAGTGAACACCGATTTAGAATTGAAATATATAGGTATGAATATAACAGTATAGAAACTAAAAAGTTCAATTTACTGGTTTTCAGTTTTTTGTAATTTATTGTGATTGTTATACTTATTAAATTATCTTATGTGCCTACCATTATTTGGCGGACTTTTTTTAATAATCAATTTGATTTTATTAACAATTATAAACTTTACGTAGGACAACACTATTTTATATTGAGTTCGTTCGAATGGGATCCCACGTCGAAAATTGATTTTTCATTAATCTTGAAAAACGATTTCTTATCAAAAGGAAGTGGATACATTGGTTGTAAGATGCTTACGCCGTTCGAGAATTGGTTGAAAACATTATACGAACAAAGGTAATGCGATTACACATTTTATAAACTAGATTAGAAACCTGGTATAATAGTTTGTGATTGTTTTAATAAAATAAAATAAAAATACTAAAACTCCGATGAACATTTTGTTTCGAATTTATATTGTTCGAGAAAATTGGTTTAGGTTCCGTATAGGTACTGACGATGAAAATTGTACGATAATCCAAAATAGACTGTCGTCGGCATACTTTATAGCTCAATAGTACCAATATTCGACGTACCTATGTGTTATATGTTTGGATTTGTATAACATGTTAATCACACATTACGAAATGCTGAACTTTTAATGAACACTTAAAATCACTTATTATATTATAGTAAAATTAATAATTATCCAAACAATTTTTACATTTTTCTAAAATAATCAAATAAATTTTGTATTGATTTCAAGGCAACACTGTTGTTGGTTAATCATAACAACGCGGTTTGCGCCAAAATATTTTGTATATTATATTATTATGATATTATGTAATTTTTCATCGAAAACTTTGATTAAACCTGTTCAAGTTTATTTAAAAAATATTAAACGTAGAAAATGTCCGAAGTTCAATATCAATGAACCTTAAAACTACACAGCTACCTGTGTATTGGTATAATGCATATTGATGTTGTAGCGTTATTATCGGACCTCAGAACATGCACACAAACGGTAGTGTAATGTGGCAAGGTAACCAATACTTGAACTTTGATGTACAAACCGGTTACCAGACGCTGGACGAAGACTTTGGATTTTCGTTTAATACTGCTGTTAACAGTTCGCTGCAAGATCTTAACGCTATTCGCATTTACATCAACCACAATTATGGTACCAACAGCTTCAACACCAGTGTCTTGCTGCAGGTGATAATTAATTAAACCTCAATAATATATCATTTTTGTTTTGTGCAAGACATTTAAAAATATCAATTTCTCGATATTTTTACGATAAATATTTATTTTACTGTTGCATAGATAAATCCAAAATATGTAATATCGCTGGGGTTGACTGGTAAAATCAACAGCACGAAGACTGAAACCATTTACAGCGGTTCGGTTACCACGCTCACACCGTTTTTTTATTACAAGACATTTAGCTTCGAGTCGGAAGTTGGTATACAAGAAAAAAAACTCAGTGGCGTCGTTGGACTGCAAATAGATTCTAGCAATTTTAAAGTCGAGTTCCACGGTAAGATAACACAATAATTGAGATTTCTTCTTTAGTTAAAAATTTGTTTCATTTGCCATCATTACCGGGTGATAACTTATCGCCCGAGTGATCCATGCTTAACGAGACATAATAATATTGTCGAATAAATAATTACTAATACTATGTAACTTCAACCGCTTAGCGATGGATTACCGACATTTATAAATACCGTAAATTTGTGAACAACTGATTTAATTTTTCTTGGCAGTAGTAATTAAAAATAATAATAAACAGTATACTAGGTAATATTATTTATTTCGATTTTGGTTTAATATAACTGCTAATGGGTTAATGCTTGTAATTTTGAAAGTAGGTTCATTATTTTTTTCATTGTCCATGTTTAATAGCTGGTAGTCCAACATTAATTCAATTTATTTATTCTCAATACACTCAGAACTGATGGTATTGTAAATCTTAAAAAAAATGAATAACGAAAGTTTGGAAAAATATTGAAGAGAACTCAAAAGTCATATTGATCATTGCATCGCACCCGAGCTTTTTGTTATTTTTACGCTCACTTTAATGTTTGAATGTCAGAATATATATTATTATGATAGAGTTATTTTATTTTGTCATGTTTGATTTGAATACAAATTAAAAAATTAATAAATACCTCACATAAGGTATAAATAATTAACAAGGATAAATTATTCATTAATAATACATATCTAGGTACTTATCATGTCAAGATTTTCAAGTAGGAAATTTATGTGTTGTAATATAAATTATAAATTATCACATATAATAATATATATATTATTATCCATAACTATCTTATTATAGTAAATTCTGGAGAGTGTAGACTGTAGGTATTAAATTGTATGTAAGTTGAACTACTGAGTTTGAAACTGTCTTATTAAAATATTAAGATGACTGTACCATACAGTAATCAAGCGTTTTAATAATGTGAGAATTAATTTTTTTGGATCTTTTGATTTCCGAGCAAGATATGACAGCTAGGTATATTATGAAATATCACAAATTAAAAATGGTTATATATTGCTCAAAAATTAAAACTTTCAAAAAAGGATAATGTTAAATTTAGTGTCGAGTTTGATAATAGGTCAATTCACTATAATATTTAAGCGAACAACACAAATTTGTTTCTTCTGAAATCGAATTTGAGATGTATAAGATATGCTCTTAAATTATATTATTATTTTGTAGAAGAAGGATTTCCATTTTGGTTTTAATTTTATCACTATTCTATTTTTAGAATTCTTCGCATTTCTTAACCAGTGACAACATTGTTGTATATGCTTATAGACTATTTTTGAATTTTTTTATTATGATGGGCATGGCTCATTTATAATATTACTTATATTAGTGTACAATAATTATTACTTAATCAAAGATATTTAAAGAAAATAAGCCATTTAAACGTGTATTAAAAACATTAATAGTTACATATAGAAAAATATCAATATTATGTCATTTTACTTTTCACAATTATCATACATCAATGTACAAGAGCATTTAGACTATAGTTTGTGAACTAGAATAGCACATAAAAGGTATTTGATTGCTTAGTATTACGATGAAGAACCGAGAAATTTAATTTGACAAGTAAAGTTCGACAATACATTTTTTCATTGTGTTATTTAAAAAGGAGATCTAGCCGTAATCGTCTTATTTAAAAATAAAAATTTGTTTAAAAATGTCAATTGTGCATGATAATAGAGCTAGACTTATATAATTTTACAACTAAAAGATTCTATTCTTAAAAATTGGTTTTAAAATCGACTCTAATGATTGTATTGAACCTACTGAGCATGGTGACTAAAGTATAGAGTTATAATCAAAAATTAATCTTGCACAATAAAATGTTTTCAACACAATTCGATTTTTTAAGTCTTTGCATCTTCGGCTAACCTAACCTATAGATGATATCTCGCCATGCACATAAATACGATGAGCATCAAATGATAAATGTGTGTCAAAAAGTATACTTAAATCCCTATTATTTTAGACGCGAGTAAGTTCAAGACCATTTAAATTATAATTATGAAGATAATATGAGGATCGTTTTTTCAGAAATGTGTTTAATTTACATTTAGGATTAGTAAATAAATAGTGATTTACTATTGTATTTACCTGTGTATAATCTTCAATATAACACGATCGAGAACCTGTGATGTGATCGGCCGCTTCTTCTCCCTGGCCAGCCTTCTCCTGAATATATCTACGCATTCTACAACTACTAGTAATAGTTTGTATAGGCAAAAGCTATTCTTGAGTAATAAAAACAAATATCACATAAAGATCATTTTCCCTCAAAATGTGTGGATAGATGTATTCCAAAATAGGTAGGAATTGGTGGGTATGTGTCTTATAATGAAACATCGAAATCTGACTTTAAAGTATATCAACTTTTAAATATAAGTTCACCAAAAATTAAAAAATGTCAAAGTATTCAAAATTATGCATTAAAAAATATTTAATATTCTAATTCGTAACACTAGAAATATACTTAGCATACCTAATATAACACGATTATCTAGAAAAATGTGCAAATACATACAAATTCGTTCCTTAATTATGAAGAATAAAATGTAAGTTATCAAAGAAAACTACTTGGAAGTGTAGTCATTTAATTCAGTGCCTATGTTTTATTCGACGAAGTTAAAAACCATTATTGTAGGTATCTATTGAAGAATAAAACTATACAATGGAGTTGATGTTATTACTTATTATTACCCTGGCATTGAAATTTTAATTAATTTCAATAACGTTTGGATTCATGTTGTTTTTTGTTCTCATTGTTAAGGTGTGTTACTTGTATAATATATTTATGTATATCTTAAAGTATATTTTATAGTATATGTAATATGTATGGTATTGGTAGGTACACCTTTATTATTATGTATGATGTGTACACTGTACATTCATAAATTGTAATTAAATTACTTAACTATTTTAATAATAACAACACTAAATTTCTTATGCAATCCAAAAACAATGAAAAAAGAAATTTTATATTCTATACCATATTTTATATCTAAAGTTTAAAACTAGATACCAGCTTCTTAGGTACCCTTTTTATACAGTTATATTATTCACATATGATTATAGGTATAATATGCTTTGTGGATTTGCTCGTTTCGTTTTTGCCAAATGTCAACAGTTCATTTGGTTCAATATCATTTCCGTTCTTGTCTACATAAATAAAACAGACCATTCAAATATTCAATTTTCACCTTGAAAATGTTTAATGATCTTTTTATCGGTACATAGTATTAATCAACAAAAAGTTAATACAAAATGTATTGGTAACTAAAATTGTTATTTGCTTAATATGTCTTTATGTTATTTTTAAATGTTAGATATGTTTATTTACTCAAACAAGAAAAAACAATATCATGCTAATGTGACTTAATATACGTTTATAGAGTTATATCGAGTTAAAAAAAACTAAACTAATACACAACGCACAAAATATTGTACAAAGGGTATGATTTAATGTCATGATAATATTATCGTCCTATACATTTTTTCAACGATGTCGTTAATTGCTAAATAACTTTTAATGAAAACATGATATATTATGTGTTCCTTCGGGATATATTCAGGTTGTTTTTTATCCATTAAGACCGTTGGGTACGCGTGTTTGACCAGTACTTCGATGTTCCTGGTAATTTCTTAGAGATGTGTCCATTGCGTGACATCTTATTTCATGTCGTTAAGTTTTGTGCAAAAGGAGCTCCAATTAATTAGCCAACAAATTGTAGATACATTTCGTTATAATTATTGAACGGAGATCGTTTTTGGATAATATTGAAGTTTGGGTCGTTAATGAACCTACATCAATATCAATTCAGTTGTTGTCAATAGATCTGCTCGTTTATTGCATTTTATTAGATGTCTGCACGTTACAATACCTTAGTTCACCGTGGATTTTACATGATTATTTTATTTATGTTTTTGTAATTTTATGTAGATATGTGCTTAATATAAGTACTTTTGTTGAAAACCACAGAGTAGATTAAGTAATTTTAGTCCAAGATAATATCAATAATTTATAGATTATAGCCCATATTCTATAATGGTTATATACGTCCACAATCTATAATACATATTAATATGGTACGTGTAAACTGTATAACCATATATCATAAAAATGTCACCGTCAATTGTGTCAAACCTCTGTTTATAGAATATTATCATCATCTGAAGAATAAAAGTGTATTTTAGGTGACTACGAAAATTCAATGCTGATTTTTATCTAATTTTTTGCAAAACCTTTCACGTGTGTCCTTTGTCTGTTCACTTAGGAAAGCATAATATAAATATATAATAATATATATTATGTGCAACAATAGTAATATAGTAATATTTTATTTTTATATTTTAGGTGTATACTTTCCATTAGACAATAGCAAAATATTGTTGAAAATTTCAACTCCTTATGAAAGCTACAAAACTTTATACGGGAAAATGGGTTACAAAGCGAGAGAAAAACACATTTTTTTTGACATATACAGCGATAATTTCAAACTAGGGATCGAATTGCGTTACTTGTACAAAAACCTATCCAACTACAATCTTAAGTTACGAGTCAACACACCTGTAGATCCGTTAAGGCAGTTGATCATTGCTGGTAAACTCCATAGTGAAATAGTAAGTATATATTACCTGACACTAATGTATTATTGTATCGAAAAGAGATAACCTTAGTAGGATATGTATACGTAAATTGTATAATATTATAATCAGGGCCGTGAACATGAAACGCCCACAGCACACGGTAAATGCATTAAAAATAAGAAATATTATAAATTAGGTATGCAAAGTAATATCCTTGCGTCAAATAAATTACTGTTATAATAACCTTTGTTTATTTTTATTCAAACAAAAACTTTTTTTAGTAGCTGTTTTGAAAACAAACTTATAATAAAAAAATGTACCATCATCCTTATTGAAACACTGAGAATTATTTGACAAACTTACTTAATATGAGGTGGTATAATACTTCATAAAAGCGAGTATGGGTTATTGAGTGTTAAATCAATATTAAAAACTCATTAAAATTATTCAAATAGACTTAAACGAGTCAATAGTACTAAAATATTGACACGCATATTTTTAGTGACAGTACATTGACATATATTTTGATTAAATAATAATGTATTTTGAATGTGTAGAAAAGATAGCTAATATTCCAATTCTAAAAGTTTATAGCTCTGGTAATATTCTATACAATTAAATTAATACACTGCCTATTATTTGAAATGTTGTTTTCAGTAAATTTGCAGTTTTAACCAAAATGTATAGTACCTACACTGAATGGTGGTTAAATTGAAATCACATTTTAAGACTAAATATACCTTGCAGTTGCTGCGGCAGTGTTTCGAAAAACTAACTAAATATTTATCATGCAATTAAAAACTTTCTATCGAAAACTGTTTGGTGTTTGGTATAATACTCGACTTACACAATTGAAAACTTTCTATTGTCATCTCCGTAACATTATTTACCATGATATCATTTTGATGTTATTCTAACATTAAAAAAATTGTTGTTAGAGATTTATATGAAATAACAATAACTATAAATAACAATAATATTTTCATTGAGCTGTTTTCCACATTTATAATATAAATTGGGTAATTACTACCGAGTACATTATTATGTCAATGAAAAAATCGTTACAGGCCGACTTTCGACTTGGATGGAATCACTTCCTGTTAGGCTTTGCTGGCATTTCTCACTACGTCAGTTGGTCCGATTTCGAGTACGCATTGCAGATTTACACGCCCGTGGAGAAGTTTACATACAGCAGTGCCATCGTGAAAATCTACATCATTGACGACATTGACTGCGAGTTCCGAGCTGTTTTGCCGGATTCATCAATGGTGATTATTGTTAAAAATATTATATTATGCTCAATTAATACTAAAATAAAAAAAATATAACCATACCGCCCCCTCCCCCCGTGGAAATATAATTTTGTATCAACCTAACCTTAACTGACTGCACCAATAAATGTTCTAAGTATTGGCCATCTTTTCCCAGAACTGTTTAATTTCGTATGTTTTTTTAAATATAATTTTAGTTAAAAAAAATCAATACTAGTTACTTTAATAGTATGATATTATTTTATTAATACCTATCGAGTAAACATTTTTTAAATGATTTTTATTGGTATAGGTATTAAGGTTATCTATATTGTGTATCATTAGACATACATACTCAATGAAAGGTAGGTAGGTACACATAATTGAAAATTATTGTACACATTTCAAAATAATATCACATAATATAAATCATATTGTGATTCCGATATAATACATACATTGAAATATATTTTTGGTGAATTTAATTTTTATTAAATCCAAATGTGTTTAAACCAATTTCGGTAATTTCAATCATTTAAAATGTATATTATCATTAATATGGAGATTAATCAAAATTAAAAAAATTTTTTGCATTTTTTTAGTGAAATATTCAGAATTTTTAATTAATAAAAGCATTTTTTGAGGGCATTTTTAGATTTTGTAGGGCGTTGAAATAGGGTAGGTATGGGAAGTTTAGCGATTCGTGTTACCTATGACATATATTATTATAATTTAGAAGCTTTTCTATTTGCAGCCTGAAGATAATATATATTAATATTTTACTAAATTTCAATTTTAATGTCTAAATTGTTATATTTTTGCAACACGTGATTTCACTTATTTTCAACTTAACTGTAACTAGGTATTTCAATATTTCCTAGCTCCATTTGAATCCGAAATTACTGCTTGTAGAAGCATATTATCCTACCTTTAAATAGAGACCTTCTATTGGTCAAAAATATAAGGATCTTATAAGGACTGTAATATATAAGACATATTAAAACGTAAAACATCCTTATGTGAGTATTCAATATTAATTTGATTAATTATTGTATGCAATTATGACAAATGTATTACCTAATATTTGTCAATACATATTCCATAAAATACTGTTTTAAAATATTTAGTGGTTTATAATAATTATGGTATTAAAAAAAGTCTCATTTCCTCTAAAAAAAACCAAACTTAGATAATTATACAGCAAAAACGGATTATACAAAATGAACATTAAAAATGATAAAAAAATAATATTTTTGACATGTTTTCTAATTTGAGGTTGCTGGAAATTTGTTCATAAGTTGATATTTAATTAGGGTAAACGACGAAAAGGGTGAACGTTTTAAGACTAGGTACTAAAATATTCAAGGATGTTGTGTTTTTTTTGTATTAATTAAAATCCAACTTTCTTTTTTTTTTTAAAGGTTTTATGATATACTTTTCCAGATAATGAGTTTTGGACGTTAAAAGCTTAATGCTGTTTAACATATTTAATAATTTTCTAGATAAGGGTAACGGTTTTAGTTTGTTCTTCATGATAATAATAACAATATTGAATATAATTATACTAAATCAATTTAGTAAATATACACATAAATTAATAAACTGATGTATGAAACCATTATACCCAATGCGTTTGAATTAGAAAAATAAAGAGTAACGTCAGGTTTAAAAAATTGCGTTCTTAGAAATTATTCAACTCTTGCAGTACCTTCAGAGTTTTTCCTTAATCCTTTCTTTTTTAATATCATTGATTATAAATTATGATAACACATATTTTTGAATAACATTGCGCTTAATACAAATTAAAAATATAATTGTGTTTGTTTATGTTTAAAAACCCTTTTAAAAGGATTTACCTCCCCTAGTTTAATGTGAATAATTGGTAGGGAAAAGGGATGCTCTAAAAAAAGTACTAATTGTGTTCAATCTTCTGTGTCATCTCCCTCCCAAATATTAGTTACCCATATTATAAAAATTTATATTATTTAGTGTGCACCAAAATTTAAAAAAAAAGATTTGTTGAGTAAGACTTGTAGTGATATACCTAATTTAATATATTGAATACGATTATAATAACAGCAATAAACATAGGTGCATTTACTAAACTAATGAGTAATGGCCGTCGGCACAGAAATCGCTCCCAAGACATCTACTTAGATCCAATATTTTGTTGGGAATATTTTATTTTGTGATTATAGCCCTTCCTCAGAATTTTGATCCAAGTCGTGATTATATGCTAAAATCTAATAGTCCATCGATATGATGCTTTTAGATAGGCGTGAAATTCGTGTATGCAACCATACCTAGACCGGAAGAAATAGATGAATATTACTACGACGAGGACGCCGAGTTATCGATGGTGCTCTATAACGGTCTAATGGAAATCGACACGGCGTTTTATCCCTCGGTAGTTGCTAATTTCAATGTGACACAAAAAGACATTATGTATACAACACAAGTCGGACTGTCGGCAATCATCATAAAGGTCACGCTGAAAGACGAATTATTTTTAAAGGTATACAATTGGATAGCACGCTCTATGGTGTGTTATTATAAATTAATATTTTTTATACATTTTTTCAGAATTTCATGGACATCAAAAATGAACTGAACGTGTCAACGTCGTACGAACGTTTCTCGAGAATATTTTCTGAGTTTGCGGTGTTTGCCGAGAACGAAAATCACATTGTATCCAATTTGATCGCGTCTATAGTCAATTTCAATAAAACGTTGAAGGTAATTCCCGATAAGAAAAATTATGTCCAACCACAGTAAGCTAGTTTATTGGTTAGTCCTGAATTTTTAGACTGCTAAAATCAAGTTTATCCAAACCCCCAAAATTAATAAACTTTGTGTGAGAGAAATTCAATTAACATTCAAATTTGAATTTTTTATGAATACGTAAACCAACATAAATCTTTTTTTGATATATTGTATGAGCAGGTATACTTATAAGTAGTAGAAAAACACAAGTATACAGTAATGTTTTCCAAAATAACTTTTAGAGTAATACGTCAATCAATCAATTGGTTAGGTGGTTTAAAGTGGTTTTTGCAGGAACTGTAAAAAAATCGATATTATGATATATACATAATACATATATATATTTGATAAATGTGTCTACTAAGGTATTGAAATGTAGCAACACTTTAAAGATTTAAAATATGTAATTAATATATTTTTTTATTTCTCTTATGAAAATTAGTATCATACCAATTGTATTTACAATATAATTTAAAAATAACAACAGTAAAATCGACTAAAAAGGCTGTACAATTATCAAGAAATTTCTTATGTACCATATTATAATACGTATTTATATATTATTTAAATTTAACCTGAATATTAATATATTTCTTTTCTTTTAGATTTACAAACTTTACATTTTTGATGAGAATCATTTTGCTTGATTTGATAATTTATTTTATTTTAATTTAATATATACACCCAGATTCAACTCAAAACAATGAGCTGTCCACGTGCAAAGAATAATAGTTTATTTTTAATGTCCAAATCGTTTAGTAAATTGAAACATTTCCAGAAAATCAAATCTTTTACTTATACAATAAAAATAAAAATAGAAACACTGACTCGAATAACTTTGATTGTAGGAATAATAATAATATTTACAATCAAAATATTTGAAAGCATCACGTACCATTTACCTGCACGTAATAACTATAATATGTTTAAGAGTGTGTTACTGGCCAATCAGAATAGTTCATTATCATTTAAATTAATTTTCACTATCAAATGTCATTTATTTTAAACAAAATAAATATGCTTGTGTTATTATTATTTCGAAGGGGACTGTGATCCATTTCAGGCCATTGTTTGTATGAAATGATCTCAAATCTTAAGTTACATCCTATGAAAATACTACAGCAACCGTCACTCAGTAATATCACGGAAACAATGTACATTAAATAAACAATATAACATAACATTAAATAATTATTTAACATATTTATCATACTTGTATATATATATATATATATATATAAATATTTATAGATAGATATTAAAAGCCATTTTTATAACTCAATAATATTATTATTTATCATAAAAAATATGTAACAATTTCAAGAGCTTATACAATTTTTTTCAGTTCAATATCTTAAGATCTTAGAAATATATAAACTTATTATAATAATGTAATTATGTCAGGCAGTAAGACACAACTAACAATTTTAAAACTAACAATATATTCGTTTTTATGGTGCTATTTTATTAATAATTTAGAGTAGTAATCCAATTTTAAAATAAAAATAAATGAGTAAACATTCGAGTTAATTTTAAAAAATGACTCCGAACTGAGAACTAAAGCAGCTTTATGACATATTGAGTTTAAAATAATTGTTGAACGACTCTCAGAAGTTATTTTTTAGGTAGGCCTTATAAATAAGCTTACAGGATGAATTATTTGAAAAGATAAAAACTACAATATTATTCAGATAAGATTTCCGTGAAGCCTAACACTTTCGAAGCACTCTTTTTAACCAAAAACCTGTTAAAATACAACAAAAAAACATTATTGTCTAACCAATACATTCTCCACTTTTCTAGCATTTTTAAGTTCAATAAATTCGAATGCGTTTTCGATATAATTTAATTTTGTATTTGACCATATTAACTGAAATGCTGAAGATAATTCTGGTATTTCAGGATTCGTTCAGCCGTCAAAGGGTAGTTACAATATTGTTACATTTTAAGAACTCTAGTATTCGCTAATGCGTGGACATATAATTATAATTCTCTCAGTACAGAATTCCAGTAGATTCCAGTAGACCTTCACTATGTCCAAATACATTAATAATTAATGATTAATGATTTAACTATAAACTTTGTATATTTTATACACGGTACCTTAATATATTTCATTAATTTCACTGTTAGTAAAATGTATTATAGCCCACCACTGAAGTATTTTGTTGAATCATTTATTAATTAATTTTAAAACGAATTAATATTGACGAATAGATTAAATTATTTGTTGCAGCGTTTCGTTGACATTATCTAGTTAAATTCATTTAAAAAATAAGCACATATAAAAATATTATTAAATAAGTTTAAGAAACAATTTTTAATTCTTCTTTTATGTATAAAAACAATATGACTATAAATAGTAACTTAATCATTTAGTCCGATACAAAAAAATGAAGAAAATAATGATTGGTGCACATATTTAAATTCACATTAACCTTACACATAATTTAATAAAGGAAAAGTTCGATAACTGTTATAGTTAAGGGCTAGGTAACATCTCACATTCTCGGCACCTCTCTTACATTTATTCAAATTGGCTCTAAAACTGGTAAGAAAAGAAAACGAAGAAAATGAGTGCTTGACAAGTATACGTTTCTATAAAAATTATGAATTTACAGTAATCGAACCATAATAAAACACAAATATAGTTATGTGTGTGTTATGACGGTATGTGGATTATTTATTTAATACATGGATGAAATTAAACGAGTACTTAAATTATATTTCTAGTCAAGTTAATACTTAGAATTAAGTTGAGTTTTATTGTTTGAAATCGATTATATTTTATCATGCTATTGCAGACAACACTCGACGCTGATTTCTTGACGACGGCTTTATCGGATCCCGGTTCGGAAGATCAGGACGACCCGGATTTGGCGAACAACGTTCCGTTTGGTATTTATGAGATGAAGTTTTACTTGACTTCACCTTTCAAACTCCTAGAGTTCTGTAACTCGAGCATGAGCGTAAAAATACTTAAACATTTGTACGAAACGAACATCACGGTGAAGACAAACTATACCAACTTGTTTGTCATAGGCAATATGGAGGTATAACAATAATAATAATATCTAAGTTAATTTGAAAAAAACTGGAGAGGTAAACCAAGATTGAAACGATAAAATGATAAATTTGTTTTAAATAATTTCACTAATTTAATAATTATTTTTTATTTCTTAAAATTTATTTGTGACTGTTCTTGATATCCCTTTTCTAGCCACCGATGAAGCAACTATAAAATATATCAATAATACCGGTCATGTGTTTTCACAGGTATATGACGGTTACTTTGATACTGTAGTGGACGTGGACGTGACATCAAAACTATTCGAATTGCCAGTTTTCCGCGTTCAAGTGAAAAAAGATTACACAGAGATCGAGAAAAACGTGCAATTCGTGATCAGCAGACCGACAGTATCGCAGGTGAGCGTTTCGACGTAACTACGTGAACTAGTAACCAATGTTAAATCATTGTCATTTTGAACATTATTGACACCCGCACAAAATTGTTACGCCGCCAAAAAGGTCAATGAGGTGGTGTTGGACATCAAGAGCTCTTGGCAGATAGACGGATTCAATTACATAAAGTTAAGTGGCGAGATCATCACGCCGTTTGTGGTCCTCAACCACGTACAGGGTAGCTTGCAGTACTTCCACCAGAGTAGTACTAAGTCTTATTTCCTGGAATCGTACCTCAACTATTCCCGGAAAGCTGAAATGAAGGCCAGGGCTCATTTAAAAGAACAGTCGATCACTCTCAATTTGGAATCTTCGCTGGAGGGTTTGAGGTTAGCGAAACTACTACATCATCATTATCATAATTATTCATATTATATGTTGAAAAAAATTACAACTTTAAATTATGAGAAATTGAAATTCGTATTACATCATTGATTTTGGAACGTTTTTAAAAACTTATACCACAATAGAATAATCGAATAAGCTTATATCAACATATTATAATGTATTAATAAATATTATTTATATCTGGCATACAAACAATAATAATATATACAGGAACGTACACTTTTTGGGTACGTTGTTTGCAAAGGATGGTCGAAAAGGAATCGACGCGATTATGATCGGCGACCAGTCATACAGGATCAGTGGCTGGGCGTCTGCAAACAGCTCGTTTCCATTAGCAGTATGTATTCAATATTATATTATTGATAAGTTATAACTATAATTAGGTATTATTTTTGAGGTATGTTAATAAGACGTTGGTATCATGGTAATAGATACTTCCTTGTTTCCATTGTAGGTTTTGTTTTCATTACAATGGTTCAACTGTAAATTGACTATTTATTCGTCGTCATTACAGCAATAACATTATAATGACATTAAAACAGCACAGTATTTAAGTGTTTGTTGAACTGTTTTTATCAACTGTTTCCCATAAAAACTATGTTAAGATATTATTTGAAACATTTTTTTTAACAGCTATTTGATTTAAAAAAAAAAATAAAAACATTATTTAATAACCAAAAAAAATAATAATAATAACTAATAGTTTACGATTTGTAAATACTGTTATAATCCTTTCTGCAGTGTAGAGTGTAATTCAATGACTAATGAGTATAATATATTATGTGGATTATATTTTAACTGCAACGTATGACACGTAAACATGGACATAAGCTAGTTAAATGTTATTTTATTTTTAATTTTTCTATTTAGTTGTGGCTATTGTAATAACTTGGATTTTCTAGTTCGTTCGAAACGCAATTCAATAAGTTCAAACAATGTTCATATAAGTATAGGTTATTCCTATAAAATAACTGTGATTAAATTCAAAAACTAATTTTATATTTTAATTTTTAAAAGTATTGAAGGTTAATAGTTTTACAATGATATAATACTCAATAATGGTTGGTTGCTACCTGCTGGTAGACAATTTAATCTAATAGGTATTTTGGATTGTCAAGAGGCAATTCTCAATTATTTCGTTTATAGCTAATTGGGAAAAGTAATTAAAAACAGTGGGAATATTTACACACTTATATTTAATTCTTGTGTTCTGTTGGATGAATTAAAATGTTCACCCGAAATGTAAAATATTATTAAAACCACTCTATAGTACCTACGTCGGTATTGACTTAGAGGCAAGCTTGGGCAAGTTGTAAAAATATTTAATTAAGTGAATGTAAGTTGAAAGAAAAAATGTTTAAGTTTAAAGTCCATAGCTATCCTAATTTTTTTTGTTAACACAGTTGAGTTAAGAGTTATGTGGAAGCTTACAATTAACTGAATGCCATAAGTTAAGTTATTATTTTTTTTCATTATTATATAAATAGCCAATAATATGGTTTAAAATAATAAAACATCAATGTTCATGCAATATATAATCATCAATACAAATTGTATTATATTTATTATTTAACTATTAATAAATTAACGTAACGTGGATTTGATTAAAAGTAACTTATTATTTATTAAGTTTATATCATTGACAATTAGAAAAGTTAAAAATTAACTTAATGAAAATTAAATTTAAAAAAGTTGAAAAAAACTTTTAAATTTAACTCATCAATGCCCAGACTTGTTTAGAAGTGATACGTGATGGTTTAGAATCTAAACTTTAGATCAAACATAGACCAACCCGATTAAGGACATACTAATAATAATATAAATACAGTATAATATAAACTAGTTTAGAAATATAGTATACTGATTCTGTGATCCACATTTTTCCTCGATCAGTATTTTACAATCTCAAAATTCAAATTTAACATGTCTATTATAGTTACCTCCTATTCAATCACAAGTTATGTTTGAAATCTAATATATAGCAGATGGAGGATGGAGTTGTTTTCATAAACTTTGCTCACTTCTGTTGGCTAGTCGCTTTCAAAAAAAATGTTAACTTTTTTTCTTCAAACAACTGCATTTATCATTATGACCAACCTCTATTATATTATATTATATGATGATATGTTTATAATTTTTATAATCGACGCCCGTTAAATGTTTTTTAGCTGGAAGCTTATTTAACCAAACAAGGGGTTTCGGTCGGAAGTATAGTAATGCAAGTGAAGCACGATACTCATGGTTATATGATCTTAGCAATGTTGCAATCGATGAAGAAAATAATCAGACTAAGTACACTGATTGTGTCCACCGACGAAGGAAAAATGACTACTGTAGAGGTATGTTTGTTTTAAAACAAATGACAACAATTGGAACAAGCATTAAAGTGGTGGTATGGAATTAACTAGACCTATATAATCGGACCCTGTGATGTGTATTAGATTTCATTTTATAATAATATCACCCGTTCTTGCCAAAATAAAATAACAATATTAAAAAAAAAAATAACCCAAAAGAAATCAAAAAACGATTATGAATTATTATGAAATATTTAACTACCTTACGGTAACGGAACATAATTAATTTCAATGTATAATTGTGTTGCACAATTATTTAGTACATGGTATATATCAGGATTTGAAAACTGACGAGTGATGACCCTCATACCTTTTTTATTTAGTTCACGGGATATTAAAATTTTTTAAAATTGGCATATAAAAATTCTAAAAGTATATAATTTAAGTGTGATTGTTGTATTAAAAAAGTACAATTAATAAAAGTATTATTCTATAATGAATAAAAAACATAACATGAAATAAACATCAGTTAGGTAATTGATTGTTTATACACTTCCATTGAATGAAGAATATATTTTTAGTATTATCATATGAAAAAGCAAACAAAAAGTCATTCAAATACAATGCTGACCGCGGGATCATTTTTTTTTATAGCTGGCGCTTTGGTAAATTTAAGTTAATAATAATCAACAAATTCAATTGGTTTCTATTCAGTTAATGTTCAAAATTATAATTACCTATTTTACTAAAAATAATTGATTTTCCCTAATATTATAATTATATACTCAATTTGGACATGATTGAATTTCTTGGTTTGAAAATAGCTGAGTACTAACTAAATATTTGATACCCGAATCAAGTAGAGTATTATTCTGTGAATGAAACATGGTCGATATTATTAATTACATTTTAAATTTGAATTTATTGATAAGCATAATATCAGATTTCCACCTCAGGGAATTAAAAGTTCATTAAAATCAAAAAAAAAAAACACTCAAATAATAGGTAAGGCCCAAATGTCTTTGATGTTGAGTGGGCACGTGTAAGGCAATTATTATTTTTGTGATCACAGTTTTTTTCAGACTCCCTCTAAATGAACTTATGTAATAATATTATAATGAGTGTTAAATAATAATAATAAAACTGTACATATTATCTACCAAATAATATATAAGTTTGAATTGGCACACTCGCAGATATCTTCAATGCAAGATAACTCTCAAGCTGTGTTCGTGAAGAGTTCATTGGTGTTCAAACGGCCAGGAATATACGTGGTCAACGTCCAAGGAGAGTCGATCATCGAAGGGGTGTCCACATTGTTATTAGGAAACGTCAAACTGTGGTAAGTGTGGCTGCGCGTGAGTCGCTTAATCGATAGTAACGTTTTCCTCACCGATGATAATGTTTTAAATCACGACAAATGTTGTGCCCACAGGTTTATTGGAGACAAATGCGTAATCAGAAGCTCTGTGGAATCTCGATATCTACAGGGACACATAAACATCGACTGGATAATGTCACCGCCACAACACATTTGGGGAGTGGTTGACATTGAATACGCGCTGAACAAAATGTCGTACCAAAAGCTATTTTCCAAAGTCTACTTTATTGCCCCGGAGAACAGTATCAGTCAAATAACTGTAGGAGCACGTGTCACCGCCAACAACAAATGGACGTACGTCACTCACATCGTATAATGTTACCTAACCAGTAACTATAATGCATATATTATTACCTTGTTTATATGACTACGATGTGGTATAATAATATATTATGTTGTTTACGTGGAGTTATATTATCACTTGAATTTTCACATACTATTGTGACTTGTTACTCGTTCTGTAGTGGACAAACACAAGTTATACAGATAATAATATAATATTAAACAACAGGTATTTAGGTATTAGGTACCTAATACGTCTTTACCCATAACAATGACGTCAGTTTAAAAAACAAAATAAATGATACCACAAAGATGTTACAGCAGTATAATTATTTGTATAATAACTTCAATTAGAAAATAAATACTAAATATATTTAAGTCCCCTAACCCCCCTCCTAAGTTACGTCTATGGCGCATAATCAAATTTAACCGCACCCACATACATACGTATAATAACTGTAAAGAATGATATTAATATGAAACCCAATTTACAGGATGACCTAATTACTACACTGTATGCTGTTATGCAAATCATAAGTCTAAATGAACGCTCTAAATACTATAATTTGAAGATAATATATTAAAAACACGTCTCGATCTCATTATACTCATCTTATAAGCTACCAAAAACTACCCAAAAAATAGTTTTCTGAGTGTGCTTAAATTTCATAGGCTGAAGTTGTAATCTACCCTAATACCGACAATACGAATATCTCGTTTTGTACTTACATAATAATAATATTAGTTTGCGTAGTTACTACTCACTAAACATCACGATTCATTATGCATATGTCTAATAGATTCGAAGCCAATTCCACGGCGATGATACCGTCGCTCCGGAACATATCGTTTTCGACGCATTTAATATTGCCTCAAAACATTACCAACGAATACGCAATTGTCGGAAATCTGAAAATTCACGAGCAATTCGAATTCATCTCGCATCTGTTCCATTACCGGTCGCCGGATTTGAATTACGAATTCGCCACGTTCAGCGAGGTAAGTGTCGCGTATAGACGGCTAACCTAACCTAACTATGATGGACAACGGCGAAGACGATGCCATTGTTGTGGCGGACGGTTTTAAACGTTTACGAATGTTTTTGACGCAGGTTCTCTGGAACGAGACAATAAATGGTTTGGTGACGTGGGCGTACAGGACTGAAAATCGCGTGTTTTTGGTTGACACGTTCAGTGGTAAGACAATGGAAAAGTTTTACGACATACATAATGTGTTTGACGCGAGTTTCCTTAAGCACAGACACATTTCTAATTTAGTATACAAAAAGCCAAACAAACCACATAATATCAGGTAAATTAAATTTATTTTGCTAGTGTAATAATTATTACATCATAGTAGTAGCGTTGATCAGTTTTTATAATTCTATGAACGGTTATGTTGATTTGGATTATTTTTAAACTCACCGAGTTAAACACGTAAAGTAAAATTCAAACTCATTGTAATACTAATAATATTGTGGTTAGTAGTTAATACAATATATTTTTACATCTAATTTAATCATAAAAAACATTGAATATCCTTATTATTATTATTATTGTTTATTTTTGTATGTATAATGTATAATATAGTCATCATTATCAATACAATTTATTAGTTAATTCAAATTTTTATTAACATAGAGATTACTTTTATCAGTATCTCAAGGTAAAATACGTACAAGATAAATTATGAAAAATATTTATTACAATATAACATAGTCAGTTGACATAGGTACAGTATAATGTTGCCTTGCTTTAACATTTCAAGTGCTTCTATTACTTTAAAGTTAAATCAATGAAAACCATGTTTTCATTTTTTTTTTAAATTTTTATGAGAAATTACTAATTAGTGTAGGTATTGAAAATTAAATTTTATTGTTAGAATTTTGGGATCGCTTATTTCTGATTTTATACTGCTAATTGTTATCGTCTAAAAAATGGACAAAGAATAAAATGAGAAAAAAAATATGAAATTTGGAAAGGAAAGTAATTATAGAGTGGTCGTTTTATTATTATGTTCATGAATCCGTCAAAATCAAAGCCAGACAATTTAGCAAGCCGAATAATAATAAAAAAGAAACTTTGAGGTCACAGCGTTAAAAATAATAATGTATTTGAATACCGAGAATAAAAAAGGCACACGAAAAGTTATTGAAATAATGTTAAAAAATCATGTTCAATGAAGCTTCTATAAATAATATTTTATATAGATATACCACACGTGCATAACTTGTAATAATAATAATAATAATAATAATATTTTTCAGGTCGTCTGAAATATCAAATATGTAGATTACCTACCTACACAGCCGATAAAATAAAACATTTTAAATACGTGCTATGAAAAATGAAAATGAAAATATAAGCTTTTTTTTTATCAAATATAAATAAATGAAATGCCATCTCGTTCAACTGAGCTCATCATCAATTTACCACAATGCTAAAAGAATTTTTTTTGTAAATTTCAAGTTGCTTAATAAAACGTGTAACAACATATTTTACAGTATTTAGACATTTAACACATTTTGATGAGCATGAGACAAGTTGAATGTATTCATACTGTAACATAAATAGTTTAATTTTATAGTATAGTCGCATAGATACAGTTTTTAATGTTATTTTACCACATTTTAAATACAAATATCAAGTACCTACCCAAAATAGCAAATTACAAAAATTATCACTAACATCATTTTTAAACTCAACATTGATTTTAAAAATTGTTTTCATAATACTTAGAAAATAATAATAATACAATTAAACAGTGCTTGCTTAATTAATGGACATTCATATCATTCAACAATATTTAAAATTCCTTATAAGTACATTATTCTATATATGAAATATACATTTTTGATATCACTTCTAGTCTGTCATATGTACAGATATGCATTAAAAATATTTGAAATACGTTTGTGAAATGTGTTGGTACTCATTACATTCCACAGCGAATTTAAATAGATTTTCATTGTGTTTGTAAAAATCTTGAGAAAATCAAACTTTTTAAAGTATATTAACCACATATACCAACTATTATAAATAAATTCACAATTTCAGGTAGATATAGGCATTGTTATTCAGAGCAATACTTCTATGCTTCATAAAAATAATGGCGATGACAAAAAATAACAAAATCACAAATAAAAAAAGTACCAGTAAATTATTGTACTACCTTAGTGCAAATAGAATGGGCCTGGGGAGGAGTGAACTTAAGCCTGGCCCAGTGAAAATTAAGCAACAAGAAGCTTATTATTAGTGAATACGTTACATTAATTTTGAATATGTCCTGCGACTATGCTTGAATTATTTAAAAACATGTTCATAATACATGCACATCACGAAATGCCTTAATTTATTCATAATTCAATTATGATGTATATTATATAGGTACCTACATTATTATAGTTAGTAACAAAAGGTGATAAAAAATCATAAATCCATAATATAATTTCTTAAACTTTTTGTAAGACATTGTAGACAAATATTCGTTTCACTGAAAACTAATTGCTTTTCTTTTTAAACTCTAACAGTGGTCTTTCGAATAGTAGGACTCTACTGCTGTTGATTTAATTCCCTATTTGCGCATATACGTAACAACTAATACTTTTTATGGATGTTAATATATATATTTTTTTCATTTAAAGTTTGGAAGTATTTTACCCACCGGAAGTCAAGATCACATCGGCAATGGTGATCTTCGAGTCGTTCGACCATTTCACATCGTTCATTAACACGACTACGCCGTTCGTCAACATACCGTTCTTTGCGTTACGCATTATCGCAGAAACGACACCGTAAAATATAATTAACTTTTAAACTTTTATAAACACATCCGGCTTCTGAGACCGGAAGCTACTGTTACAATGATATTACCGCGCTGGTGTGCTTTCGACAGGTTGGACTTTCACCGGCATATCGAGGTGTTTTGGCCGCACAACAGCGCCCTGATGAACGCTACCAAAACCAAGACGCTAAAAGAAGTCAGCATGTTGAATGTAGGAGAAATACTTTTACGGTTTCCTATCGACAAGAAGTACCACGTCGGTAGGTTCGAGTTCAAATACGAAGTAAGTTCGCTTTTATAGAATTGTAATACTGTACATACAGACTACGGAGCACACCAATTGCTTTCTGCCCGAGTTACCCCCTATCCTCAAGTGAAAACAAAAATACCGACTTCCTGTCATCATCATAGATATTTACAATCTAAATGATCAGAGATTCGAAAATGTTAATTCATTGCTAAGATCAAAACCATTTAATCTTAGGTACCCACCAAATTTAATGTTGGAGTGTACATACCTAACTTTATAATAAGTAATAATCTACCGACAACAATTAATACGAAATATCGTTCATTACTGATTAATGATAATTTTAAATTACTAAAATGTTATACCTAATAAACAAATATAAACAAATTATATATTATTTTGAAAGCTACATTCGATGTCTCCAATAATACCCTAGAATAAGAATAATTAATAATCTTAACTGCTACCGAATTAATAAAATTCTATGACAAATGTTTCAATCACCATCATTAAATTAGTGCTTATTATTCAACTTCAATGATTATTGAATTCTTAATCGAAACTGTTCTAGGTAATTCTAGATAAAAATAAAAATTAATATGTGTCGTGATCTGCTTTCCTATTAAAAACATATTATACTTCAAAAATGTGCAAATAGTTATATTAAAAAAATTTTAATTTATAAACCCCTAAACCTAATTCATGACGGAATCTCTCCATCTGGGGAAGTAATTTCAAAATATTATTTGTTCAATGAACAATGTTCACGTAACCATGTAAATATATAACCAGAAACTTGATAATGTATATTGACAGTTGTGCTCATCGTTCATACTATATTGTGTGTAACAGCAAGGTTTTAAAACTAAAAATCATTTTTTTACAATTAAATAATAATCTTGTAACAAAAGTTCTCATTATATAACAATAATCATTAATGGTTTATGTACAAAAAATGTATGTTCAACTCTATCTTACATAATGTTAGACACGACGTCAGAATAATGACACACCCGTGCCTCACCCCTTAGCTCTCTCAACAATTAATTCAGGCTTCTTGATTGTATTCCGTATCTATCATTCGTTACAAATAACCCAAAATCACGTTTCTTGTTCCCTCCATTGTAGGATGATATTGAATTTATTACAATGTAATATTAATATGCATTATAGGACTTGACAGAAGAAATAATTGGTGATTCAAGAGTCGTGTACGACGAAATTAAAATCATCGAAGGAAACTTCACCAGGAAATTCACGGTATACGAAAACGATTTTATGGATGACGCCATTGACGTGACAGTTCAGAATAAAATGCTACCACTGGGCGTGAGGTATCTCCGGAGGGTGAATAAGGATGGTCATGTGGCCACGGTGGATGTTCCAAAAACCGTGAGTAACCACTGCCATAACTTATACTTTTGGTCGGCCTTAATGCAAGACAAAATTATGTGTATATTTTTTAAGCATTATAGCTTTTATCAAATATTGGTAAAGAACTTATCTGGTTCATATTTTCAACCCCTTTCTCCAGTCACTCGCCAGTAGATAAATATTATAAAACAAATATTAAATGTTTGACTATAGGATCATTTTTTTTCAGTTGTAACACAATGTTATTTATATAAAAATATAAATAACAAAAGATAAATTATTAATATACTTTTATATAGTTTATTATGCATATGTTTAAAAAATATGTTCTTCTTTCTACATTTCAAATTTGACGTAGTCTTGTTGTCATTTAACGATTTGTTCTTCATTTTTCGTCATAATTGTGTAGTTTTAACATGTAAGCATAGGTATTTTTGTTTTTTGTTTTTTGATTAAGCATTATAATCTATAATCTAAATAGCGAAACGTACGAACAATTACTAATTACTGTGTTTTTATTGTTTTATTAATAATTCCGGACCATATTTTTTCGTTCAGACCAGTCGGGTTCAGCGCGTTCAGCTTCCTCTAATGGTCATGAAGCAATTCTATCAATTACTTAGCTTTATTTAATTTAATCTGATATTTAATAATTTGTATTTATATTGCTTGCATCAATCAATAATAGATAGACAGTGTATGAGTCATTATGTGATATTTGGATGACAACAATAAATGTCTAGATTTATTTTCCAATTTTTTTTTTTATGAATTCAATTATAACAATTAGGTTGCTACTTACTTGTTTTACTTTTGAAGTTTGGCCCGCATTTAAAAATAAAACACTTTACACTGGTTATGGAATACCTGCATACCTTGTATCCCTTGTTGGATATTATTGTAGCACTCTAAGTAATAAGTTTTGTTGTTTCATGATTTTATTCGTGGAAGATGCATCACTGACAATTTTTGGTACATAATCACATCGACACAGATTGCCTATACCTAAATCGATATTTTCTATACAGATAAAGCATTTATTACGAAAAACTTAACACTTCAACCTTTTAGTTGGTATCTTATATGATTTTTTAGAAATAATAATTAAACAAAAAATTGTTATGAAAAATATGAAAATTTATGAATTTAAACGAATTTATATCACGAAACATACGCGAAAAACCCATGTGAGATGTTTTAAAACATTTTTTTATCTTTTATTTTTAAGGCAATAATTTTTTAAGCTCTTTAAATCACACTAGAATCAGTAATAGCCAATCTACGTACAAAATATTCGTTTCAATGTAAGTAACTTTGAGTCAGTTTCTATACATATTTAATATTTTCTCCAAATATCAATCAAGTTACCTATATTTAACTAGAAAAAACGTCTGTGTGACATCGTCCTAATCGCAACCAAAATAGTTTATATAGCGAAACCGATTTTTTTTTATTTATAGGGCTGTTATTTTTATGTTGACTAATATTTTCAAATCGGGTTTCAGGACTTTAAGCGTATGGAAGTGTTTAAACTTCACAACGAGACCGAATTCAATGTGACTCTGGAAATGTTGCAGAACAAATACGAAATAGCCCGGGAAAATACATTGAAAGGTTTGGGCGTTTTGTTTACGTAATAATAATAATTGTTATCCATGTGGTAGTGCAATGATTTCATATCATATTTTTGTATCTGAAAGGCTACAGTGACCACTTTTATATCAAAAATAATAATATTAATAATAACAAAAAAGAATCCTCATTGAAAATACAATAATTTTATACATACAAATATAATATAATATTATTACTTTACGTTCCGACTTTCACTGTTCCGAGGGTTGTGTGTACATTTAGAGCTTTCAAATAAATATTGCGTAATCGATCCGGAGCTACCGTTTATGGGTCTGAAACAACACTTTGGATAATTGAAAAAAATCTATTTCAATGAATTCCGAGTAAACAACGCACGAGTTCGAATTTATCAAATACCTTACCGATAATTATTTGCGTATTGATATAGTTTGACATTACAGTACCATTAAGGCCAACAGTAAATTAATTACTTTTTAAAAGATAAAACACTTATAGAACGATTGTGTGAAATTTATCATAACTAGACAGATCTTTGAAGTCGAAGACTAATTATTCGATGCAAGGAGAGAGCTTTTGTTAGGAGGCGTTTATTATGGATTCATATTCAATAATATTATAATATCAATGTTTTGTTTTGATTTAAATTATTTCGCTTATATAAATGATTTGAAGATCTCTTGGTCTAGAATCTAGACCTCCTCACGAGGATAAAATATCCAATTATAAAACTATATACTTTTTTTCCAAGCGTAACAAGCGTTGACAACGATTAAAATTAATGCGCCGAAAAAACTCTGAAAACGGTTTAAAACTTTTAAAAAACCACGCATAAGCCAATACAAAAAAAAGTTTAAAAATTATCTTTATTGAAATTCTATTCAGTTGTTTATACACACAGTATTAAAGTAAACGGAGATGGGTATCAAAAATGATTAGCAAGCCTGTCAATCTAATTTATAGCTGGAAATGCAAATGTGTTGATTCCTGAATATATATTAAAAATTAAAAATGTATTATGGAGTATCTAAAAAAAGACAATGTTATATGTCAAATACATATTATAAGCATGTGGAGTAAATAATGTTGAATATTTAAATATAAAATTATAAGTGTTTTTTAAAATGATATACATTGTCAAATTATAAGCGGCGGTGACAAAATGTCTGCATTTTATAAAATTTGGTAAAATATAATAAATGTTTGTTTTTGCTTTTTACAATGTATCAAATTGTTCTGGTTTTGGTTATGCTCGATTCATTTGTATTTATAGTTAATACAGGCTGAATTATAACATGCCTATTATTAATTACAAAATAAGCAATCTGGTACAAACTAAAACTCTGTAAAATTATTTTATTTGCAACACAAAAAATGTAGAAACGAGAAAGAAAGCTATGAAATTTTGCGTTTTGCATTTAACTAAAACTTCAGCCGATCCCAAAAATGCCAATATCGGCACAGGAAGCCTTTAAAGATAAATTAATTAATAACAATAAATTACCCCCTTTGGTTGCTTCCTCCCCTGTATGATGTAACTTACTTTCATAAATATGTTAGATTAGCCGGCTAGGTAAATATTACTAAACAATTTGTATTCATTATAGTAATAGCTACCAGTAATATAGGTACGTGGGAATTTTACAGGTTACAAGGTTTTAACTGTACTACGTTCACCAACAGTTTAATTTCAAAGGCCATATAGATTTAAGAAAAAATATAGGGTACATACTTACTTAAATATAATTTATTGTAGAATAATATTATATTTATTGTATTAGAAAGAATTTATTAAAATAACTAAAACCTATGAAATATTTGTTATTTTTTTCCGTTATAAACCTAGTTAACTTTATTATACGAATGATAGATACGCATTTTTTTTTAATTCAATAAAAATTAATTAACATTTTTTTTTGATAATTTATTTACAGTGATTAATTTCAACAGAAGCATCGTGATCAATTCACATTATGTAGACGATAATGATGACTCTTATTCAAGAAATATAAAAATAGTTTTGAACCCCGAAGCCTGGATGAACTCGGCACTAAGGGTTGATTATCATAATTCGGTATGAAGTTCACGATTGTTATTAAATGAGATAAGATGTCAGTGCACTATTTGTTTTATATCTTTGATCCTTGCCCAACAAACTTGTTGTAACAAACTTGCCTGGTTAGATTTAATATTAGAGTGCATTGGTTTACCATCAAATTTAAAGTTAACAACATTATCTTTGTTTATACACTTGTGTTTTTATAATATCTTACATTTTCTATGACATATGAGCATTTTTGAATAATTGTAATATTTTATATACTCATCATTTGTAGAAAAATAAAAAAATATTGTAAAATAGCCAACAAATTAAAATATGAAAAACTGATAACGTTTTTCACTTTAAGTTTTATTATAAATCAATCCACTCTAATATTAAAGCAAAAAACACAAAATTGGTTTTGCTGAATGATAATTTTCTACATTTCACGTTTCTCAGAGAGGGAATACCAATAGTGCGCTGACACTCCATAAGTATTTATTTAATTTTTAAATTGGATGATTTAAATAATTCGAACTTTGTTTGAAGACACCCACTGAATATGGGAAAATAATCGACATAAACGTAGCATATCCCAGGAGGAATTTCTCAATCATCAGTGACATAGAGACAGACACTAAATATTTGATGTCTCAGATGACACTAATACAGCACAGAGCTTTGCCGGACGATAAATACGTACTCGGTTATCGAATTGATTGGAGAAAACTTGAGTCTAAAGTCAATAGACATCGTATAGCTGTGTTACTGTACCACCCTTCATTCCAAAAAGTAAGTAATTCGAGCATAAGAAGTCTAGAGTAAATAAACTAGGAATTGTAGCGGGTAGTCGACTTTAATCTTGTTTAAATATTAGATATATACTGTAATTGTATTTATAAAAATTATTTTGTCTACATATTTTTTTGAGATAGCCCGGACCTCAAAATTTTAATTAAATATTCACTTATAAAAATGTACTTAACAGCTGTCTGGTTTCTAGTTCACAAATGTATTTATCTATGTCGGTAATTTAAACTTCACACAGTTATGATTAATTATAACAGTATTACCAGTTTTGCTGGTAAATTTGTAAGCATGTAATCTATTCATACATCTGATTAGCAAATATTAGCGGTGTGAAGACATTTTCAAAACAATTAGTAGGCAGTATCATTGAATGTATACCATAAATCGACAATACATCAGAGGCTGAAATATACATTTTTCGTACTACACATTTATATTAAGCTTGGCGTTGTCACATAAACATGGAGTAGTCAATTTCTATTTTTCATTATCTACAGAGTACACAATTTTAGTAACTGCAATTTATACTCAATGGTAGGTAGTTTATTAATTTATTGTTATATAATAAGATATGAGGCTCTTTTATTTGGAATAATGGGGAGATGAACGTTACCAACATTATTTGAATCAGAAAAGTAACTACCAAATTATAAATAATATACGAATTTGTGTTTAAAATAGTGTGTTTCGTTTGATAAATAAGACCACATAATTATTAATTTATAAACTATAATTCCTCCACAAAAATAAAAACTATTAAAAATTACTTTATTTTCAGTTATTACTTATTGTATTATGGTATGATAGTTGACATAGATTAGGTTTTCTATGACATAAACAACATTTACTATAATTATATCGAGTATATATAAATGTTCGTATCACTTAAATATGTCTTTAGTGCATTTTATTTTCAACGATGTATACTACTGTTTTTATATATTTAGTATTTTAAAATAGTTGATGTCTATTTTCGTTTTTTAGATTTTTGATTCATGATAATTGTCTAGTGGTGCAATCATTTTAATATTTAAATGACATTTATTTATAAATGTATTTTACGTATGTATATCTATAGATTATTACTGTATTCGTCATATTTTTAGAACGTTACAATAAGAGGAAACTATTCGCGTGGTAACTCGATACTCTTCGATTTAAATGCTGAATACGACTATGCGTTGGATTCAAGACGAAAGTTTACCATTGGTTGCTTGATTGAAAACAATTCGGCCAAGTCTAAACGAAACTACTTTTTATCCCTTAAAGGAAGACATTTAATTACCAGGTAACAATTAATTATTATAAGTTATGTGAATGATTGTACTTATGAACGACGAGAAGTAAGACCATGTTCATAAATTTTTCAACTAAAACATTCCAATCAATTAAATACGGTTAGACAAAATCACTGACGAAAACATAATCATTATTTTTAGATTTAAATTAGATGCTGCTGGTACTTTTAAATCACAAGAGTTCTTTCATTACTTCCACAACAATGTTACTTATAAACGAGCATACTTACCAGATCAGTATTGGGATGGTAAAGGTATATTGGATTTTTTCAATAAAACTTTACTGATCGAGGTAAATATTTTAAATTATAAATTATAGCTACGAAAAAGAAAAAACTAACATACATAATATTGTGAACTAGAAATACTCAATCCACGATACTACTTTTATCTATGGAAATTACAGTAATTTTCAAGGAACACATTATGTGAACGGACTGATACGAAGAGGAGATGATCAAAATATTGTTGGGAAATTTTACATCAATATTCCACAGAAAGACACTAATCTAGTTATTAATTTCACTCCGGGTAAGGACGAATAGTTTAGTCAATAATATCGATTAGTATTGTATTACATTTTTCATTTCTTCACATATTATTTAATTAAAAAAAATATACAAGCAAGTCGTTCTGCTGTTATAGAAGGTGGCATTTGTCATAAAATGATCTTAATTTAATGGATGTAAATTTGAATTCAATAATCATTCAAAGTACACTATAAAAAACGATTTCGATTGGCAAAAGTTTTAGCCTTTATTTCCAAGGTTACGCTAATATACATTTATATTTATATTAGTAAAACTTTTGTTTACACTTTTTTTTGTCAAAAACAAATCGCATACTAATATTTTTTGCTATTATTAGATAATAATTTATAATTTAATACCGAACCACTGTTGAACGATGTGAATGGATTCGTGCTATAAATAGTCTACAATTCATAACTTTTTTAAATTGAATCTTGTATAAAAAAAATATAATTGCAAAAGTGGAACGTTTCCAGTTTCTTAGTTTAATATTTCTGAATAATAGCAAAACAACAAAAATGATCCAACAATAAAAAGTTATTTTACGTTTGAATATTATACTCACATGTCGTCCACACTTTAACCTAAAATGCTCATAGTTAATAATTAATGACTTTACACTAAACATTTTTTTAATTTGCAATAAAAAAAATTACCGAGTTTTGCAATTCGATGAATTTTCCAAAAATTTGAACTCAATACGTTGTTTGAACAACTTAGAAGCCTCTTTCAAGATTTTTGAGAGAACATATTTTTTAAAGGTAACATTTCCTAATGCCCATAAATAATTCAAAATGAACCAAAATATTTTAAAAATTATGACAAGCCTAGAAAATTCTTATATACAATTTGTAAAACTTTTTTAAATTGTAAGTTCTAAATAAGTTTTAAAATATTAAACTACAAGAAAATAAATTTAAAAAAAAAACCATACACATCATCAAAACTGTAAAACAGTCAGTGCTATGCTCAGCATTAGACAATTAATTGGTACTTTGCCTAATGTCTAGTAGTACCTATAGTATATTTAATTATGTTTATTTATTCATTCAATTCGTGACTTATTTTTACTTGAATTGAATATTTTAGATGCCACAAAACAATTGTTTATGTCCGGAAATATGTTGGAAAGTAAAAATGCTAAATTTAACATATGGAGAACCGAAAACAATGTAATTATTCCAGATGTTGGATTTTCTTTAAGCCTTAACCATTCTAGATTACTCTCTTCTTCATTGGAATGGAGAATCGATTTAAAAGACAATATTGTGGTAATTAAAATATATTATTATCAAATTCACTATATTATAATTTACAAGAAGTATTCAACTGACAATTTGATAATAAATAATACATTGTAATATTAATGTGTGCGTGTGCATTTAGAGTGCGTTACGTACATCGGTTAACCGTACCTGGTGTTATATTCAAGATACAACTGAGTTTTGGACACATTACATAAAATCTCAGACTGTGGAAACTGCAAATGGTATTTGGGCTGATACAAAACCTGAAATACAAGGATTTCTCAATGATATAAGGTATTGTGATTTTTGTTTTCTTTAAACTTAAAGATTAGATACTTAAAAAGACAAAATCTTTATAATAAAAATTGATTGATTTATTATACTTACTAAATGTGATTAATATGGTGCCTCGTTTTATAATTAAATACCAAATACTTTTGGTTTATTGATTAGTACGTAGAAACTAAAATATAACCCTTTCCTAGAAGTTTAACTTGTTCAAGCATGAATTCGGTGTGCTCAAAGTTGGTTCACTTTGATATCACAAAGGTTTATTAATATAAAACAATATTGTATTAGAACAAAGTATGTTATAGATATCCATGGATCGCCTTTTGTACATAAGATATCTATATAGGCAATGTTCAAATTTTCAAGCATTATTTCGATTTAATCGATTATTTATAAAAAAAGTTTGAGTTCAAATAGTTAAACTTTGATTAAATACAAATTAGTTGAACTACTTACCACTTAAAACCATTAATTAGTTAATAAATAATGTAATATATTTGAGTTAATCATAGGGGTTATACAGGCATATTTTGAGGTTTTATAAATTACATTATAAAACAGTATATTATACTCTGAAGATGATGACTACATTGTTTAATATCCTCGACACCCAATTAATTTTCAAAACCACCAACACTCCTGAAAAATCAATCACATTTATTAACGAATGTATTTTTTAAAATCTTAAAAAAGAAGTTAACAATTCCAGTTCATATAATATTGTACATTATTTTATATGATGTTCACTAATATTCATTCCGTTTTGTATAATATGAAGGAAGTAAATATGTTTTATCATGTTACTCAGTTAAAAAGTGTTTTAATGTATATCTTGTAACAGAAAATATATACATGGTTAAAAAGTCGTAAAACAGGCACACAGAGGCACCGCACATCGCAGAAGCTACGAGAGCCTGCCGAATGCCGACGCAATACAAATTTTAAGAACTTTAAATCATTATCGACAAAAAGTTTTGCATTAAAAAATGTATAAGTTTAAATCACTTATATTCAGGAAAAAAAATACCTACACGTGGTTATCGCATACAAATATGCATTCTCGTTTGATTGTCAAAAGTTTACCCTCGAAACCACATTATTAAAAGGTTAAAAAAAACTTTTGAGATTATTTGTGTAATATTATGTTTTAGTTCTAAAATTATTTTCACTATTTTGCATTATTTAACATTTGAAATGTTTAATTCTTTGGCGGGCGGAATAAATGAATTGCTTTGTGTTGATGCAAATAATGTTTGGCATGAGTTTATGTCATGTCTGTTATGTATGTCGTATGTGTCATTACTCGTCATTACTAAATACTTGTTAGGCACCTTCTGGAGCAGTATTAACTAAATTATAATTTCAAACATGTTTGGCTCTTTTTACGCTAAAGCTTGGAAATTGAATACAATGTTCATCTTCATGAATTGGTTTGATACAATACTAAATAAAAATTGTATTATAAATAATTACTTATATACCTTTTTGGAGTTTTAATATTACGGAATTACTTATTTAAACGAAAACATAAAAATTTTTCTTTGAACTGTTTTAGTTGTTCATGAATATAATGTTGTAAAATATATGCTGTCATTCAAAAAATTACACTAACTAAAAATAATAACAATAAAGAAATGTGAAATATTAATAATTATGAAAAATATTATTTTCAAAAAAATTAAAAACCTTACGAAATAATGAGAATATACACTTAAACGGGAAAGCCTGCCTGGCTGTCTACTATATTTTATGAATAATGTTTATTCTAAATCCATTATTTACATAATTTGTATAGCAACTTCCACGTACTAGAAGAAGATTTGGCGTACTTCAGAAAGGTATTCAATAATTCTTACAACGCCAACGAGTTTTATTTGAAAGATATCCACGGGCTGTACATTGCAATGATGGAGGACATGTCGTTTATGTAAGTGTTCAACGTGCACTGTAGAAATTGAATGTGTTATGAAATTGTAATATAACCGTTGAGCGTGTTTGAAATGTACCTGCTTACGGTTCGCGGTAAATAAATAATTATTGATAATAATATATCTACTCGTTTTGTTTTTTTGTTAGGGACAAAATGGGATCGTTACCGCAGATCGTCAACGAAATATGGACTGCATTAGGTGACACTGGGCAAACCATTAGGAAATCTATAGTTTGGTTTATCGACAACGTGAGTGATATTTTTTAAAATTTTTTTTTTTTTCATTGATCTTTTTGTAGCTTTGGTGACATAGGCCATTAACTTTATACTTAGATTAAAATAATATTATGCTAAAACATGTTTTGTGTAATAATTTGGTTACAATATAATAGGGGGGATTTTGTTGCTTAAATGTATTTCTCTATTTCTGTGGTCCTGAGGAATGACATGACTTTTTCTGGTTGACAGTCGGGTCCGATTATTTCGTATAAATTCGTTGGTATATTTAGTGAGTGATATTTTATTCATACAATCACTTTAACATTACATACATAACCTGCAGGCTGTACAGAAATAACCAACAAATTCAGTTAGCTTTTATGTTATACATTTTCAAATAATTAATATTAAAAATTTTTTTTCTTTATTATATTAATGATAATAAAAATCAATAAAAATATTGATTAGAACAACAATTATTACATAGGTACTGAAATAGTGTCTCGTTAATCTGGGCGGGATTAGCGAAAGAGGTCGTATGGATTTCTGATTTGTCCGGATTACCTATGGCTTTATTAACATCAATTTTCTTGCAATTTAAACTTAGCAATTATTATTTTTTAAATTTATTACTATAATTTATAATGTATAAATTTACATGTAATTGTTACAAAACAAACAATTATGTATTTATTAGTTATATTATCTACTAACTATTATCATAGTATCATGATTATTTGTAATGATTATTATTGTTTGGGTCTGCTGAAAAATATGTCCATAAATATAGTGGTGTGATAATTCTCAAGTTCGTTCAGAGTTCAGACTACCACGTCTTTCTGATTAATCTGTGTTCGGATCAACAAGACCCTACTGTGTTGTAATAGTTACTTCTATTCTTTTTTTTACACACTGTGTGTATAATATTGAAAATTTATATAATTTATGGAGCTACATAGCAAAACAACTCAAAAAACTTAAACTGAAAAATCAAACATTTAAAGTTGTACATAATAAGTTTGTTCTACTAATCGAATCATTATTTAACTTACTTTTGATCAAGATGTTAAAAATAACACAGCAATACGCTTCTACATATTTTTCCTTTGCAAGGCAAATTGAGGAACCATAGATGTTTTTTTTTTTTTTTAATGTTGATTTGCTCTTCTAAGGTGACAAGGAAAGCGTTACTCTAAATCGGTTAAACAATAATATTAATTGACTACCTTTTATAATAGATACTATTCTAGACTGTTATTATAAAATTGTTTTTGAAGAGAACAGTTCATATCAAATAGGCGACATCACACTGTTTAACACATTTAACGGTCATCGTTAAACGTAAATTAAATTTGTTTTTTTTTTTATTTATAATAAATATTCTATGCATATATTCGTTTTTTATATATATTTATAGATTCATGTAAAATATATTTATTCCAATAAAAGTTAAACGTTCATTTAAGTATTCACTTCTGTCATTGGTGCTTACAGACGCACTTAGCTAGGTGTTTTTGTATTTATGTCTTTCAAATAAGTAGGAGATTAACATTTTTCATTACTATAGATAATAATATTTTAAATTCTAAGTGGTATTGAAATTACATTAATATGTGTTTTGTTTTATTTTTCTTGTCTGTTATCACCTTTTTGGGTAGTAAAAATTATTCGATTTTCTTTTTCAACATCAATTCTGACAGGTATGTGAATTTATTTTTACTTTAAGGGGGTACAAAGAAAAAATTAGTTAGTTTCAAATGCCTGATAACAAGACAAGGTGTATTTTTACACAAACCCCAGTTTTTGACAAAATCGATATAGTTTTTTTTAGTGTAACTGTAAAAAAAAGCAATATAGATACTTACTTTAGATTTTTACAAAACACCATTTTCTATACCTGATAACATTTCAAAATATTTTTACTCTTTTTAAGCTATTAGTAAGCACGGCCACTTTATGATTTTTTGAAAATTACTGTGTATAAATAATTTTTCACTAGGCCAAAAATGTTGAAAATGTAATAAGTACAAGGTTTCTCATAAGTCAAAATTGGTGTTAATAAAAAAAAAAGTTAATCTTAGATCCACAATAATTTTTAAAGTTCAATAAAAAAATATTATACTTGATTATTAATAAAAATATCTTCATTTATTCATTACACATTGTATTTCATTACAATTTAGACACTAAGTCAAAACAAAATAAGAATTTTAATTTCAGTTATGTATTAATTTGCATCAATTGTTAGAATGAAAGTCTTGCTATGCAACATTACATAATTTATCATGATATTATGAAAATTTAACCATAAATATTATCCTACAGTTATTATACATCCACGTACATTTAAAAATTTAACATACATTTATAACGTAATATATTATAACATTTAATATATGCGGATTATGCCTGTTGTATACAATTTAATGTGAAATTTCAACTCTCTCGAGATGTTTATTTTAAAAAGCGGGTAAGTGGGTGACACTGCTGTACAGTAGGTTACAAGTGGGTCACTGTATGGATGATGATACGTTTGAATTTAATGATACAATATCAATGTATACAAAAGATGATTCTGAGCGAAGACGGTTTGTCGGCCTAGGATGTTTTATGTTATATTCATATTGTTATTATTCGTAGTATCGGTAGTTTGAATTAATATTATTTTGCATATTATCGTATTTGTATACAATAATATAATACTTAAAAAAATTCAAGTACCCACGAATAATATTTTTATATTACAAAAATATTACTAAAATCGTTATTCTTGGTTATTTAATATGTAATTTCGTCCAATTTGAACTTATAATAACTTACTAAAATCGTTATTCTTGGTTATTTAATATGTAATTTCGTCCAATTTGAACTTATAATAACTTTAAAAATATTCTATTTTCATATATTTTTTCGGAATTTTTTGGTTACAGAATAAATTATTTAAGTAGAACTTTGTTTTAAATTTTCAATCCTTCGCTGTAAAATGTAAATGTTTTGTAATTTTTTAAATGTTAAATAGTTTGCAAATTTTCAAATTAATAAATTTTGTCAACATTTGAAGTTTAAGTGCTTATAAAAAAACTTATAAAATGTACGTATTTTATATTTATTTTAAGTTCTCATTTAGACGCAGTTAAATATTTAAACAAAGAATAACAATTTTACCTTTTTGTTATAATTTAAAAATATTTTTCAGGAGGATTTCAAACTTTTAAAGTGTGTTATTACTTTTATATACACAATAAAATATTCAAATATAGTGTTTTCGTCAAAAATTACTTTAATAGCAATGATATTATAGTAATATTTAGGTATGTACTTATTATTATTATTGTAATATATAAGTACTGACAGGTTGCCGACCGTCTTTGCTCAGAATCATCTTTCGTATACAATAATTCTATATCATTGAATTCAAAATTTAACACATCCATTACAATGCCTCAAACGACACCTAATCTACCCATTTCCCACCTTTTTGATTTTTATTATTAGTACAAATAATTAAAATTTTTATAATTTAATACAATAAGTTAATTTAAAGAAGGTATAGGAATTTTATTAAAAAATAGCAATATTGATATTATTAAATTTAGTTTTTAACTATTTTCCTCTACCAACAATATCGTTTCTACTTAGATTTTAATATGAAAACATATCGATCAAGAATGATGTTACAACTTTGACTGGGTCATAATATTTTGTGTGGTGATGCTGCTTGTGATCGAACTCGATGTAAATTCTAGGAAGAAAGTGTGATAGTTTTTTGTTTTTTTTTTCACTATTTTGAATGGAAATACACGATAATTTATTATTGTAATAAATATACTTATTAGAATGCGGCTAAGTAATCTTCTTTGAATAATATCGAAAACCTTAAATGTTGAATAACCGTAAGTGTCTCAATAATTTATTGTTTAAAAATAGGTGCCCGTAAATATTTGAACATTTTAATTTAAACCCATAAAAACTAAAAAATATTATAAAAAACCATATAAAAAATTTAATTTTTAATAAAAAATACTGGAGAAGCAATTTTTATCTAGGAAAGAAATAATACTAATACAAATATGCATTTTAATCATTTATTGTGAATATTTCAATGTTTGTTTGCTCTGTGGCGTTTATTTTTCCTGGACCTTGAAGTTCTTGTTATTGAAAGTACTAAAGTTTATCGAATGTGATCTGCAACCTTAAGTAGCTTAATACCTATTGTCCCATAAGGAAAATAAGTTAAGGAACAACTACTCTATATATTCAGCAATGCAATGGAAATAGAAGATAACCTAAATTAGGTACACTAATGTTTAATATTGTTTATTATATTTTTATGAATACAAACCGAATACATAACAATATTATAATGAACACAGAACAGCACCACAGCGTGAAACCCAATTGCCCCGGGGTGGGCGTATTTTAATATAGCCCTCTTTCAGAAACACAATATTATAACTACTTTAATCGAATATCTTTTTTACATAGAAATGTAATATTATAAACAATATAAATATTTATATAAGAAAACGGAATCACAAGCTACTGCTCTACATATTGTATTAAAAACGATTCGGAAGAACTAAACTATAGTATTGTAAAATTAACTCTTCGAGAATAATTATTGTTTGCGATGTTGCTTGTGTGCCTATATATAATTATTAATTACTCTTGTTTATAATATTTCATAGTTCTTCTTCTTGGGCGCCATTGTTTTCAATGGAAGCGTATAATATACCTACTCGATAAGCTAAACCTGGGTATATAGCAATAGTTCTGCTGTTATGTCATCTCAGTGGTTTTTAAACAATAAGTTTTAGTTTTATACATGGCCGTACCCCAGACATTGTGTTAAGTTTAGTCTAGACCTCATGGAGCCCAGATCCTTGTTGGCTGATTGTTGTAAAAAATCAAATTCGTTCATGCGTATATGTTCCTATATAAATATAATAATAAGTTCATCTGGTTATTCTTTGTTTGAATTATGTAATTATAGGCTAAAACAATTTATTATAATACGTTTTTCTGAGAAACAGTAACTTTTTTTAAAATTATACAAGAACATACAAAATAAAACATAAAATATATGTTTAAAATGTTTAAGTGTTTACATAAGAAACTGGTAAGATTTGAATGTCCAAACAGAGTTAAAAATTCAAAACAATATGAATTCAATGTCTCGTTATATTTGATAAAACGAATGTCTTTCGCGTTTCATTGTTCAACAATAAACTTAATGCAGTGAATGCATTGACTGCAATATCTTATAATACCATGTTAACGGTGAACTACTTCTAATAAAAATGATTATATGTTATTATTTTGGTTGCAGATAAAAATGGCCTACGAAGAATTTGGTAAACTTTTGAAACGGTTGATGGAAGGAGAAGCGTTTGTTTACGTCTCGGACTTTATCAATAGCTCTATGGTTAAATATGATAAAGTGAATATATTGATTATATTATAATATTTGATAATAATACTATACGATCGAGACATTTTCTTACGTTATCGGCGAATTAAATTTTTGTTGACCAGTTGATACGTGATGTTCATATATCGTTCATAAGATACGTTGAAAGTATGCTGGAAGAATCGTCAAACACTGTGGCGGCGTATTGGAGCAATGTTTTGAAAACCATCGAGCCGACTGTGGTACAAATTTTCCATCACATCGAGGGTGTTTTCGTGTCAGCTACAAAACACGTTATTCGTGAGTATACAAATAACGATATTAAGTTCAAAGGAATTAACAGGAAATTTAATAATGAACGTTATTTTTTTATTAAAACGGATTTATGACACAACAGAGTTTTTGTACGCGAGACAGCAAGAACTTATGCAATCGCCGTATTACGCACATACACAAAATATGACACAAGATTTGGACAGATTTTATAAAGATCTCATGCAAAACGATTTATTTACGAATCTAAAAAAGTACTGCACAATATTGTACGACGTCATCAAAACTAAATATTATCCTCTCATACCATTCGGTAAGTACTCCACTCTCTCTAACTCTTTTTATACATATATGAATGCATACATACTTCATTTATACGTATCATAACTATATGGATTGACTATATTATCTATGTAATTGCAAACTTCATGACACAGTTTTCGACTGAACATAAAGTGATTTATAGAGACCCTCTATATCATACTATGTACAGTTTGAAGTATTTATTCTCACTTATATTCAATGATATTTTTATACGGTCAAGTAATGGTGTCGAATAAAGAATACATGTGTCTGTTCTTACACTGGACACAAGTGTAAAGCATTATAATACTATAATGGGCAGTGTCGCAATTTCAAGGAAAAAATGTCGAAGCCGAAGTCCCTTATTTTTCCAGATAGTCCACAAATTGCATATATTACGAGGGTGCTAATCACCTCATATCCATTCTTAAATGTTGTCTATGCTAATAGGTATAGGTAACTTCTTAACTTTATAAAGTTTATTTGATTCTGTGGAAGATGGTTTATTAGTGAAAATAACTTAATGCACTACACAAACAATCTAGTCATCTGGCAATGGAAAATACTATTAATTAAGAATGTAATGACTGATATTGGTCCCCGTAGTAAATATAGATAAGACTTTTTAGTTTTTTTCATCATGGTTAGTTTTTCAACTATAAACAATTAAACAGGAATGTTGTTAAGTGCGGTGGCGGAATAAGATACTTTCGTCATCAGTTTCGCTGTATGTTCGCTCAAAATCGAATGAGATCAATATGAAAAAAAAATGACAAACAGAAAACATAACTATTATAATAACTGCACCAAAATCAAAAGTTATCGATATGTTGAATCGACCGGCCCGGCCGTTAAAGCAAAAAAAACCCACACAAGGAGGGTGACGATATCCATACTATCCATCTTTCTTGTCTCCAGGGCTTCAGCTAACGCCACTTGACTATACGCATTTAAGCCGTTTGATCGTGTGTGTTATAAGAAATAATTATATCATTTCTATCCGACAGCTATTATAGCGATAGACATTGGGGCAACGCCGCTCTCTCAATACTTAAATCATGATTGGAGGGGAGGGGGCATGGACCAATAACACTGAATCAAGCAATATAATGAGCTTAATCTTCTGTGAAATCTACATTTTATTTTTAACCGTCTAGGAAATTATATTTCCCGATACGATCGACTATGTTGTAGTCATAGGGGTAGTAATTTAAACGACCGAAGCCATTATCCCATATAAAACAGACGCAATAAAGTTGGCAAATTTTACAATGTCAGTGTGAAGCTAAAAAATATAAATACAAATAATACGAGAAATTATGTAAGTATTATATTATACGCGATGGCAGTGTATTTTATAGTTTAATACTGAATAGGAAATTTACGTAATTCACATACAAATATGTAATCCGTCATTGTTTTATTATTGTAAACTAGCATACATTTTGTAAAGTAAGAGACAAGAGTATAATACCGTTGTAACTAAATATTAAGTAGGTATTGAATAAATCGAGAAAAATCCGATTTGGATGGATTTGTGAAAAAAAATAAGGCGGGAAAAGTGAGGAGGTGGTTATAATATGGTTGTAATAACTACATAGTATTATATTGTGTACATACATTTGTATTTATCCTTAATGAGTTACTATTAATTGTAATTTTTTGTATTTATTGAATAAAATTGTTTTATAAAAACTAGCTTAAGACATTAATTAATTAATTAAATAAATAAAACGATATATATATATATTAAATGGTCCTACACGAAATCGGAAGAAAAATGTACGTTTCGAATTTATGGTATTAAAATTTAAATAAATATTATGTACAACGTAAAGACATCAAATAGCTTATATTATATTGAGACTCCAGTGTGTATTCCATTTAGATAATGATGAATTTTTTTTATTGGCAACATGAACATGATATAATCACAAAATAATAATATATTCAATACATAATTTCATTTAGATCACAACTCGAATTAAACCCACATAAAAAATGTTATAAAAATAGTTAATTTTTTTACTCTGAAGTATTTACCTACATAATACATTATAATATGAACTATGAGTTATAATAAAACTGCTTATAATGCTTATATATAGTATAATAATAATCCGGACGAGGAAGGTAGGCGCGGAAGCAACGTGCGCGGAAAGACCTTGAAGCATAATTTATTTAATCTCTGAATAATTAAAATGTATAATTTGTATATTCTTATAAATTGAATTATTTTGGTAATTTTTAAAATTATTATGAAAATTATTATCGTCGTAAGACCGAGTTTGATTAAAAAAAAAAAAAAAATAATTAAAAAAAGAATATTTGTTAGCCTTATAGATATATGTAGCGGCAGGTAAAAATTGTCGGTAAAACTACTAGTCTAAATACTAGTCGGTAAAAATGTCATCATTAAGAATGTTCTTCACAGATAAAATGTCTAAATAAAAACATTGAAAAGGTACAAAAATGGCCAGACAAAAATATGACCAGACACAAAACTGGCCTAGAGAAAAAATTGTAAGAATAGTGTATAAAAATTTAGTTAACCTCTCTTTTGAATAGTATCCTTCGTTAAAATTAACCTATTAACACTAAAATTAAGTCGTCATCCACGTATTTTAAGCCTATAATTATTTAAAAATGTAGTAAATAGTAATTTATTATTCGATAATATTATTTTACGTTATACCTACGGAAATTCATATATACGTACTTATATAAACGGTATGCTAAACCTACACAGGACTTCACTATTTTGTGGCATCCGAGCACGGAGATACAATTTTTGTAGGTGAAATATTTTCGTTATAATAAATCAGATTACTCTACGATGTTGATTTCATGACTTTTACATCCAATATCTAAGTCTTAGATTCTATGATAACGCTTTAGATGGAACGAAATAGGTTCTGGAAAACTGGCACATTAGAAAACGCCATAGAAAACATCATGCCTTATTTCTCCATAAAATCAGACTGTCACACTGTCGTATTTCTCAAGTTTAATCATGTTGAAATCAACTATAGTTGAAGCAGAATAAAAACAAGAGTACATTTTGTATTGATGGTTACACATATACAATTTAACCTAGTTTTAAATTTTAAATTCGTTGTCAATGTTCAAAACGTGTGTTATTTAATTACAATTATTTAATAATTGTAAGACAATATTTAAAACTAACATGGACTATTAATATATGGTTTAATATTATTATTAATGTACATTATACATTAATTGAATTAAGTTTTTTCATATAATTTTTGCTGTTTACCTATTCATATCGTACCTATAGATTTCTGCACAGTGCCTAAGTCTTAGAATGAAAATTGAAAATTGTATATATTTTTCAAATTGATAAATTTTATTTATTGTAGTGACACAAACTGGGTCATACTGTATGCTGTACTAAACTGTTGTTAACTAATTATTTTCGTCTTAGACTATGTAACAACTAACAGCACCGTCTAAATAAAAACTAAACCGATTTTAGCATTTCTAAAATATATCGTTTATAATTATTGAAATGCATGAAATATAGTCACTACCATACTTTATAGATAAATATTTAAAATTATATTGTAATAAACATAAAATATAATAGTATACATCAATACTTCATACATAGTACAGACTATTACAGTGCGAATATTAATTATTATCATCACTTGTATAAGTAAATACTTATTAATTATGATTAAAAGCAAAATATTTAAGTTGATAAAGTTTGTACCATATATTTTTATGTTATGAAATATACTTAAAAATTTGACAAATATTTTTAATTTTTACACTCTTTTAGTACAAAAGTAAGGTGTATTAAAAAATAAAATTTAATTTTTAAATTTCAGATATTCCCAGAAATTTCTCTTAAGAAGTTTCTTGAATATCTCATGTCTGAAATTTTACTTTACTTTATCCTACTGCAGTATATCTGAATAAAATGGTTCTCCTGTATTGCACGTCATTACGATGTGTTGACATAACGATAATAATACCTATGAAATAAAATATAATAATATTAAATCGAACTTACCGGGCGAAAGGCTATGTCAGACACATATTTTGCTTACAAACCACATTAATATATTTAATAATAGATGTTAGAAATAAAGTCAAAGTATTATTTTTTATACGACTGTTGGACCTTTTATACATTCGATTTATTGATTTTGGTTATAATATTATACTTATAATTTATATAGGTATAATTAGGTACATAATACATATATAACACTAGCCGAACAAAATATATCAATGTTGCTATTCATATAATTGTACGTCGTATTATTCGTATTGAAGTTGCACTATAATATCGTACCTATTATATAAATGTACCTATAGGTGAGCGTTTTGATGCAGAGACATTTTTTTTTAAATTGCTTTTGTCGTTCAGTGCCCACTACTCCTCAGACTTTCATCAAGATAAAAACAAGTGTGGTTTTCACTCATAAAACGTATTATAAAAGACGCTGAAAGGATTTATAATATTGTATGTGCATATATACCTATATTTAAAAAAAAAAAACATTTAACTATCATCAATATAAATGATGTCCTTTAAAATGATATAAGAGAACCTGGTATATTATGTAGGTATCGTGTATATGTTTTGTATATTTTATTATATAAATATATAACAGATGTTATACAAAGTGATAATTTTTTAGGGTAACACTAAATTTCTGGAGTGGAATTTGTCGGATTTATTTTTGACTTTTTTGTCAAGTTATCTAAATAGTAAATACGCATTCATATTACAGCTGTAATTTTATACCCTGTCACAACGCACTTGTTCAGTAACTGGAAAGACTTGTAATTTTATAAATAGTAACACTCAAACCTGTGCAAGTCAATGATTATTTTTAATGTAGTTAAGTTAAGTTGATAGAAAACATTTTATAGCTTAAAGTTCATAGTATCCTAATATTTTTTAAACTCAGTTACCTTAAAAGTTATACGAAAACTTACAATTACTTAACTCAATTTGTTATTTTTTTATTTAAGTAGCCAGTAATATACTAATATGGTACAAAAATAATAAAAAGTAAATGTTTGTGCAATATGCACCTTTAATAACAATCTTATTATTATATTTATAAATTAAAATATTAATAATATTAATAAATTTTTTTTTTACATTTATAAAGTAACGTAACTGAAATTTGATTACAAGTAACTCGTTATTTATTAAGATTATATCAATAAAATCAGTTTAAAATTAAGTTAATAAACATTTAATTTAAGAAATTAAGTTTAAAAGTTAAAATTAACTTAAACTCTTTAGCTCGTTTATTCCCAGGCTTGGTAGCATCTATTTTCGATACCATACTGAAGTAGGCATGCTATTTTATTTAAAAGTAATTTTTACTTAACAACGTGGCTCTAAAATTAAAATTGACTATTTGGAAGGCATTTCAAATTGAATCATAAATACAATTTTTTCGGATTTTGTCGAATTTTCGTAACATCTCTAACTCGTTTTATTATCATTATTATTTGATAATTGTTGCAATGAATTGTAATATTTTCATAAAATACTTAACTATATACATTTAATATAATGTGTAGTACCTACCTACCCACATTTCACTAAAAAATAGGTACCAAAAAATTAATATAAGTTCATTAAAACGTTTTTTTTTTAAATGGCTTGTTTATTTAATAAGTTTTGATTTAAGTAACATACTTGTGAAGTCAAAATTACTTTAAAATAATAAGGCTAAACAAAAAGGCTATATACAAATAGATATTGCTATTTATAGAAATATTCAAATTCGTCTGTGTATTCGGGTTCTAGGAGAGTTAAAAATATAGAATTTTCCTTTGAATATGTAATTAGGTACCTATTCAATCGATCGTTATCCGTCCGAGAAATGTAAACATGACGTAGTGTGACCCGAGGTAAAAAAATTATCATTGATCTTATAATAATATTCCAATTACTATTTATTTAAGTGAATATCTCAAATATAATAAAACGCGATTTAAATACTAACAACGTTAATTAAATATGACAACTTATTGACAACACGTTATAATATTTTCTAATACATTTTTTTACAAATCAGGCCTATTTCGCTTCCCGGCAAAACCTGCTTTAAACCAGATTGACGATATTCTAATATAAATGCATGCAAGAAATGTTAACGTAGATATTAGTACTGGTATATGATTCGCACTTAGAAGCATATGTTTCTAACCTATATAGTTTATTAATTTATTATATTATACTTACACACAACTACCTTAGGCAAGGGATTCGCTAAAATATATTATATATTATTATAAATATGCTGCATGGAATGTATTAAGTAGTTTTTCTTAAAATTTAAATTATAAAAATCAGTGCTTATAATAATTAATATAGACTGTAAAATAGTAAGTAATATTAATATATTATTTTAAGCTTGAATACATTTCAAGTTGTGTACGATCATAAATGTTTTCACTGAAGTCGTTGGGAAGTGAGAACAATTTTTTTCGCGCATAATTACCCACTCATTCCATTGAACATATCATTATTATTATTATACATTGGCATAAATTCATTCGTACACGATTGCAAAAAAAAACTAGTTTTTGTGTACATACGCGTAGGATTTCCTTATACGTAAGAATATTTTCAACAATTTCTAGTCGTGCCAAAAATAACCCGATGGTAATATACTCATAATAAAATATAATATACGCAATTATACAAATTAAATATCTCTTTTAGTGACTACTACTTACCCACATAATATTATATTATGTCTTTGACATACATTTTCTACTTTTTTTTAACTAATAATTTTAATTCGGCTTCAATTTGTATCGATTTTTAGCTGATCCACGAGCTGTGTGATAATAATGAATTGTATTCACTTCCCGCTTGACACATTATACCTCCAAATGTCAGTGAACGCGTATTGCATATATCGTACGGTGGTAGGATCTAGGAAGTAATAAATATGTCGTGCCTGTTTGATATTGTGTTCGGAATTAAAATTTAAGATTAAGAGTATTAGTATTGACACAGATATTGAGGTTCAGAACAATTGTCTTAAGTAGATTCTGTGTGGGTTTTATTTTATTTATACGATTTAGTGTGTTCAGCAACGTTAAGGTCGTCAAGGAGCTAAATTATTGTCACCGTTTTTTAACAAAATAATCGGACTTTATCCTACCTACTTGTGACGTTTTTAAATCTGATTAAAAGAGGAGAGCCCCTCTTCTTCTTCAATTAGTTTTAAATGTATTATTATTATTATTATTATTATTGTCATCACATTTTATATTTGTAAACACTCATTATATCTGTTACCTGAAATCTGAATGTTGAAAATTATGTACATGGAGTGATACAAGTGTACCTAGTACGCCACTGAATATCGGTCGATACTTCACTCGATAAATCTTAAATACTATATAGTAGTATATACGCTGTATATCTATTTTGCTAAGAATGGTAAAAAAATATTAATATTAAAAAAAAAAATTAATACTCTTTCACAGTAAACGGTATGTAAAAAAAAAATATTTCCAGTACTTTTCTTGAAATTGATGGTGTCTACCTAACAGCCATCCGGTATATTATATGCGTTATTACTATTATTACCATTACATAGTATATTATATCAGCAGAAATGCTACTTCGACGATGATACGGCGTAGATACGACAGCTATACTTTATTAAATGCGATTCGTACATATTGCATATTTTATATTATACCCCATAGACGTACACGATAACTTGGATTGTTGTTGCTTCTATTAGATTCTTCGTTATCCACCACTGGTACATATTTTACGAAACGATTTTTGAATAATTTATTCACTTTACGAGCAAAATGTCAATCTTCTCGTATACGAGGGCAAACGTCGAATAAATGTAGTATCTAGGTAGGTACGTTACTTGTCTATAGGTATCTACAGTATATAGTGTGTATAGTGAAGATGTATGTATACTCACATCATTTCTGGTACTTTGTCGAAAAACATTAAAACACGATGTTAACGTACGTATTGTGCGTATGAAAGTTTCACTTTGCATATTACTGTTGCACTGTTGTATGTAAATCAGACAGAGACGTTTTACCTGTACGATGTGTGCATTCGTCGATGTATTATACTATTATGTCATGTGTGTTTGGAATGATTTCAGCGACCGAAATGAACGCCCTCAGACTGGAGATAATGGACGGCGTGAATCAATTGCTCAAGTTGCCGTTGATCTCTTACGTGATCGACAACACCAAAACAATGATCAACCAAGTAATAATCATTACGCAACCGAATATACGGAGACTGTCGTGTTCAGAGTGTTCAGACACATATATTTATATATTATTTTAAACAATGAAAACATTTTATATTTTATTTTTGCGTTATCCGCGGCTTTTTTACAATGTTTCCTTTTTATTTTTTTAGTTTGTGTGGTTTTGCGAATACATCGACTTGAGCAAAAAAATACAAAGCATTGTTCCCAAACTAGTGAATCGGTTGTACGATCTAACGTACACAGCAGTCGACAACGAAATGAAGTAAGACCCGTTACCGTGTTTGTATACAGGATGATTCACCAAACATATGCTCAACCCCATTTTACTTTGAATAAAACATTATTTTTATTCAAAAAACCAATTTTAGAATTTTGAAGTTTATTTAATTACTATATTTTTACATACTTAATCAATTTAAGGAGTATTCCGTATTATGTGGCGATAAAAACTTCTAATGAGTACTACTATTTTTATTGTAGATTATTGTTGAGCAGAACTTTTGGTATATCTAAACCGAAATTCAAACTAATATGGTTTTCGAGTTGTTTAAGTTTATGTACTATAGATAATAGATAGATTTAGAAGATGATCAGTAATAGGCTATTATAGTAATTTATGTTAATCTATAAAAACATTTTATAAATTGTATAAAAATGTCTTAGTATATAATCATGAATATGTGTACTAAAGAAAAAATAGGGGTGAATGTGAATTTTTGAATCATCCTTATGTTATATCACCTCGCCATCGTTGGTCAGGATAATATACCTCTTAATTGATATAACGATGTGCCGAAGTATCGATTAGGTACCAGACTTTCGCTGTGTTTCAAAAATATAATTAAGTTTATTTATTTCACGCTTACGACGGACACGATTGTTATGTTACCGATGCATCATGTTTTATTTCAGATACCACAAGGCGAAAACAAAATTTTTATGCAATCCGGAAAAAGGAATTCTAGAATTGGAACAGAAGTTGCCGTTCTCGTGGCACGCATTCAATGAAACTCCCAGATACGAAGTAATTGTCGATACGACATGCTATATATAAATAATTATTCACCGATATAATAATACTTACTTAACTAATTGCGCCAAAAACAATAAAATAATAATTAAACGCAACCGTTCGCCACTTAATGGTTTCTTTTAGGAAATCCCAGAATATAGAATGGCCACTAAACTGTTGAGTATGTTTGCGCCATCCAATGTGACGTTTTGGTTCGTGTACTACAATTTGATGCCATTTATGGACGACACTAATTGGCTGCCACCGTTCCGAGGTAAAGTTGGGCATATTTAACTATTTAAAAAGACTAAAGCTTAAGTTAAGTTGTATTTTCTTGATTTTTTGGCCAAACTAATAAATCCATACCTAGTAACAAACTACACTTTTTTTCTGTAAATTTCAAATTTTAATACGTCCAGTTAAAATCATATTTATACGCCATTATATCCTCTGTTAAAAGTAATATTAATCATTTTTTTGTTTTATCACTTGGTATGGTTTTAAGTACTCTTAGCTTGATTTAATCATTTAGAAGATTATTCTAAATAAAAAGGAATAGTATAATATGATGAATTTTCAATGAAATATATGATTATTCTTACAAAAAATTTAAAAGTTTCCCAATCACTGTATTTGTATATTTTGGGTGATCTAAGTAGAAATTAAAAAAAAAAAAAATAATCAACTTCTCTTTGTCCGGGTTAAGTAAATTTTTTCTCCACGTTATTAACTCTAGATTTAAATATAATACTAGCCATTTGCTCACTATTAACTTGCAGAGCTTTACGTTATTAACAATGACTTAATTCCACCAACTAAAGTAAATTTTTTTTCATGAACTTGCATATACTTTTGGATAATCTTTGAATGTTATAATATTATAATTTATAATATAGATAATTACAACCACCACAAGGTCACTTCATCATTACAATTTTATAATAATTTAATGTGTTTATATCATTATATGTTTAATATTATGGTATGTGTTGCCTCAGCTTGTCCGTGCATTTCAGTTTTCACTGCTACAGATCACGTATCCGTAAAATATTGAAAATTTAAAACGTCTCTCTATTATAACACCGATATAATAATGGCCAACAATAATTCTGTATATTTTAATAATACGTATGGCCTATGGGTGCACACCTGATCGAAATATCGTTGCCGAGAATAGTTTTAAACACAGGGTCGGGTTTCATAATTTATAGTAATCATATACCTATAATAATAAATATTTATTGGATGTATGTAGCTAGTAGTGTATACCTACTACTATTAGTTTGACGATTCGGACACGCGCACCCAATGTACCACATTATTTTACGAACCAGAAGTGTACACAATGTTGCGTATTGTTGTATAATAATTAATAACTAATAAGTAATAACAGTGCTTAAAATATTGTTCATTATAAAAAGAATTTCACAGAAAAATACTTGTCAATAGACAGTAGGTGTGCTCCGAACCTCATTATTAAATCTAACAAACATAATTTAAACAATAATTTGTTTACATAAGTTAAGCAAAATATTTTATACTATAAGTTATAACATTTGTGACATTTGCGTTTTTCGGAAATGTTTTATATAAGTATCAAAAAAGGTTGCTAAATTTGACTTATATTTCGACAAATATTAATTAAAATTAATTACAGACTACCAGCAGTTCCACAGCATAACTGACATATGATTTTGTAATTTAGATTCTACTGTAGATCACATTTTAAATCAAAATGAACGTTTTTTTTTTTTTTGTTTCTTTTTTTTTTTTTAACTGTTGAATAATATTGTTTGTTTCTTACCAAAATGGTGAAACTATACAAACCTTGCAACCGTTTCTCAGAAAGTATGCACCAAAACCGTCGTGAAGTCGTTTTTAACTCAAAAGTAATTTTGTTCATCAATTAGTATGAGTCTTAAGTGTAAAAACAAAGATCACAGTAACAATAGTTAAGAATTACATTTGTACACGTAATACGCAATAAGTGGTGTGTGGTTAACTAATGGTTATTTGGGACACTGATATTATATTAAAAATATATAGTTCTGATAGCGAAAACCAATATTCCTACTGTTGAACAGTGTTGGTACATCGTGGATCTATAGGTTATTTTATTTTAAATCCAGATATAATACTTATCACATATAAATTTGTATGTAATGATGCGGGGGTCATATAGAATATAATTGATAGTATAATATTTTTAGACCTATTAGAAATATATTGATACTTAAATACAAAGTAATTTCGTGTCAAAAAATTCTGCTTACCAAAGTTATGATTTCAATTGGTGAACGATAATAGTTAATTAATTACAATGACAGATATTATCAATATTATCAAATAAATTATAAGATAATCCAGCACATGTCATTTTGTTGTTTTTATTTACATTAAGACATAAAGTATTATTAATTATTATTTATTTGTTATAACTATTACTTATTAGCAGGGTTCGGGACTTATAGCACTTAAAAACACAATAATAATATACACTCAAAAACTCAAACATATGCATACAAAATTTAAAAATATGCATTTAATATATTTATTATTTTATTAATAATTATTAATTACAATTAGTGTACATAATATATAAAAAATTAAAAAAAATTAACTGATTGTGAACTTGTTTCTTAAATTTCCGAGTTTTTCGAATTTTATTCGTCAACTATATAATGATAGGAAAAATTAAAAATTAAATTTTTCATTTAAATCAATAAATAAATAATTTGACATTTACCGGAAATACCTTTAGTTTCAAAGAACGTTTAATAACTGCAATATATTAAAATTATCGTATCGCTTGTATCGCAAGTCGCAACATATTATATAATATGTAACGATACGGGTAATCAGGCCATCATAATATTTCCAAACCACGAAAATTATAAGGAGTTGTGAGTTGTATATTGCAAATAGGTACATAAGACTGCGAGTAAGATGCATTACTATTTTCTTTTTTAGATCGGGTGAAATGTATAAATTAAGTAAGTTGAAATTTCGAAAATTTTTCTAAAATATGCAAATTAAGCACAATAACGTAAAAATAAGCAGTTTCTGGAAAAATGTATGAAATATGCAAAAATGTGCACATTCAAATTTTAAATTTGATATCACGGCATTGAGAAATGAATTAAATTTCGCACTCAGCTACATTTTACAATAAATAAAAAAAGTATGCAATTGCTATAAGTCCCGAACCTTGCTTATTAGTTATATATTAGTGTTTTACTTTTTGTCAGGTGAAAAAAATATTTCAATTTTGCATCTAGCAAATTAATTATAATAAATGTAGAAATACAAGATGTATCAATAAGCTTATATCTATTATTAGGTGTATAACTATAGGATATCGGGTTTTGATCCGATTGGTCTGTATTTTTATATTGGTTCACGGATCTGACAAATTAAAATATCAGTTCGATTGTATATTAGCAATAATTAGCAAAATATATTATAATATATGGCGGAATATTGGATATCAGAAAAAAGTACTTACCTCTAAAAATGTGCTATCTATGAAATACTTTTAATATAATATCATATTTACTTACCAGTTTTCTTTTACTATTCAACTTGTTGCACGCTTGTTGTAGCTCACGCGATGATCGTCGGCTCTCAGCATTTTGTGACATTTGACCAGAGGCATTACGACTTTAAGGGTCAATGTTCGTATCTGCTGGCCAATGATTTCGTCGGTCACGAATTTTCCCTGGTGCTCAACTACGAATCGGAAATTAAAGGCCACTATACGATGTTGCTGATACTGGGGTCCGAGACGATTTCAATAGATCTCCAGCGCAAGGTACGTGGAGAGTGCTTAATAAATAAACTATAGTTTCGTAACATGGAGCTTTGGTCATTTATAGCAAACTCAAAAATGTTATTTTAATACCATCAATATATTGTCATATTGTTATATTATAATTCATTGATACGGCGTTGTTACACGCATGTGGCAAAAAACCTACGAAAGATTGTCTTTCATGCACATTGAAGTTTGGTAAGGAAGTCTAATTTGCAAGTAGGGCAAGTCCCTATTTTATTAAATTTCGAATGCTTACAGTTGTAGCTACTATGACCTATTGTATGACGGTCACTAAGCACTATAATGTAGACTCGAATGTCATGCTATTAATAATTTAATACCATAGGTCACGTTTAATACTCGATTTCACCCAATTTGCCTCTTATTAGTATGCATTTATTTATTAAAAGTACTTTCGTTTAAATTTAAAAGAAATGCACACATTTACGCTAAAGTAACGATCCCTTAACTGCATTATTAAAATATTTGAATTGCATGACTTAGGTAAAAACTAAATTATATTGGTAGTGTACGAACGACGTATGGTGAACGTCAATTTTATTATTCGGGTATAAAATAGCTGAAGAGCTGTATTTTAATATGTGATCCATCAAAATTCCTTCAAACTGTTGAGAGTTCTAAAACTTAAAATTATAAAATATATTTTGTATGCTCTGAGTAAAATGTGATAATTTTATAAAAAATAAAATTGTGAAATGTTTCAAAATGTTTAAGAATCATAAGCGATTGGAAATTGTTATTTTAAATATTACCACTTTGATTTGTAAAAGAGTGCCTATCATTTTTTTACTATGTATCAAAGACTATACCAATAAAATCATTTAAATATTCAATACAATAAAATACTTATAATTTAAATTCTGTAAGCCAAAAAAATATTTGCAATAGTAATATTTACTTATAGAGAATCAATATAGGTATATAAATGTGTAAGTAAATAATGAATAAATATTTTGTCCTACGCAGTAAATTCAAATACCACTAAATGAACCAATATACTAAATTATAAAGCTAGTATAATATTATAAAGCTAGTATACAAGTTTTAATAAAATATTGTTTAGGAAAATAATGGGCAATATTGGTATTATCAAATAGTTTTACTCATTTCTTTAATACTTAAATAACAATTATATTGCAAATAATAACAAAAAATGAACTCAATTGAATTAATGTTTTATTTTATAAATTTATCAATTAATCAATGTTAATCACGTTTTTATTTAAGCATAATTAGTTATTCCCACTTATTGTTATTGTTGTTATTCATAGTTAAAATGCCCTTATTGTTGATAATAAATAAATAAATAATCATAAGTAAGTACATATTATATTTCACTACTCCAGTCACATTTAAGTCAAAGTCTCACCATTTTTGCACTTTATCTATTCAAGCCCACACCATTAAATTTTCTTTATTTAATTCATTAAAATAATATATAAGATATTATGTATAAAAAAAAAACAACAAGTAACTACATAATTGATATTTTGTGGAATTCTAAATTACGCGTGAGATAAAGATGTTTAAAATATTAAAAATGTATGTTATTTTCAGTAAAAAAGTTATGAGCTTATTTTATAAATTAGAGGGATTGTTACATTGTTGCTGTATCGTCTGCTCCCTCCCAATAAAAATTAAATAATTCACATTTTACAGCTTTTTATAGATAAATCATGTTCCCAAAATGTTGGCTTAAGGTTTTCATTTAATTGCTTTCTATGGCGCATTGTTCAAATATAATTAACAAAAACGTTGATTGATTTTAACAATTTTAGGTAGATCACATATAATACTAACTATAAAATACATCTGATTCTGAATAGGAACCTACAAAGTAGATTATTGTACATGTTCAACCATTATTATTGTGACGAACCATCAATATAAACTATTATTATATATATATTATCTACGCCATTAGAGTTTGAAACGAGCACTACATAATTATTATTAATATTAATTAACTTGCAACTAACCCAATGGTATATACGAGGGGGTAGGCACATGGCTTATAAATGTGTGAACTATGTATCCTGCAAATGTTTTGCACCGCACTGTCAAGGCGTGACGATATGATAATATTATTATTTATAATAATAATAATAATAATAATAATAATAACAGCATACGTACCTATATTATACTTAAAGTACATTCAAACTGTTTTCATTTCTTTTTTATTCTTCAGGACGTGAGAGTTTTTCCCGACAGTATTAAACAACTACCGTTGCAACTGAACGATACGGTTATCTACTACGAAAACGAGTTGCTCATTGTGGAGAGCGAGAGGGGCTTATCTCTAATATGCAACATGAATTTCCAATATTGCACGTTTCATGTATCAGGTAAAAAAATAATATTATTATAATTACTACTAAAAATATTGCAATCAGGGACTCGTACATAATATGCGTAATAATTATATGAGTAATGAGCATGCATTAAGAAATTATGCTTTTCTCGACGGACAGGAGATATTAAATAGTCACCTACTTACCTAGGGGTACTGTTATCATTAGAAATAGGACTTTGATTACTGTTACAAGTAATACAATGCTAACCAAGCTACAATTCTTTTCATCGTACTATGATTCAGAATGTATCATTTTTACTTTCCATTTTTTGCCTTATTTAGGTACACAGTATATTTCAAAAATGTTGAGCGTTCTAACTTCAAAACACATATTAATTTATTGTTTTTGTACATTAAAATTTTTAAAATAAATGTATTTTTTAAAACTATAAACATTTTTACCTGTATTCATATAATTACATATATTGATACGTATACTTAAGTTATTTTGCAATTCAAATATTTTCCACTTATGTTATACCTATATGCCAAGTATATTAAACAGTATGTTACATCAATAAACACAAACTACGAAACTGATTTTAGTAGAAGTAAACAAAACCTACGAAATAATATAAAATAATTTAGCTCTATTATCGGTGTTACTCATGATTATTCACTCATACGCGGGATAAAAAATTATCATTACATTTCAGTGCAGACTATCTGCAGCAGTGATGAGTTCGATTGTTCGATTTAAGTTTTAATTATTGTTGGTACTCACAATTATATTTTTGAAAAGTACCTATGTCAGTATGTACTAATTTAGAAAATCAAATTTATAAGAAAATTAAGCTCTGTGTACGTAATCATATAGTGCGTGCTTATATTTTATTTATTTATCTATTTTATACGATTAAACGGGCGAGCCCAATTATAATAGGTAAATATGTGGAAACATAAAATAACAATTACAGCATACTAAGAATTTTGCTAGATGTAGAATATAGATTTAAATGATTAAATTACTAAGATATGGATTAAATGAAACAACATAGTTACAAATAAAAATAGTTTTCAAGTCATTATTTGCTTTATTAGAGGAGTCTATATTCGACGATTCTCTACTATCACACTTTTGTTCAAATATTATGTTAAAATTAATCGTATTCAATCCAATTACTTCCTTATTTCATCTGGCACTTTAAAAGTCATTTTAACCTCTTCTGTATGCAGTCTTTGTAAATGGTGTAGATGTACCGGATATCCTTGAGTTATAGTTAGTTCATTACTTTTGCTGATGATATCGAGCTTTTTCTTGAAGTGAATTCTCTGATTGCAAGCATAACCTAAAAAGATAACATTATACTGTCTTGTGGACAGTTAAATTATACCTAACAATCTTGAAATGTATTGATACGTATGTGAAATGCTAAAATGACTTTATAATTCGTAGTCGTCTAGTATATAATATTATATATTATAAGGGGTTACTTTATTTTTGCCTAAGTATGAGTGAATTGATTTTGGTTACCTACATATTTGATGAAAAATAGTGATTTTATTCTTCTACTTTTTTAAAATATGACATGTAAAGCTCTCTATTCGTTGGGCTGTGTTAAGTGTATTTGTAAGTTCAAACTGCTTTCCTATATTTAGTAGGTATATTTAGTATTCTAGCTAGTGTTAATTCTATTTTGAAGTATAATACAGTTGTCTAGGATCCATTCACTGTTGTCAATAAATGTGGAGTTGTATGCTTTTGTACTGAAAATTGATTACCATCCAAATCATCATTCTTTTGTTCTTCGTGTACTCAATTAAAAATATTTATTAGACAGAAGTGACGGCGATAGGAATCGTTTAAAAAAAAAAATTTTTTTCTGAAATTTAAGCTTCTTCATTATTAAACGAAGTTAATTTTCTTGTCCCTCCGTGAAACTATCGTTGTCCCCAATCCTTTCTCACTCAAATGTTCCCTATTGCTTACTTAAAAATAATCAAATACTAAAAATTATTTAATTAGCCAATCAGGACCCATTATTCCTTGTTTAATTTTTACATTATCCTGAAGTTATTTTCGCTATAACTATTTCTATTGTTAGATTTCTATTTAATAATTACATTTGTCATTTATCCTCTGTCTATTTTATGCATATTTTAAATTGGGATTGACCTAAATTTATATCAATAAATAAACAACAATTATTCGAAAAATCATAAATTATCAACAAACTAATATACATAAAATGTTATTATTTTAGTGTGGTCTTAATATAAATTCCCAAAATATAATATGTATACCTATATTAATTATTTGGTGTAACACTGAACTATGTTTCTATCGTGTTGACCTTGATCTTGTTGATCAAGTCTCTTATATAATTTATATATTCTTCAATTATTACTAATATTAGCCATGATGGTAAGAATAAACAACAAACTCGTTTATGTATTTGTTTACTGATATATAAAATAGTTTAAACTTATAATATAAAATATAATGATAATGCGCCTCTAACTGGTTATATTATGATTATTTTAAACATTATCAATTTTATAAATAAACTGTGTTTATTCTATCATTATTAGTTCATTAATCATGTAACCACATATTTTTAATTTCAATATTTACTTGGAAACAAATATTTTCTTATATTTTATATTTATATAATTATTGGTGGCATAATTTTTCTTACAGTATGAAAATAGATTTATAAAATAATATTGAAAGGATATTGTTATAAAATTATTGTTATAATACATCATATTTTGATTATTTATTGATGTTATGAAAATTATAAATAAGATTTTAAGATAGGTCTTTAAATTAACTTACATTAAATAAAATCATATATTCATTCTTAAACAAATCATGACAAAATTGAAATATAAAAATACACTTTAACATACGACTAAAATAAGTACCTAATAAGTTTAAAATAAAGTTTGGTATGAAAACATCGGTGAGGTGTGTAAACTCTGAGATGAGTGTTTGCCAAGGTGTCGTATAAATGGATAGAACAGTAATTTTTTTTTTCAATTTTACAATGTTATTTTTGCTCATAACTTAATATAGTAGTTTATTACTATGAATCAAAGTTTTCCTTTGACGATATTTTTCGGAAAAATGAGTACTCATGACTTCTTTCTTGCGCCCTGCTGTAGTGTCGTCACAATATTTTATCCGATCGTCGTTGAATATATAATAAAAATCTCTCTTATAGATATTAAATTCTTTTAATAGGTATATAAAGGATAGTGACAGTTAATAAGTATATTATAATACATTTTATGATTTAATTACCATAACAATACCACACATGAAATTAACATGTTTCAACAAAAAATTAGTAAAGATTTATTTCGAAAATAATTAACATGATTATTAAAATATATTTTCGAATCAAATAAGACTCTTTTAATGGTAATTTAACAATATAAATTTATATTAGTTATTGAATAACCGAAAGATAAAGTATTTATTATATGGAGTACCTATGTGTGCAATGTCATATGACATATAACATTTGTCAATATTTAATGACACTCCAATACTCCATCATTATTACACCACTGATGAAAATGATTTTGATAAACTTGAAAATTAATTGAACCATCAATTATAGATTAAATAAAAGAAAACTTCCAATTATTACTAGTAAATAATTTTTCTAAATTGTTTTATTAAATAAAAAAAGGTTATAGTACTTAGCGATGAACAAATGCAGGTTCTTTAAAGTATTCTATTGAAATATCAACTGTGCCATTTTAGTCAAATTCAATATAATATACTATAATTCATTAAAAGCATTTTTTGTTTTTATTGCATATTACCATCAGAAATTGTAGATTTGATTGATAATAACTAATAAGTGACAAAAAATAGATAGACATACAAAGTTATTGATAACAAGGTATATATAACTTAGTGAAATAAATAAACTAAAAATATAAATTATAAATTGAACTTGAAAATAATGAAATATCGTTACCTATAGTATGACTTTCGAAGTTACTTAATGTTGGTGCATATTTAAGTAATCACTAATATTATACTAACGTAGGCCAATTAATAGATAAAAAATAAGTTATAATAGATCAAAATATAACCATCTGCATTTTCATTATATACAATATATATAATGCATTTTGTATAAGTATGTACAATACTAAGAGGAGCATAGGCTCAGACACGGGGTAATATGGTTGATGGATTCCCCCATAAGCGTTTTTTAGATCCTGAACGGAGTGATGAATGTATTGATTCTACAATGATATGTTATTTTCCCGTCATTACCTTTTCGGGCAGTAAAAATGTTTTAATTTTCTACTTCAGTATAATTTATGATAGTAAAGTGAATCTAGTTGGTGTTTTTAGGAAGTCGAAAGTGAAAAATTCCCTGTAGTTTTCAAAAGTTAGGAAAAAAAAAAATAAGGAATAACAGTTTTTACTCGAAACTAGTTTTCTAAAAAATGTATTTTGTTATTTGGTGTCACTATAAAAAAATAACCGTACCATCGATTGGTACATTATATTTTCACCGAAATAATGTCTGTATTAGAATTTTCTTTAGGTACCTCTATAGTAACCTCCACCATAAAATGTTCATAATATTTTGACTCTTTTTGATCTAAATACCTCATATATTAATAAACAATACGACTATATATACTATAACTCTTACATTATAGGCACAAGAAAATTTAAATTATTATTAGTTTTTTCTATTATCAACTATAAAGATTTTTTTTTTGTGAAAAAATTTGAACATTTAACACAAGGTATCTTGTTGTTATAATTTCAGTTAAAAATACGTAGGCCCGATTTTTTTCACAAACAATCAAAGTTCAAATAACATAGTCAAGAATTAATTTTTTTACATTTAAATATGTATATATTGAAAAAATTGAAACAAGAAAATGTATCATTATAAAATATAAATCGGCATGAGTAACAAAACCTAGTTGACAGTAAAATATTCTAAATTGTCATCACATTTTCTACCAAATTAAAGTGTTCTCACTTAAACTGATAACATGAGTACGAAATGGTAATTTTATAGTTACAAATAAAAGCTTGATTTTATTAGTATAGATTAAAACAGGTTTAGATAGTAAGTTAAACATTATTTAATGACTGGAACACGATTGTGTATCAATGGCTTCCGAAATTAATTCTTATGTATTTGAGACTTGAGAAGTAGAGCAATTGCTATCTAAGAAAACAACTTTTTTCGAGTACTTTCCTCAACTTTCTCTTTTAGAATTTAATTTTTCTCAAATTTAGATGAAACCTACCTATTAATTCGTTTTTAAAATGTCACTTATTTTTTTAATTTAATGTCTTTAAACAATTATTTTTTAGGTATTATGAACTGTTTGATACTATTTTACCTTTTGTAATCTTTAGTTTATTAACTCAAGAAAATTCCAAGTTCCTTACAATTAGTAGTTTGAGATTTAAAGTGTTAAAGTTTAAATAAACTGGAACTAAACTGAACTAAATAAACTAATTAACGTAATAGGTGCGTATGACTGTCAGATACTTTACTTATAGTACCTATATTGCAATAATTGTTAATAATAATAATAATAATAATAATAATAATAGATAATAACTGATCAAATATCGAAATGGTATTTGTCAAATAATATTATACCATTACATTCATGCATGGTTTCTCTTACACCCCGGAAACTTCTTCAGGTTGGTATTTCGGTAAGACGGCGGGGCTGCTTGGAACGCTTGACAACGAGCCCATTGACGACATGCTGTCGTCCAACGGCTACTTGGAACCGGACTTGTTCAAGTTCACCGAGAGCTGGTCGTTGAACGAGAACAGCTGCAGCGCGTACCAGTCTGTTCAGAGGAAATCGTCGCCCAGCGCTCAAATCGTGGAAATCTGTGACAGCTATTTCAAACACAAGACCTCTCCGCTATTCACCTGCTTCTCCGTGGTACGCATAATATTATTAATATCCGTCGTCACTCGTAGTCGTCGTCGTGTCCCCATAATAATAATTTACTACACTATTGTGGACGGCACTACCCAAAACGAAAGGACACGAAGTCCCCTGTTGGGAAGAAGGTCCCCAACTCAATTTTTACAACTTAATTGGCTTAAAGTCCTTTGATCACCCGCAAACAACGTTGGGACTCTGATTTACGATCAGAACCAACAGAGAAGCTTACAATAAGGAATATTTGATTTTTTTTAGAGAGATGGTTACTTTTATTTTTTCCTTCAGCGCATCCACTACCGAATTAATTATATAATTGTAAACTAACGATAATACATAATTGAATCTGTGGGTTTAATGATTTTGAGTATCGATGAACTAAAATTTTGAATGAAAAATGAGTGCAGTTAAAATATTGTTCAAGACATTACAATAGTATTCTAAATACAAAATATACTTTGCATAATTTTACATGCGTTAGAACATATTATAACTGTTTTTTTTATGTTTTTAACTTTTATTGAACAACTGGGGAAAAATACTTATTTATGGAATGGTCAAAATTCAGTATAGTATAATATTTTTATATAAAATGTATAATGCTTAGGTATTATTATTTATTTGTAATTGCTTTTTGTTTGTATCTTTTGTATATTATAATACCCACACATATTTTGCTAATGTGGTTTTTAATATTTTCCGCATACTATTTATTACCTTCAAACACTAATTTTCAATTCATATATAATTGCGATTTTTTTTCATCAGGTAAATTTCACATATTTCGGAATGTTTAGTGCCCAATATATTTTGTAATGCTTATTTTCCTATTTCTGAGCGCACGAATGCATTTGTATTTCATGGATTTTTAGTGCATTAAATTCACAGCCCTGGTAATAACGTACCGCAACGGAAGCAGCTATACTTAACGGATTTAATAACGAGTTCCAACTCCCAGATGCCGCGGGTCTTAGATTAGGACGTCGGATGGAAATCACGCGCCATTTAATACTAATCTCGGTATATCGCTCAATAAAAAATTTAAATCAAATTCTAAAAGGTATAGAGAAACTTGTACCGAAATAAATATAAATATATATATTTATTTATGTACAAATATAAAATATTATATTATATTAATAGTGTAAAAGAAATAACTGACAAATGTGACTATAGGTATTTACTTAATAATTTTGTTCTCATTACCTACCTAATACTAATTTTTTTTGAACGACTAGGTACAAAATTAATGATTATAAAGTATCCTAATAATATATATTTTTTTAAATGATTAGAATAAAAGTTATTACATTGTTAGATATAATTCCACCCTTCAGTTATTTTTATTTAATTTTCGGCATATCTTTGTACCCACATTATATCTGCGAGGTATGCATCTTATTAATATAATTTTAAGTCTATATAATTGGTGTATTTTGTATTTAGATACCTACATAATATTATTATGAATAACCCGCAAAGGTCAACACTCAACAGTATATAAAGCGTTGTCTAGCTGTCTATAAGTAGGTCGTCTAACGTCTCTAACTTTTGCATCGTTATATAATTCATCCTATACTATAATAAGTTTAGAACCATTTCTAAATTAAGGTTTTAGAGCGATTTACGACCATTTAAACTCCCACAATGAATATAAAATAAATATACATATACATACATAGCCGGGTTTAATGTTTACCTATACCCCTATACGAATTTCGAAAACATTTTTGTTGTATTAATTTCAATCGCTTGAGTCCCTATTTGTATATTATGCCGTAAATAGTTGAATGTTCGTATCATAGCAAAATCGAATGTACTGTCGTAGGATTTAAGAATGGACGTTTTTTTACGGTTTATAGACATTTGATGGTCTGCAAGAGGGAGGAGGGCCTTTATACAATATAATATATTAATATCATGTCAAAACTAGGCTGTGATATAATTTCAAAACGGTTTTCGATAGCACAAATTTACGATAAGCATTAATAACGTCTATGTATAATATTGTGTAAATCATAACATTCCCGATAAATGACAATAACAGGCGATATTCCTGCAGGTCGCTGCTCAAATCGAATACCCGGCCGGTATATCATATTATTATGATTACTATTATTATTATCCTTACTCCGGCCACACGATACTGACGCTATGATAGTATATATATATATGTACCTAATATAAGTGTACGTCCTATTGTACACATTTAATATATATATATATACGCATATAATTTATATACATAATGATTTTACGCGGCGTGGTGTACAAACAGTTCGCACAATACCAGTGATAACGGCTATTATAATTTTTCAGTTGCACTTTTGATTTTCCGCAGATTAACCCCAGCCCCTATTACGACCTGTGCCTGAAACAAGCCAACAAAAACGAGACGTGTACATCGGCGACCGCCTACAGCGAAATGTGCTCCATAGAAAATCTGCCTGTCCGCACACCAACAAACTGTGTCAGGTCAGTAGTCCGAAATATATTCTTATTTTTTTTATCACCTGTCACACAGCCTGTCAATACGGGATCCTTCAGTTTAATGGTAATAATATTATTATTTTGGCTATCGGTACATCAGTAATTTTCTAAAATAGGTTTTTATGTTCTGAAATGAAAAATTGCTTGTGATTCAACTGGAATGCTCACACCCAGTCCAGTCTTCCTTTTAGTTTATTTGAATTCTGAATAATAGAATATTTTATTAATATGCTCAATGACCATATTTTCAGATACTTTCATTTGTATGCCATTTAAGGAATTTAATTCCGATAGTTAATTGTTATGAATTTTATAAAGTTTAGATGATTGGAGTGGTGGACCACACATTTTGAGTGGTACCACTTGACATTTTACTCCAATGATCTAAATTTCAAATGTGAATCAACCAATATTAATCAATTAAAAAAAACTCTTTATTCGATAGCCGATAATATGAATGTCGTACAAATCAGAAAAAAACTGAAAACATCAATTTTGCAAAATGCTATAAGAAATATATAAGATTTAATTTTTTTTAATGTTTAAAATAATATGGTATTGTTCATAGACTTTCTCAATTTTTTTGCGAGAAATAAGTACAAAAATTGACTTTTAATTAGTTTAACTAATGTCAAACGAATCTCTGCGCATATAAAATTATACCGTATAATCCATTTTACTCAATCCGTAACATGGTTGTAACCATATTTCATGGTGTCACCCGCATTTCACCACAGGTGTCATGCAATAAACAACTCGGAAATCACCGAGGGCGATTTTTTGAATATCAACGGTAGCCACGTACCATCGTCGGCCGACATCGTGTTCATCGTCGAGGCCAAGCAGTGCAACGAGAACTTTGCGGAGAAAAAGAACGTGCACACCCTGCTCACGATGATGGTCAAAGAGTTGCACGATGTTGGGATGACGAACAACAAGTGAGTAACCTATATTTGCATCGTAAAGATCAAAGATTAAAACTTGGATGCAACCGCAAACGTTTCGGTTCGACGAAAATCGCGTTTACGTTTGTATTTTATTTCGAGCGAATATGGCACGATGTGATGTCTAACTGGAACCCACATTTTTAGGGCTACATAAAATGTGAAAATAATATAGGTACCTTTTGCGTTATTTTTTCAATTTGATATTTCTCTAAAATTACTTGAGAATAGACATTAGTAATAATCAATAACTGGTAGGAATGATAAATGATACATTAATTTGTTTTGCCTTTTGGTTAAATTGTATACTCTGGTAGGTACCTATATCGTTTGGAACAGAAATAATAAGTTCATATCGGAATTAAATCCAGTGAGTAGTTATTAACTTAATGTACAGGGATAATATGTCCATGGTAATATAGCTACAGGCATAATATGAGCGGGAGCAATCAGAATAGTCGCCTTCCTGACATTTATATTGGGGACAAAGACATCGAGTTTAAGCTCTAATTTTTTTTTATCATTGTCCTTGAATATTATTTTTCTGTGTGCGTTTTATTAAGTAGGTAATTATTAGGTTGAATAAAATCAATGTTACTATAACTGTAAGTCATTGAAATATTTATATCGTGTGGCTGACAGCCGTATGGAATAATTGAAATAATAACTTGAGTTAGTCTAGTTAGGTTGATGTTCATAGTTCCATCATAATTCATAACGTCAATAGTTTCCAAATTATATTTTTCACTTTAAAAGTTTGAAAATAATACGGAGAAAAGTATTAACTTAAATCTGTTAAAAATAAGTACTTACTTGAATTCGTTTGTTTTTAAATTATCACCCAATAGGCACACATTAATGATAATGATTGAGTAACATTAAACGTTTTAAGTAACTTACCATTTTGTATTAACTCATCTCTCGGTTCCTCTATATTTCACTTTGTAACAGTTTAGATGATGATAACTTTGTGTCTATATAATTATTGAATCAACCATAAATTAAAAGTTTATGTGTTTATCTTTATTTAATATCATTGTCCACAGCGTGATTAAATAAAAAAAATTATTAACTTTTAATTTTAATTACATTACCACAATATAGTTTTGTGTTAACATGTTTTAATTTAATGCACAACCATCCATTATTTTTTCAAGTTAACTGAAATTACTATGCATTATTAATCAAGTTAGGTTACTAAGTTAACTAATTAGAGAATTAACAAAATAGTTAAGTTAAAAGCTTAAAACGATTTACAGTATTTTTAAAATTATATGTAGCATTGATTGTATAATAATATTACAATACCATTATTGTAATATTAGTCATATTATAAAAATGATGGTTGAACAATGAACATATTATGGAAAAAGGTAAAATTTATTTTTATTTTTCATCTATAAAAAAAACAAATTTACCAAGTTATGGCACTGATGAGAGAAAATTATTATTGATTGGAAAATTATAATAATTAATAATTTTATCATATTTTCATAGTACTTGATTTAAAACCATTATTAAGGATTATTATCCTTAGTGCATACATTTCAATATCTCTGAAATTACTAGTTTGAATTTGACTTTATAGATTATAGATGCATACAATTTTCAATTAATCATCTGTTAACAATAATATACAGTTGATGAATGTAGTTATAGTTTGATGAAAAATACGTTGGAATAGCCTTGAGACTTCTTAATGGTATAAACAATTTCAGTAAATATTTGAACATACTATGGTATTGTATTGTGAATAATAAAAGTCCAGAAATCAGAGGTTCAATAAATGCATTACCAAAGAATAAAAGGGGGCGACCCCAAACCTTGCTTCATGGATCAACCTGTAGATAGTGTAACCAGACAGCTGTTACTCAACTTCGAGTTGAGCAATAAACTAATACTACTACACATATAAATAATATGGAAGTGCGTTTATAATAAACTATAATATATAGGTATCTGGAAGGATCGTATAATCGTTGAATAATACGGTGATAATAATATTATCATTGCTTCGTTATTGCGTAACTTGTTGATGACAACCATAAATCGACTCATTAAAAATAATAAAATATTATGTATCAGATGTTTAATGGTTAAAATGTAAACCTACTCAATAGTTTATTAGATGTACCTAACCTATGAACATTATAACATTTTAAACGCATCTTACGACAGAAAGATGAAAAATGAGTTAGATCTCATTCAGTTTGATCGTATAATTTAGATAGATCGTTAGATACATTGTCGTGTGAAGTAATTTTATAGGCTGTACACTTAGTATATTAATGTGTTTATACGTAAATGCGTATTAAATGGAGTAAGTATCGGTTTTTATTATCAAGCCAAGGGTACTCAATTTAATACTGTATACTCACTGATTTTTTTGTAAATATTTTATCATCTTACCTTTCGTAAATATTTATTTTAAATAGGCTATTGTTTCAAAAAACGTGAACCGCGCAGCATAATTGCGTCAAGGTTTAACCCACAGAGCTCATACTAAAATTATGTTGGTTCTCGTGTCGATACATTGTGATAAAGTTTTAACGTTAAAATAAAGAAAATAGTTTTTTTAATATTACATAATATGGAATATACTGGTATAACAATAAACTTGAAAAAATCAACATACAACGATGTATAATTATCTACCTTATATTATACTATTGTATATCTTAATATATACGTTACAGTCAATGTGAAACACTGGAAATGTGCACACTGTCCAGGCCTTTGGGCCTTCCTTGCCTGTTTGAAAACAAATAAATTATTTTATATGTAATATTTCTTATGACATTTTTAAAAAAAAATTATTATTATTAATTAACCCACCGTAACGTAGCAAATCGGGTGTTTATTTTAGTAGCTCTTTAACTATTAGGGAGGGTACGGTTTTAATACACATGTTTGTCCTTAATGGATTTGTCACTTAGAACCCGGGAGGTAACCCATCCTGGAACTAGTGTCACCCGTTGGTGCTGGGCGCTGGCACTCGGATCACGTTTTGTGAATATGATACGAATAGTTTTTTGTTTTAAATGCAAACATATAATCATTATACAATTTATTTGCGATTTCAGATTTTCAGCAGTTTTCTTTGGTGGTGACGGTTTATTCGACGAGCCTCACAGCGTTGTAATAAACGGTCAAGCATTCGCTAGCCCGACCTTATTTTTACAATTCTTAAGCAACATACAAATTGGTAGGTATTTATATAATTAATATCAATTAATATTTTAATTTATATAATATTGTGCGACTAGAAAATAAATATTTGATAAACTCGAGACTAAACCCGCCTCAGTGAATTATAGTTTATAACGGTCGCACGATGTTTTAGATTTAAAATAATAATATTACAAAACGTATATTTTATTATTCAATCGATTTTTTACAGGTAACGGCAATTCAGACGTATTCAACGCCATTCGGTTCGCGTCAAAGTTGCGTTTCAGGACGGCACATTCGATAATATTTTTACTGTTTCCGTGCAGCGACTGCGATCCTTCGAACATGATGGTAACCCGATTCTTATAGCTACATTAATTTATCACAAGTCTCTACAAGTAGAGCACGCTTATAATGCCCCTGCGTTTTACAACAATAAAATGTGTATTATTCTAGTTGGACTATTCCGTTATCAACCATATAATTACGGAGAAAAGTATAAAGTTACACGTTTTAATGGACAAGCCATTCATTCTTGATAAGTCACGAGCGGGGAGCTCGTTATTCGGTTAGTGAGCACAATTTTTTTTATTATTTTGCGATGTCTTACTTATATTATAATGTATTCACATTCACACGGAGTCTCCCCCAATACAGCGGATCATTGTTCAGGAAAATAAGTGTACAACTATTATAATACCAACAACCTACTGTTCAAACGCTCTCCGCGGTGAGCTGTTTAATATCGCGTTTCCATTTATTTATAATTGTGATCGGTCGCACTTATATACAGTATATACTATTATAAAGTACCTACGTGTATGGATAAGTGTAGGTACGCATGGAACTACAGCAGACTAAACAATAAATGTAGGTACCTAGATAAATGTTCAACACACGGAACGAACCGTCTGTTGTTATAAACTGCATAATATTTTTATATATAGGTACCTGCTTATATATACAGGCCTCGACCGTCGCGTCGTGCTGCAAGACGGTGCTCCGTGTCGGACCGTGTATCATATTATTATTATTATTATTATTATTATTATTATTGGTAACTACTAACTGCATTGTATCGCATTATTGGTACACTATACTATATTATATATAATTATATCCAGTGGGTTGTGTGGTGTACAAGTAACTAGTAAGTAGGTACTTCAAGTCTCCTGTGATCGAAAGAAATAGAAAATCTCTCAGCACACATCGTCTATTTGAATTCGGTCATGCCTGTGAGTGGTAGTTACCTTGATTAATTCCTTCTCATTTATTTTTGATTCTTGCTAAATCAATAATTACAACAACTGTATGATTTTTAACCTCGAAAGTCCCTACGTTTCAACGAGTCGTTATGCCTATATTTTCAGATATTGGCTTTGTAGCCAAACAATTTGCATCATATTTTCCTAAATACAGATAATTTATTCAATTATTAAAGTAGGATTTTTCAATAATTAAAAAACTAACGGTGATAAACGTACAATGTCATACAAACAGTATATTTGTACATAGTTGTATCCTCAAGTAAAGTGATGATAGCTTACATTTCCATCTCTTTACTTACCTTTTTTCAAAACAATATATCCCTTTCAGATACAGCAACAGTTTTAATTTTAATTATAATGATATACAAAATGGTCTTGTGGCGTCCAATTAAAGAGTGCTCTAAAGAAATCTAATACAAACGTTCCAATCAATAATAGTTACGTGTTATCACATATGTACTATTTTGTGCCTCAATTCATACTTTTCACTCGGACTTAAAACTTCAAACAGTCTCAGATGTAGCAGAATCTACTTACGAAATCATCCACTCCGCTTTGTAAATTATTAAAACACATTGATCCTTGCCCTTGACTGGCGTAGAGACTCAGCAGCTAGCATAAAAGAAAATGTTTTTAATAAAAACCACGTCAAAAGTTTCAGGTGGTTCCTTCGTGGTAATTCCTTGTAAATAGATTTAAGGATGTGGTTTAAGTAAACGAAATATATTAGAGGCTTACATATCTAGCTATTGTAGACAAATACAACTACAAATGGACTTACAACATGTCTATATCTCTTCCCGCATTTATTTTGAGCTACTTCGACCACCACGACTTAAGTTATCAGTTAATATAAATATTTTAGTAATCGAAAATAAACCACTATAGTGAGTTTGTTTCTATGGATCTCAGGGGTCGTGGACGGTCTAAAACATTTGTGTGCCACAAAAACATACAATATTCAACACCCATATTATATTTATGCTTTCCGCTAACGCTACCCATTCCGTTTTTTCTGCTATTCGTTTGATCGTTTTCGTTCGAACTATATTGTATATTATAAAAGCATATCTGATATTAAGGTACACCAATTACAACATATAAAAAGGTATAAGTGTACAAAATAATATTATTAAACAACCACCGCTGCCACCGCGTGATGAGGTATAAAAAAAATAAGGTAAATAAATAAGTAGCAGAAGTATAAATGAATTTACAGCGCGTTCGACTAGGTAACTATCTACGACACGTGTGGGGGCGTGCATATACGTCGTGGGGCAGTAGTGCGGCGGGCGTTCATCATCGAGGCGGCCCGGCCCGATATCGCGACAATAATCTTATAAATCATAATGTACGATATTGGAATAGTAATATTACAATACGAATTAAAATTACACCACCAAACGATGGTACACGAGTTCGGAATGAATTCTAGGTACGTTTCGGAACAATGATTTATGATACATCTACAGATGCATGACCAGGTGGTTTTCAAACAGCGAGGGGAAGGGATCTAATTTAACATAATTTTGTTTCTATTTTAAATAAAACATTTTTTCCGTCTTAACACAATAAAACACCTAAAGTACGTTGATGACATAAAATATAAAATCCACGAGTCGAAATAGGCAAATAGTTGGTTCATATATTATTATTACGATACTGAAGAAAACGGGTGGTATCGTTTAGCGTAATTTGTGCGTCATCATTAACAGTCAGATTTCAATTCAAAAGCTCTGAAACGGTTCTATAAAGTATATTCCATTGACCTCATATATATGTAGTAGCTCGGCGGTGAGGATAAGCTGATGGTTATCTATATATTTTTAGCGGGAAATCGAGGAAATAAATGCGTGTAATAATAATAGTATATTGGGGTCGTTTTACCCTTTAAATTGGTTTCGTTCGTTCACGCAGAGTTTAGATTAGAACTATTGGCCCACAAGTCTTAATTCTCAACCATACATTTAGATTACATAGATTAAAATATGAACAAAGATGTTCTAATACACAGATATGAAAAATGTAATTTTCCACTCGTTTTTCGAAATTGAAAAAATAACCTTTGTACCTATTTAAAACTATAGTAATATTATATTTTAAATATTTTAAATTTTTTAAATTTTAGTTTCTGACTAATATTTACAATGAGGTGTGTTTTTTTTCTATTTGTCATCAACATTTAGGGTACTTAGTAAAAATGCTCCAATTTTACACAAGCACACAATAACATCGTTTCTGATAAAAATATGAATTTCGTTGGTACTTTTGGCAGGCAAAAATTGAAAACTAAAAGTAGTTTTAGGAAGAGTCAGGAAAAAGAAAAAAAAACGAAAACAATTTTAATTTTTACCCAAAACTAATTTTTGAAAAAATTCGATTTTATTGTTTGTAGGTAATTTAAAAACGAATAACCGTAGATACTTTGAATTTTCACCAAATATTTTTATTATGTTACGTCTGACATCGACATTTTTGACTCTTTTTGAGCTTTTTGAGAATTTTGTAAAATATCACGGATTTGTCGATTCCACCGACCGACCACCATAGACAAAATGTCGATATAATAACATGATCATTATATTGAAAACGAAATTTCATCTGAACGACCTATAAATCATTCAAGTTACTCTAAAAATACGAATTTCATTCACGTTCGCGTTCTATTTGATATAATATAATAGAGTGCGACGATGACGTTCACGTGTCGTTCGAAATATATTAACTTGAACTCGATGCACGAACGTTCTTTCCAAATACTAGATGTGAAATATAACAAAAAGAACTATATCTAAACGATATACTAAGTATTACTGTATTAAATTGTAATATTATCATATAGCGCTTAAGCGGATGTCAGTGAAATATTTGTTTTCTCTCACAAACCCATGCACAACATAGATAAAACGCTTCACCTAAAATCGTTTTTTTTTTTTTTACTTTTTAGTAATTTTAGAGTAAAATTACCTATTACAAAAATTATAGAGAATAATATTTTTGAGGGTATAACATATCGGTTTTATATTTTATTGTTATTTGACTTTGTGTTCGACTTTCAAAATAAAAATAAGAATTTGAAAAATTAAATGATGTTTAAATTGTTTTGAGACAATATTTAGACAAGTCGATGTGTCATACCCTCAAAAATATTATTCTGTATCATTCTTTAATAAATGATTTTATTTTAAGATTATTTAAATTTTTAGATCATTTAAAAAAAACTATTCAGCGTGAAACGGTTTAGTCTATGTTGCGGAGGAGGAGAAAGCAAACAGTGCGCTGATATCCTCTTAATAGTGATTTTCGATCGGCTCTATTGCCGTTTGCAGCAAGCTCAAAGGTCGAAGACGTGCAGTCGAGCGTCGCTTATACCCACAATAATAAAAATAAAATCTACGATCATAATATAGGTAGGTACCTATCGCTGCACCGGCACGGGCGAATCGCAAGTGATATCATAACGGCACAGCACAATAATATGATATAATACATCGTCGGTATCTCGTCCGCTAACAGTGAAATCCCGTATATATCTCGTGGATACGATCGTGGCGACAATAATAATAATAATAATAATAATAATAATACTATATAAATTGTGTTATTGTGTGTGCCCACCGTAATACTGCAAACGACCGCGTTTGGTTTTTGCGCAAACGCGTGCAGATCGTCTCGTACTGTAACCGCACGCAAATTGTGAAACGTACATACGACGTGTCGTGTATTATAAATTATAATAATAATGCGTATGGTATACTGCACTCGTAGGCGTTCCAGTAAAAAAGTACAAAGTCATACTATTTCCGAATTTTCGCAGAGAGAAAAAACTGAGTACCAATTTTGGTTTCTACCAGGTTTTCTTAACCTTTTCTGCATGTTGGACCTCTAAATACGAAATCCAAAATAAAATACTTTTGATTTTGAACCTTACCTATTTAATATTTAAACATGTTAATTTAAATAAGTATTTTTATAATGAGTACTGACTAATGAGTATGATAGTCTTAACTCATAAGAATTACGTGTGCATATTGTATAGTGTAATACAATTTTTTTATGAAATCAAACAACAACGCCCTGCAAATATTATTGTAAGATGTTCACAAGGTACCACCTAGACCTTTGAGGTCCAGTTACCTGCACTGGTTAAGAACCTTACCTAACGGAGGAGGGGGGGGTTAAACTGTAACTCCTTCTTATTCAATCGTATTGTCTTCCAAAATTATGCCTGCAGATGCCAGATTGTCTCATGCGTGTACTCCAAACGAACATACGTACGTGTCGTGTATTAAAAATTATAATAATAAGTACATACCACATATGGTATAAGTACGGTATACTTCACTCATAGGAGTTCCGGGAAAAGATACGAATTCGCTGTTTCCGAATTCTCAGGGAGAGCAAAAACAATGCTTCTTTTGGTCCAAATCGTTAGTCACTATCTGTTCTCCACTCTAGTCTTCCAAAATAATTATGCTGGGCCGCACTCTGAAAACTTTTAGATTTAAATCTTCATAATAACTTGGGTTATAGTTTTCACCGAGGGATATAAATGCGACTACGATTAGAGTGTTTACGACATTTTAATAGGCACCTATTATACTACCCTGCACTCATTTATATTATATTATAATACCTTGGGTCACTTCGCTGACCACTGGCTCTGAACAGTATGTTTTACCGTCTCCGCCCCGAACAGGAGCCAAACACCAGTAAAAATAATAAATAATATATAAACGAAATATATAAATAATTGTATAATATTATACACTATGTGCTGTACCTCCACGGTGTATGGGAACAGTTGAGTAATACAAGCCGTTTTCAAGAGTGCAAAGACCTCGCGCGCCTTCATAGACGGATATTATGGTACAATATAATATTATTATATCGCAGTGAATGTACTGCATTTAGTATCACTTCAGCGCGGACTGTAGGTAGGCAGGTATATATATTGCGAATAAATAATATTAACCAAGAGTGTATTACAGTCGGTCATGATGGTGTAACGTCACGTAGGTATTATACTTGTATACACACTATATCTGTTAAATAATAATCGCTCGTTGTCTTTGTGCTGCGCGATATCATTATATACGTACGCATTTTCAGACAACGGGTCGAAGAGAAAAAAAAAACTGTATATTATTGCTGCGGCGGCGCTCGTGCGGTTTCGTCGATATAACACTTATTATATCACACGGTGGCCTGCGAATGTGTACCTACCTATATACGCGTTGTACGGTACAAAATAAAATAGATATGAAAAAAATACACACGCCCAATAACCCAATATAACATTCATCGACCGAGACACAGTGACAATACGTACTGCAGGCCACATAATGCATACATCATAATATTTAATTTAGCCTAATACATATACCTACATAACAATATTATAATATGTACGAATAAGCACATAGACCGGCGCATTGCAGGAACATATTTTGTTGCTCAATTAGCCGGTACCTATACCTACTCCAATTATTTAAACAATTTCGGTACCAAAACAAGGGTTTGTCCGACGTATTGGTTGTGAGGTATTATACATAATAATATATAGGTACTATTATTATGATGATACTCTTAAGGAAAACGAATTTTTTACTTTTCGTGTGCCAATTCCTGTGTTATTGATTTTATTAAATTTTCAAAAAAACGAGAAAGTCCAGTTCAATAAGTATGTAATTAGGTAATAATAATCAATTGATGTTTGTTGGTTGAATAACAGGAAGTGACAGTAATATATATTATATACAATTATACAAATTTAAACCAGTAAATATAATTGTATATTATATTTTCTGCCAAAAAAGTATTAATGGCCTTATTGATGCTACTTTACTTTAGATATTACATTAATTCCTATGCTCATAGAAATTAACTCAAGCGTAATTTCTAATGTTTATTCCATTATGTAAGAGTCTGCAATGATTCGAGAACGACGATTCACTTATTAAAATCACTATTCACTAAATAATATTGATTGAACAAATAAAATAAAAAAAAGCTTGCAATTTAAATAACTATAAAAATGAGGCATTCTCAATAGTATAACACATGATTTTAATAAGTGAATAATTTTCTATGAACGTGGCAGAATGTCTCAAAGGCCATTAATACATTTTTCCAGAAAAATGAAAATAATATAGATTTCAGGCTGAGTTTTTCCATTGCATTAATAAGGTTCAAGTAGGTGGTGGAGAACAGGTGATACGTAGTCCGGTGGATATAATATTATAATATTAAAATGTGCGATGTGTAGGTGTACACGACTATGTAAATTTAAAAAAATATAAATATACACAAAATATACTCGTATTGTGCTTGTAGATTAATACACGATATAATATATTATAATAACAGTGTTTTGCCATCGGTGTGTGTGTGTTTTAGGCGTCGATGCCGAAACGGCGTACACGAGAAACGACTTCAAGGCGCTCAAGGGAGATACGGGTCTCAGAAAACAGGTGAAGTTGACGAAGAACATGCTGGGATACTGCACGCCGATCGTTTTGGAGTCGAACGGTTTGTCTCGATTGAACTACTGATAGTTTTATGCGCGAAGTCATTTTTATAGAAACGAACGTCCCGCGAAGAATTTACCGTTTTAAAGTGGTCTCGCTGACAATAATGATACGAGTTGCGGCGTGTCTATTGTCACACTACAACACTTTAAATAAGTAAATCCTCTCGAGGTACAACTACACTATATGTATTTTATACGTCATATATTCATATGCGATCAATGTCTTTAAAATATACAGTGTTCAGTTTCGCCGTGTTTATCCTGCTTGTGCGTATAGGTACACACTATATTATAGTGCAATTTTATATTATATAAGTCACGATCTACCTGATTTTCGCCTAAACATCAAAACTTATCCAACCATTTGAATACTTAATAGAAATTAGTCATTTCTTATATTTCCATAAATCATCAATCGATAAATCAACTATTCACGTGTCTCCGAGCAGCACGAATACATGTCATATTGAAATTTTGCTTATTCATTAAGTTTAAAGCACAAACCGTAGGCTACTATGAACTATTATAATAATTGTAACCCTAACACAGTAAAAATGTTCAAAAATATAAATGAGGAAAAAAATATTATTGACGGCCACAAACAGTAGGTACGGCGCGCAGGCACTACATATGAAATGTGGTGTAGGTATACAGAGTGATTCAACAAGCATGGCCGCCCACTTTTTCCTTCAATAATGCAGCTATTCAAAATCTGAGCATCGGAATTTTAAAATTTTTCTCAAGTTTATATTTTCCAATTCTTAAGATTTTTCGTACTGCATAAAGAGTCATTTAGAAATACATAATTAATAATAATAATAATAATAGGTTTATTTAAGAATTATGGGTTTGGGAGATTGAGAGTAAGATGATTTAAAAATATTAACCTATCGACATTTTTAATTTGTTAAAATGATCTGTATACTATCATACTTAAAACTTGAGAGTATAATAAATATTAGGTCCAATATTACATTTATATTTTATATTTATGTGAAACCACTTTTATCACTTTTATCACTATTATTTTTAATACAAACATTTCGATAACTGAGAAATTGCTGATTCAAATTTTTTATTTGGTGCCTACCTCTAAATGTTCTAAAAAAACATATTCTAAATAATTTACAATAGTTTACAAAATAGAAGTTAGTATTGCTATATGACTGCATAATAATAGGTACAAAAAAAAATTGAAAAAAGAGTTTAAAATATAGTCTTTGGGTAGCATGTACATTTGAAAAATAACGAAAATCAGAACTTTAATAATTTGTTACTAAAAGAAAATAAGGGGGTGAGCATGCTTGGTGTATAATATGATATATATATATGATATACATCTCATACCTGTATAACGCATTCGCATCAAATTCGATTGGGTTGAGCGAATTGATAATGTTTGTTTCGTATTTCACACTATAATATTATTATTATCTGACACAGGTTCGTTGTTCACGTCGAAAAAAATGGATACCGACAACTTGAACCTGGTGAAAAAGTTTTTGCAAGTTTTTGCTAAAAGGATCGCTAAGACGGCGCCGGCGCCGAAATGCCAGACGTGCGAATGCAATTCGGACGATAATGGAATCAGCCACATGGACTGTTATCCTTGTTCGTACCCTACGGCCGCTAACATCGAATACGTAAGCAATGAATAAAACACAGTAAACACTCACACACAGACATTATTATATACGCGCACGTATAGTGCAGTAGTTCTCGTGTGTATACATTTATTAACTATGCACAATAATAATAATAATGTAGGCAGGTATGGGTTGTAAGTAACATCGGTATTGTTTATAATAATAATAATATCATTGGTATTGTAATATTGTAACGAACCGAACGAATCCTTGATTTCTGTAAAACAGTTATGACATATTATTATAAAAAACGCATTGTTTAAGTACCTGTATAATATAGGTAAACGATAACAATATTCAGTTGTCGTTCTGGAACTCGTCGAGAGCCGCCATATATACGGTCGCGGTGCACGCGGTTTGCCCGGGCCGGTGGTGGAAAACAATAACGACAAAATATTATGTCCATTGTGGTTTATACCGCTGCAGAGGTTCCTTAACGTATTTTAAGTCCCAGAATCCCAGTGTACACGCCGACATTTTTTACGGATGAAAAATTTGCCCGTAGGCCCGTGGTAGGTACATATTATTATGGGACTACTGCAGAATATATTATAATCATTTATTTTCAATATTTAAAAATATTGCTGAAAGAACAGCTCATGGGAGATCTTATAATGCCCAAGGTAATTCCAAGCAATACTATCAAGATTGTTATGCATTTTTAACATAATTTACATATTTTCACGATATTGACTAATTTTGTCTCATATTTTAAATTACGTAATTACCAACGTCGTCGTTACAGAAGTCTGTTCGCGGAAAATTGTCTGATTGCGTAAGCACCCCGACCCTGTGTGGGTTTTCAAAAACACCCTTGTCAGCAAACAAATTGAGAATTCAAAAATTAAACTATATTATATTACGAATGGTTACGATTCCTAGAATAAACCTATGAGGAAGAAATACCAATAAAGTAAAAACGAATTGCTTGTATACTGTACAGAGTGATTCATTATGGATGCTCACTACCATCGTTCCCTCTAACAATTAATTTATTCTAATTCTATTTTTTTTTTTTGGACTTTAACTTTTTAAGCTATACATTTTTAATGAGTGACGGAAAGACCAAAATACATTTTTCAATTTTTGTAATTGAAGCAAATTACATCTTTTATTTTTGTTCTTTAGTTTTTTGCCCTAAAATACATATGCCCCAAAATAATAAATCTGCTTTATAATTTACGTAAATTCATTATTAAGAACTTTAATCCTTCTTTCTTAGTAAGTACTAATAGAACCTGCATAAAGTTATAATAACACAACAATTAGCAGTTTGATTTTTCCTTAGTGTCGTCAAAGTTTTCAAAAAATGTATCCAATAAATATATTGGTTCTGTTAATTAAAAAAAAATAAATTTGAATCACCACAGGGTACCTACTCTTTAAATGGTATAAAAATTTTATCATTTGATAATATTATAGTCTTAAGTATAGGTACTTCAAAATGCCAAAAAATAGAGTTTGAATTAATTTATTATTATAGTGGATAAATTGAGACGATATTTGATGAATATCACTGCAATATTACTATACTACATAGTATTAGTTTGTACACTGTAAGAGGTAATTTTAAGTTGTACATATGTTAGTGTCTAGTGAAGACTCGAAAACCATACCCGTTTATATTTTAATAGCTAAGAATTATGTATGACATATCAAGTTAGGGAAATCCCTATATGTATTCAACTGGATTCCCCACTAGTTCTTATGGTAGTATCATGTGTATTATTCGTATTAAAATATGTGCAATATTATGATGACTAGGGATCCGGAGTTGATGATCTAAAAAAATATTAATTAATTAATAACACAAAATTAAAATCCAGCACAAATTTATTTTTTCTTGAAGCAGAATACTTTTATACTTTATCGATTTATAAAAATTGAGTTTAAACCTTGTAGTTTATTAGTTATAAGTAGGCAGAGAAGATGTTTATGGTTTATAATGTTTTTTTAGATTGCCTTGTTGCATGACGTATTCTTGGATAGAAATTTGCTTCGTGATATCTAGATTCAAATAACAATATTTAATTTTTCATATAAGTGCAACTGTAATTGCAATAAATAATTAAAGGTATATGTTTTTATATACCTTATTTAATTGCAATTGTGTGATTAAAATATAAAAAATATAAAATTTTTTTTAATTTTGCAGTGCATACATATTTATATTTATTTCATTTTCGGAAAAAATATTTGGCATATGAATAGCGAATTAAAAATATATTTTGTCATTTATTGAGTAAAATATATAAACAATATTATAATGATAAATCCTGTATAGTGAATAAAGTGACTAAATACTATAATAGTTCACGTAACTTCTGCGTCTGGGTCTGCATACAATTATCTACATGAACAAATAATGCTTAGACATTTTCATATTTTGTTTTTTTTTTCGTTGAATTTCCCCTCCTCCCTATCATGTGAATTTCACAGACTAAATAAAACTTAAAAAAATCGAGAATCTAATCAAATGCATGATCTAATAAAAAATACATGTACTTGTATTATATTAATATGCTCTATCAATGTATAATAATAATTCCCCTCCGCATCGCGAACGAAACACGTGCAGTCGCCGCCGCCGCTGTCGTGCCTGAGCCAAAAGAGTGTGATCTAGTATACAAGGTGAACTGTTACTTAAATACTAACTTAATTATTTCGAAGCTTTGAAATTTTCAAAATTATTGTTCTTTTGCATGATTTGATGTCACAAAATTTTTGAAAAAACTTATATTTTTTCAATTATTCATCAACGATGTTACTATTTTTTTTTTTTTTTTTTGAATGACGTTCTTACATTTTACATTTTATATTTTATCTGACACAAAATAATTTTTCAAGTATTTCAATACATACAATCAGAATTTCCTGACGAGTATTTAATTTGTTATTTTAGTATTTAAAGTTTAGATGAGGGGATTACAGTAGCATAGTTCAGGCTTCCGTTGGTGGTACGTATCCCGGAAAAAGTTGGTCCACTACTCTCAACTATAGGTACTCTGCTCATATAAACTTTAAATACTTATTATGTCAACTACTCATCCGAAATTTTAAATAGTTTTTTATATCAAAGTAAGAAGTACTCAGTAAAATATTTTTCTTTGGAATTTTAAATCAAAAAAGGAACATTGCCATTCAGAGAAGGTAATTTTTTTGTCATAACTGTTGTCTTGCAATGACATCTTAAAAAATAATATACTTAAAAATAAAAAAATAAAAACTTTTTGAAACCGTGAACGTACCTATACGTTTATTGAACGGACTACACCGTATATATTATTATGATATCGACAAGAACAAACCTGCGGCCGACTCGTAAAATAAGGTATACGTCCGCTACCTGACTATACTCGAGTATAGTGTGGCTGCTATGATATTAAATTATGTTCAAGGCGAGTACTACCTATATAATAATAATAATAATAATAATAATAATATAACGATATAATGTTACAGTAACAGATTTCCTGCCTTCCTGGTGGTACCTGTACACAATATTATTATATTATATTCTCAGCTGCAGGTCTCTCGCTCGTCCGGGAAGTTTTTTTTCGACGCGCGATCACCGCACGCACACACACGCTCGACCGGTTGCATAACAATTTATTTATTTATTTATTTATTATTACTATTACTATATCGTAGTAGAAGTATTATTATTATTACTATTATTGTATTATGTTATAGCTGCACTGATGAGTGTGCGTATTGGTTTGTTTGCGTGAGTGTGTGCGTATAAAATTAAAATCGTCATCACACGACATAGACCACGAAACAACAATGTTATGATAGCCATTGTTTTAACAACGCGATAATAATATTATAATAGTATTGAGTTACACGAATATTATGTATTACACGCATTGCATTATTATACTGTCGACGAGTACGTTTAGACCGAGACCAAGGAGAACAAAGAGGGGTAGTACCATGGTAATGTTCCACGGGAACGGGGTGCTGAATCTATACGGTGTTTGTTCATTAATAATAATTATAGTCAATGATTATATTCCAGCAGTTTTTGACACATCCTGGTTATTTTCGAATTTTTTCCACTAAGTGTGGAGTCATCTCGGCGATCTACTATCACGGTTAGAAATAAAATATTGTTTACAAAATTATAAATACTGTCATCGAAATAACTATACTTATTTCAAATGGTTACGAAAATCGCAATTAATACGGAACGTTTTAATGCCACTTTTAGGTTATTCGCAGCGATACAGTTTGACTACCTGGAAAAATGAATGTGAATAAAATAAACTAGAATATATGACAGTAATTAAAATATCAAAACAATGATTAGCTATCGTGTAAACATTCTAAAATATCTAACTGATTGAAAGTATAATGTGTACAGAAATATACATTTTTATAAGAATGAATTCAAATTCGACAAGTTATTTTTGGCTACGCACAAGACAACATAATATGACATATAAATAATATAATATCAACAAAACAAACATAATCGCAGTTTTTTCAAATGACACTTCTTAGTTGTATGACTGACTTTAAATTGAATCTAACTATTTAGGGTAGTAAAAGATGATTTTATAAAATATCTTATAAAAAAAGTGGACATTGGAGGTCAGTTTTAATAATGGATTGAAAATAAACAAAAATCATTGATTTTATAATATACCGATAAGCCATTCTATTGTTTACATTGGAGGCGGAAAATTGTATTCAACCACTTTCTTTATTAATAATAGAATGGCTTATATGTATATTATAATCAATGCCATAACCTAATTTTGTTAAAACTAAATCGTTCATTTTTAATGAAAAAGAGTGTAACTATATATTTTAAGATTACACAGAGAAGAGGAGTGGTCAAGAATAAACAATTTACAGTAGTTTTCAAAAGAGCAGTGAAATACAATAAAACATTTTTTTACAAATCCAATTTTTACAGAATCGATTTGTTTTTTTTTATCGTTACCCAAAATCTAATCACCGTAGCCAATAGGTACTTAAAATTTGCTCTTAATGTTTATTTGATCAAGTTTTAAATTTGAGGTGTATAATATTATAGTCTTAAGAAAAATTTTAGTTTTCTATTTTTTTCTTTTAATGTAGTTACATCATTCATCATTAGGTAACAAAGTTTGAAAATTTAGTACAAGATTTCTTGTAATATATTATGGTATGATTTAAAACAAATTAATACATTATATTTGGTACTATTTGTTTATACAAGCATTCAATATGATCTCAGCTCAATATTTGTTTCCTCTCTCAGACCCACACAGATAAAATGCTTTCACCTAAAATCGTTTTTCACGATTTTTGAGTTCTCTTAAGTAAAACCACCTATTACAATATCTTCAAGAGTTTTGCTAATCACATTAGTAGCTCGATGTACTTGGTTGATAAATATATACTGATATTTTGATTTAAAATTCACTTACTTGTATGTCCATATTTTGCTATTATTTTTATTTCCATACATTGTGCAATTCGAGTTTAATTTTCAGTTTAATTGTGACTCACTTAAAATATGTTGGCTTATAAAAATTTACCATCCGCCTGAGAGGCTGTGGTTTGCATTGCAAAACACTGATGAAATAAAATAATTAAAGCAGCACCAATTCGTGAACTTGACCGCGAAACATAAGTGTTGCTTGTTAAGTGTTCAAAAAGCTTAAAAGCAAATGAAAATTTCCTAAATTAATGTTATCATTTATGTGTAATTCTGTATAACAGTTTAAATGTCTATGCTTATTATTTCTTTTTAAATTATTGTTAAACGGTTATCATTTGTAAATGTGCAAGTTAACTCAATTAATAGTCATAAACATGTTTTTAATTCACCACAAATATAACATTATCTATTATAAGTTCAAACCAATAGTAAGACAGGTAAACTTTAAGTTCGAAAGACCATTGATTGTAAAAAATCAGAAAAATAAAAATTGGCTCGTAATTTATCCTCTGGTATGATGGATTTCAATGTAATTATGTGGTGAGAATATTGTTTAAGTCCTAAATTCACAATGTTCATAATATTTTAAAAGAAAGATTGAAAACCATAAGTTTTTATTTAGCTCATATTAAAAACTATACAAAATGTTGTATTTATTTACACGTGAAAAATTAGCGATTTAGAATTTAGAAACAATTACGTGACAACAAAAACACTTCAATAGTGCTACAATCATAAAAAAAAATGATTTATTCTATTTTAATCTAGACTATCGGCTATCAAAGATCTAAATTCCAATGACTGTGCGTCCGCATATGTACTTTCAAATTACCACTTCGGCTGAAAGACTTTTTGCATACATTGCACTCGAACAGTTTCTCACCAGTGTGCGCCCGTCGATGAATCTTCAAATTCCAACTTTGACCAAACGACATGTCACACACGTCGCACGCATACGGTTTCTCGCCCGTGTGTGTCCGATGGTGTTTCGTCAAATCTGCCCTGTGGCCGAACGACATGTCGCATACATCGCATGCGTACGGTTTTTCACCCGTGTGGGTCCGTCGATGAACCGTCAAATTGCTACTCTGGCGGAACGACATGTCGCATACATCGCACGCGTACGGTTTCTGGCCTGTATGCATCCGTCGGTGCTTAGTCAAATCACCACAGTGAGAAAACGACTTGTCGCACATATCGCACGCGTACGGTTTCTCACCGGTGTGTGTGCGTCGATGGACCGTCAATGTGCCGCTTTGAGCAAACGATTTGTCGCATACATCGCACTCGTAAGGTTTATCGCCACTGAGCTTTCGTCGAATCGTCAAACGGCCTTTTTCATTGAACGACTTTTCGCATACGTCACACTCGTACGGTTTCTCATCAGTGTGCGTGCATTGATGAACTGCCAAATGCTCTTTTTGATTGGACGATTTATCGCACGCATCACACGGGTAGGGTTTCTTCTCTGTGCGTATCCGCTTATGTGTGGTCAGACTATAAATAAAGAATTTATCTGAGACGTCACACGAGTACTGTATTTTACCTGGACAACCAGTTTGATCATTCATTTTTGAGTTTTTAAGTGCAAATCACTAAAACGTTTCTGTCTTAATGAGTATTTTAATGGATTATTTTAAATTAAAGACTTATGATTTTAATACAAAATATATAAAACAAAAAACTTTACAAACAATTATTCAGTTACTATGTAATCGATTAGAATTTATAGACTTTACAAACATTTTAAGCCAGTTGTTACTGTATTAAAGTAATAATATTATAGAATCCACTTATATTTTAATAATCTATAATCTTCATGACTTTTAAGATTTAATTTATTATAGTTATATTATTAGATATTCATTTTTAAATTTTCTATAGCTTACGCTTGAAATTTTAAAAAAAGGTTTCTTGTAAATATTTCGTACATAAACCGTAAAATTTAAAAAGTCAATAAACGTAGAATACAATTATTGTATAGATATTTTTAGTTCAAATTTTGACTATATAAGACATTTAAACAAAAAGACTAAATATTTTAGTTATTTCGTTGGAATCTAAAAATTGTATTCGTGGATACTTGAAACTTAAGTACTTACCCATACTAAATAAACTAGATTGTAGACTAAACTATAATAGGCTTAAACTAAAGTATATCATTATCTTTTACACACACTGTGATATTATTCAATTGAATACTTTTTATCAAAATAAATTCAACCTACTGTATTATTAATATTTGGTAAAATAAACTACTTTAAAATCAATAACATCATAAAATATACTTAGTTGTATAGTCGGACCCACCGCCTTCTCCCAGAATAGTTTTCCGTATACAATGGTTGATGTATCATTGAATTCTAATTTAACTTATTTATTACTGCGACCCACATGACATGCTTATGTACAACAGAGACGTACCCACTGGCCCACCTTTTTTGTTACTTTTCGATAAATATCAATAAAAAAATATGTTTACTGGGTCAGACAGAAGTTTAAAATATTCAATATTATTAAATCGTCGATATTTTTTTCATAAGCATTTGAATTTTAAATGTTGACAATGTTTATCGAATTGAAAATTTGCAAATTATTTTTTAGCTAAAAGTTTATAAAATGTTCAATTTATATATCCATGAAGTATGGATTGAGAATTCAAAAGAATTTCCCCTAAATATTTTATAGTTCATTATAGTGTAACTATAATATCTTAATAAACATAAATTAGGTATATCATTATATTTTGTACACAAAATAAAGATTGATAAATGTGAACAAACTTGTCGGAAGTCTTCTATTAAAATGTTTTATATTAGCTAAACAAAATAATTTTTTATTCATTTCTAATTAAAATATTATTTGCTTTTGTTTGGTATTTGGACGAATTTCAATAACATTTTAACTTTAAATACATGTACAAATAATGGTGCCTCTGAATCTTTAATATTTTATATTAATATTTATAGACAATAATAAATTAAAAAATGATGAATCATGGTTATAAAAAGCTAAAAGATAGTTAACAGTTATCAAAAAAATGTTACCATTTATAAAAAATGATATAATATAAATATTTAGTGAATCTTTTAAGTATCTTCAAATTTTATTTTTGAGTTATACACTAAAAAATTGAAATAGATTTTTTCAAAAATTGTTTTTGAGTGAAAATCACTATTTTTTCTTTTTTATCCTGCCACTTTTGAAAAATATGGAAATCTTCAACTTTTACCTCCCAAATGCACCAATTACACTAACTTTTCCATCAGAAAATCAAAGTATCTTCACTACCCAAACGTTGATGCCAGGAAAAAAAAACACTCATCATTGTAAATTCAATACATTTATCGCTAGGTACTTGAAGAATATGAAAGTCAACAGTATAATATAAATATATAGTTCAGGTTTTAATAGTAATGTGTAGACTATTGTTTATTCATAATTTTTGCACTGGTTTCTCTTGAGACCGAGTCCTAGAGTACATCATATACACTGCCACGAGGTTGAATAAAAGTACACATCAAATGTTGTACGGGGAAACTAAATTAATTGACTATAGGTACTATATTATTTATTGAAAAGTCACAGAGAGTAAGTTTTTCGACTTCTAATAATTAACTATTTCACTTTTTTCTGAAAAGTTTTAATACCAGTCTTTAAATGATACAATAGAATCAAAGTTTTCCCTGTTCCAGCATTTGGGGATGGGTTTTATTTAAGAACAAATAATTTACACCTGTTGCAATATTTTAATAAATTTGTCTGTTTTTTTTTTACAGGGTTTCAATGACGATTTTATTCCACCAAATGTTTTATCTTACGATTCCGGCAACGGATTCTACTACGATGATCACATTAATTAACCACTAGCACTCTGTATGAAATTGAGTAATTTATATTATGTATACATCATGCGGAATGCATTACTCTCTAAATATTCCAGAGTTTTTATTTTCTTATAATTATTACCTATATTATATTATTATACATTAGATTGTATGTTTCGCACTATTTTTTTTTGTCGTTTCGCATTTCATTCGTTAATAAATTATTGATTGCTATACTTTATTGTTATATTTACGTAGATATTATTTTTAGTTATCTCACAAAATCACGTTGTTGGTATATTATGATAATATATTTGCGTACGATATACAAAGTATAGCAGAATAACCTGACAAGTGAAAATTTTGATCTAATCAATATTTCGACATTTATTTTTATTTATAGTTTGCGGACGCTTGCACAGTACAGTATATATTTTAGATTCTAAGCTGAGCGAAAAAATGTATTTATAAGAGTATCTTACATTGAAGTGTATTTTTTTGTTTGTCTGTTATCACCTTTTGGGTTAGTAAAAATTCTTCGATGTACGAAATTGAATCGAGACGGTACTTTGGTACCTAAAGTAAGTAATTCTTAACAATTATCAAATACGCTGGTTGGGTAAAAGGGGAATGAAAAGTTTTTACTCAAATAACTTGAAAATGTACTACAAGGTTATTAAGTATCGTAAGTTATTGCTCATGGAAATAATAAATGATGTTAAATTAGATTTAATTATCGAGGAAATACACAAATTTGTAATTTCTTAACCATCAGGTACATGTAAAATATACTTAGGAAATGGGTAAATTATAAAAATAGTATCGTTCTCTAAATGCTGTCGGAGAGTGTACGATGAAAGATAAGTAGTAATTGTTTGACATTTTCAAACTTACACAATCACCAACTACTATACAGTGTCGTCCAAAGTATGTCTGCAATCTATGACACATCAATAATCAATATAGTTTATATTAAACTCTGTTTATTCAATAGTAAAACAAAAGAAAATTCTTATGTAATGGCAAACATATTCTTATAAATCACTGTTGAAAAAAAAACATATTTTTACATATTGATTTGTCACTGTTGTAGTTCAAAATTAGCTAGATAAATTAAATTTTCACTGAATGCTCATATTTACATTTTCTATAGACCATTAGAACACACAATTTTCAAATATTTTGGCTCATGTTAAGCTATTTATAGCCAGGTTAAGTTTTCGATTATTATTAGTTTTTTTTAAACTAATGTCGATGAAAAAATTTTATTTAAAAATAAAAATAATATTTTAAATATTGTTACCTTTTTTTTCATACTTGGTTCATAATAATAATTACAGAATTTAAACTTAAACTTAATAATATGATATATTCGCACAACTGTCACACAAATTCAGTTAGTTATTAATTTTTAATTATTTTTTAGGGATCAAGAAATTAATTAAAATGTTAAATTTATACTCCATATTGGATATTATATTATAATTGAATAACTATACTTTTTTAAAAACAATTTTTAATGTTTCTTGAAAAAATATTAAAAATGGAGTTATCATGACCTTTTAATTGCACACCAATGACTGATCCAGAACAATAATGTACATGTTTTATTGTGATTTAAAAATGTTTATAGCAGTTTATTTACATGTATTTGGTTTCGTTGAAATGTTGACGATATATAGGGCAATTCTTCCGACCCTTTCAAACCTTTTTTTATGTAAATTCCATTGGCTTATTTTTACTCGAAATAAAAACATTATATATGTAATAGGTACATAATATGATATGTACAGATTTATCATATATATATATATATTACTTATTTACATATATCTAATTTTGCAGTAGTTTAAAAAAAATATAATAATCAAAAATGATCTCTAGTTGGAAAAAAAATTAAATTAATAAAAAAATATATATTATTATCAATAATGATCACTAGCTATTCATATGTTAATTCTTGAGCTACACTTTAGGTAGTTGTAATCTGTGGATTTTACCATTTTGAAAATTCGCATATTTTTTAGGTCGATATGTTAAAATAGTATAGTTAAAAAGTGTTAAGTTAAAAAAATAACCTGATGAATACATGTTATTAATTCAACCCTAAAAACGACTTCCTATAAATAGGTACAATATACAATCGCTCTTTGAATCGATTTGTATTTTTTTTATAATTTATATATATATATATATATTTTTAATAATAATACCCTCGGCAACATGGGCCATTGAACTTACAGTGCAAAAATTAGAAATTACATAAATTGTATATATGTATATAAGTTACATTACATTTTGGAAATAAGATTGGTGCTGTGATGAATTGCATGATGTTGGTAATGGATTGAGGGTGATTGCATAGAGTTTCTGATAGTGATTCGGGTAGGTTGTGGCTTGTTCGGGTACTGTCGTAGGTTCGGCATTCAGAATTTATATTTTATGGATGTAGATAATATAATAATATTATTTTCAAAATATTTTGAACCATACTTATATGTCTTGATATATTTATTGTTCAGTAAACCTCATTAGTGATCGTTTAATATTTATGACAATTATTGTGGATCGATAATAATTACAGGGCCATGAAACGTTTCAGATAAAGGTGGGATTTATATTTGAATCGTCAACGGTTACACATTCGATAACTATACTTATCGATAAGTTCACGCAGATAGAGCGGAGAGCCGTATAAATGTTTTAATAATAATCCAATCTATATCAAACGGATGCAATTTTTTCAATTATTTAACCGCCTTTAAGTCTTGAAATTGAAACGGAGAAAATCGTTTGAAAAAATGAAAACTGCTAAGGATCAACTGCAACCACCCACGGTTATAAAATTCTTATTATTACCACTAAACCTAGAGGGTTTTGGGTATAACAATAAATAATAATCGTACTTAACCGAAAACATTTTTCCGTGTTCAGCAAATGTCTAATAGTAAACTATAAAATACTTTTATACAAGTACCTACCTACCTATTTACTTCTGCGGTTACAATATAATTTATTATTTAGATGCATTCTATTCACAGCCAACACACTTCTAAACATATCTTCTTTCAGTTAAAATTGGAGTGGTGGCATGAGTGGTGGCTGGGCTCTGTGGCTCGCTGGAAATAATGGGGTCTTAATTATTTGTAGACAAAGCATTTGTACACATCGTGCAATTTTATTTCGATGGCCGAAGTGTCTTATTCTGTATTATTTAAATGCATTTTCAAAATATAATCGCTATGATATTTTGTTTTATAATAAACACAAAATGTCAAGTTAAAATTATATGTTTTTTTATTAAATTAAACAAAAAATTATTATTTTCCTTTTTATAGGTACTCATAAGTATAGAATATATTATTTTTCAAAAGTTTTATACCAAATAAAAAAAGAAGGTGATCAGGGTGACGATTCACTTTGGCTGTTATGCCATTTTTTTTTTCAAATTATTAAATAAAAAACAATAATTTTATGTTTTGGGAAACATTGGTATTATAAGAATACCAAAATAACTATTTCAATGTAATTGATATAAAATGGTTGTTTTAGGAATTATCCAACTTGTGGAATCATCCATTTTTATAATCTGGATGTGATTATACGATTGGCGGATTTTTGAACAAAAGTATATAAAATTATATATATTATTATATATTTGTTATATATATATAACAAATATACATTAAAATATAATATTTACACATTGTAATGAGGGTTTTGTTTAATCAAGGTTGTAATTATTCTGAATATCGGTTTTTTGAATTTTCAAAATTGTTATTAGTTTTTGAGTAGTTATTTAAAAAGTTGCAGAACAATGTTATCGCCATCAACTACTAATTGAATACTAGATTTAATATTTTTACTTTTAATAGTCTGAAAAGATGATTCCAGTTGACTGTGTGATTGAAACGATAATACAAGTTTGAAATGTTTATAACTATAATATCATGGTAATTATGCTGCAGTGGAACTCTGTATTGCGGTTGCAGTAAAATCAAACATAATAATATAAGATCATGAAAAAATCATGGAATTCAAACTACCGTTTTTTTGGAGTATCTATCTTCATTGAAAAGTTACTAAATCGGGTATCTATCTTTATTGAAAAGTTACCGAACTGGGTTTGTTAAATTGTATGATCAATTTAAAAGAAAAAAACATTCTGAGGCAGCATCTATTTTTAATAGAATAACTTATAAATTATGTTGTATTATATTTATATCAATATTATTATTAGTTATAATTTTCTTAACTTGATAGGTTGAACGTATGTTTTCAAAAAAAAAAAAAAACTCATTAACTTATTAGTCAATACTTACTTACAATTAAAGTCCGTCTAAATATTTTGAAAATGTCATTGTGTATAGGAAATAATAAAACGAGGAATATTTAAGAGGAATTTAAAGAAGTTTACGTTTTTTGAATTACCTACTGTAAAATAACTGAAATCGATAGGAAAAAACTTATTCTATAATATTTGATTTCATCATAACTTGAACTTCAAACGCTCATCAAGAAAAAAAAGTGTCATCATGTATTCTCTGTAATTTTGAATTAACATAAAAAACTTAAACGAGAATCTTTTTATTACATTGCAAGGATCAACATTTAAAGTGTTATGAATTAAGTACATTCAAAATAATAGTTTAAAAATTAAAAAATAAATGTACAGCATTATAAAACATCAAAGTCAATAAATTCTTCGTACCTTTCAGAATTAAATATGACAAAAATGATTAATTTTAATATTATAGACTATAGTGTTTTAATTTAGTATTGATTCTCGTGTACCAGCATCCTCTCCCAATATTTGTTTTTACATTTTTCCTGTTGTAATAAAAAAAAAAATATGTTTTTCGTATGAATTCGAAATTTTATCTGTTTTCCCAGTATACAACATTTTTAAGAGTGCTGTTTATCTTAATAATTTTATTGTATAAACAGAGTGCTTATTCGCAGAACCATAAATGTTATTAATTTTGACAAAATCTTATACTATTCTAAAACGTCTCGATAGAAATAATATTTTTGTTTTCATTCAT